CTGCAAACAGGTCCGCAGCTGGAGCAGCAGCAGTTTGTGAGGAGACACTCGCAGCCACTGGGGGAACCTCTGTCACCCCTGCTGGAAGGCTTACCACTGTGACATCGTCCAGTGTCCCTACTAGGGTACGAGGATAAAGCAGCACGTCATTGTCACCAACATTGACAATTGGAACATAAGCGGTACCCGTGACCACCTGAACCAAGGCTGGTGATGCCAACAAACCTGCTGGCAGACCAGCCTCCAGGGGTTCAAACAATGCTGTGGTACTGGAATACCGCTCAGAACAGGTAGCAGCAACGATCTTCATAGCACCCCCTGGGACTCGAACGGCCGTCCTTCCCTGCACCTTAACCTTACCTGGCTGTTTTGGGGAAGGCTGCAGGTCCGCAGCATGACATTTTTGGAGGGCGTCTACCAACTGAGCAGGGGATGCTACCACGGGATCGGTGTTGAACAGAGACGGTCCAAACTGTCCAAATAACTCCTGGTAGCATTTCCGAAGAATGTTCATTCCCAACACTCCAGGGATTGGTGGGGAAACATTCCCTGGGGGGTCCCCAACTATTAAAACACCACAGTGGGGCATCACTTTACCGCAGAGTTCAACAGTTAACTCTAAATAGCCGATGTAGGGGATTTCAAGTCCATTGGCTGCTCTGAGCTGGAGCCAATGACAAGCCTTTAAGCGTTCCTCCCCCCAGGGCTCAAAATACTGCCGAAAGAACCCTTCGGTCACAGTAGACACCATTGATCCTGTATCAACTAGGCATGGCACAGTTGTTCCAGCCATATTCACATCGATATGTGGGCAGGACGCAATCAACTTGGGTGCATCTGCCAAACCCTTAAACACACTAGTTGAGCCTGTGGATGCCCCACCCGAGCTTTGGCTCTGCAGCACGGTGGGCGCTAGTTTTCCGCCGCCTGGGGACCGAACTGGCGCTGTGTGGGTCGGTTTTCCCATTGACTAGGGACACGAAGCCCATCACAATGTCGGGCGATATGGCCAGGCTGCTGGCAACGATTGCACACAATGGGGCCCCGACGCGGTGAGCGACTACGCTGTGGACCGACCTGCGCAGCCTGTAACAGGGCGATACTCTTGGTCAGCAGATCAAGTTGTTCCTGCTGCTTTTTCAGAAGCTCTTTCCCCTCACTTACCTCAGTTGGGGCGTGGCGAGTGGTCAGTGATGGTTCCCCATGCACGGCGTATTGAAGACCAAAGGCTGCAGGCACTGAATTACTACGCCCGCGCATGCCAGCTGGCAGACCCTCGCGCTCCCATCTCATCGCCTCCCCCCTGACCACAAGCAAAGTCGCGGTGGGATCCTGGCGGACATATTGTTTTAAAGTGCGCCGCAATGAACCATCCAGTACGTGTTCAATAAACTGATCACGCAACAAGGACTCTGCATTTGACAAAGGTGCGGGAGCACATGCTTTAACCTTATCCATGAGGCTCAGCAGGGCAAGGGAGAACTCCTGTAATGTCTCCCCCTCTTGTTGCTTCCGGGAAAAGAATTGTTCTTGCAAGGCCACATACGATTCGGAGCACCCATACAACTCTTGAAGGATAGAGATTATTTCCTCTGGGTTGCTTCGTTCCTCCTCGGAGCGAAATTTGATCTCATTACGGGCCTCACCTTCCAGATGGTCGTACAAGAAGAAAGCCTGATCTGCCCGTGACAGGTGTCGCGCCCTCATGCAAGCCCGAACCTCCTCCACCCATTCACCCAAGCCGATGCCAGTGTGCCCCTAATAAACATTGGACATCTCCTATCACGAGGTATAAATACTAACCTATCGGCGGAGGAGTAGGTTGAGCTGTGAGTGCAGTAGAAGGACCTGCACCAGAACTGGAGGTTGCCTGCGCTGAACGCAGCCTGTCGTTATCGGCAGTCAGCTGAGCTATTTGGTTCCTGAGGTTCTCTAGCTCTTCCTCCATTGGGACGCGCAAGTTCAGCCAAAATCTAACAAACAAAAAGGAAGGTCCCACACACCACCCACTGCTGTTTTGCTTCTGAAAAAAAGGAATGTATTAATCAAAAAGGAATTACAATTGACATTCGACAAAACAGTGCAATTCAAGAGTACAACGATCTTGAAGCAGTAGTTAATCAAATTAATGTTTTGAACTGCCACCACAATAAAGGATGGACAAACCAGTTACTCCAGCACCTAACTGCTAATACAGTTACAAATATACACAGCAAATCAAAATATATCACAACAAAATCAAAAGAAATCACAGCAAACTAAAACATGCAAAAAAAAGAACAAATAAACATGCAAGACAATAAGCATGGAGCTGGATGACACCCAATACCGATAGCAAGTAGCAATTTTTTTTTTTTCTTTTCTATAGCACTACTGGTCTTCCATAGCCACAATAATCATGATTTAAATGGAACCTGGGCCTCTGCTTTGATATGTCCTGCCAACAACGCCAAGAATGTGGCAACCGAGGGGTTCAACACTCCAGGAAATGTTAAGTTTTATGGTGAGTTGCTGCAACAACGCCACCCCAAAGCTAGTTTGGGGAAATTAAATCTAAATGTAAGGCCCACAGGTAAGCATATCATTAAGAGAGAGAGCCAGGTTCCATCATTTACACAAATCTTTATTCCTTTCTATTTTAAAAGACAGATTTAAGTGGTTTAAAAGTAGCTACGTCCATAAAAATCAGCAAACAGTAAAACACTACAGTGAGAAAACGAGTACACAATATTGAAAATGCAAAACAAAGCCCCAAAACCCGAAGCAAAACGGAAGCAAAACAAAACAGAGCAAAACAAAATAAAACAAACAAAGCAAATGTGAAGCAGAAGTACAACAAAACAGAACACAACAAACAAAACACAGCAAACAAAACAGAACAAACAAAACAGCAGAGGTGGTGTCCTCACGCCGCTGCAGGCCCCCGCTGACACCTAGAAAATTAAATTTTGGAATTAAAATCGGAGCCTGCAGTGCAAGGATCTGGGCTAAACATACCGTGGTTGAAGGTGACAGTGCGTAATCCCCAGGCTGAATCAAAGGCAACTACACAGGATAACGCCGTCCAGAGGTGGTCCAGACAACGTGGACCGGCACACGCTACAAACATACAATTTAGAGCGGTTTGGCACAGGTAGCACGTGATGATAAGAGGTTTAAGAGACACGGCGGCGCACCGCCAAGCGCAATGGAGAGGGACTCGCTCGGCTCACCCGTGGAGCTACAGAGAGACACCGGTAAAAGTATGGGCACGGATGAATGAGTGGAGGAGTATCGGGCGTGCATTACCTTATCAGGGAGACGAAAGCGCGCCCTAGGTGCTCCGTGATTCGGAGACGCGAGGGACAGATGTGGTGAGAGCACCGGCCAAGCAGCGACACTAAAAGGAAACGTGATAGGAAATTTGATGTAACGGGCATGGAATTTACAAAGTGAAAGTTACCTGAGCTGGAGGACAGAGCGGCCACAAGGAGAGGCCCGGAAGAGCGTGTGAGCCAAAAGGGGGAACGACTGAGAAGGGAGCGCTTAAATAGCCCACCAGCGCAGCGCCACGGAACGCCAGGTAAGAGCACCTGCAGCCTAGACCCTCAAAGCTGGTCTTGCCACAATGGCAAATTCTGAAGTTATAAGGAACATGCTCATTCAAATTATACAACTTTTACTGCTGTGTTTAGGTGAGATAAGTTTTATGAATAATTTTATTTTTTTCAATCAAGACCTATTAAATAAAGAATAATTTATAATGTGTATTTATATTCAGTATTTGTAAGAATAAAAATCATTCTTTGGTGAACACCTGTGTGTACTCATGTATTTTCTGTTTGTATAATTTTAACCCTGTGCTTGTTTAACAGGTGCTGATTGTTGTGATCCCAAAAATGCTTTGTCTATTAAAACTCCAAGTCCAATGGAGGCTCTGAGTGGCTCCTGTTTGTGGATCCCATGCACCTATAAACCTGCATCTCCATATGACATAAACACTGCAAACCCTGTCACTGGGATTTGGTCTAAACATGAGTGGATGACTAAAATTGCATTTTCAAAGAGTGGAGACCCCAGTATGTTTTATCCCATGAATATCATTGGGAACCTGAAAAACAAAAACTGCACCACAATGTTTTATAATTTAAGCAAAAGCCATGAAGACGACTTTTACTTCTCTTCAGAGTAGAGAACAGTGGTTTTACTGCCACAGCTATTTGTGACATTCTTCAAATAACAGTCAGAGGTAAGACACTTTTCCTATTTCTTCAAGTTTAATGATTAAAAAGCATACATTAAAAACTTTTGATGTTGATTAATAGATTGATTCCTTTATTGTCATTAAATGAAAACAAATAATGAAATTAGAATTAGCAACTCGCTCTGATGTACACAGAAAAGACAACACAATGAAGACACACTACAGATGAAAAAAAACTACATTTACAACAGAGTACTCTGACATCTGTTAGAAAGAAGTTTTTTTTTTTTTTTTTCTTTGAGTGCACATTATCATTGGTCTGTAACACAAATGTTATCTCTTTATTTCATGTACAGTACAATAGAAGAGGCTACTCTCAGAATTTTAATGCACAATCACATTTTATTGTTATATTCTATGTGTAAATTAAAGCACTGTTTAGGATTTGCATTCAATCAGATACAATACTTGTTAAATAATAATACATGTTCATTTCTGAATAACAGTTTGTTTTACAGTCAAACTGTATTTTGCTGACATCTATATTTAAGAGGACAAACTGCTTTTCCACATTTCTTTTGTCATCAGGTTGTAACATACACCTGTTATAAACTACACAAGTTTGATGCTTGAATGACATTTTCACTTTACTACTGTGCACAGTAAATAACCTCCACTCACATCTGAGGAGCATCAGCTTAGTTCTTCAGTTTAATACATTTTTTTAGATTAATGTTCTCCCCAAATGTTTTTACTCTTCCCAGACTCTCCCTGGAGCCCCACAGTAAAAGTCTCTGGTAAACAGACAGAGACAGAGGTGGTGACTATAACCTGCTCAGCTGTCACTCCCTGTCCACACGCCCCTCCTCAGCTCACATGGGACCTCCACCAAGACACTGCCCACATCACAGAGAACAACACAGACGAGACATTTACCACTAAAATCACACAGAACATCACTCTGACAGACGCCCATGATGGACTAATGATAAAGTGTAAAGCATCGTATCCTGTGAGTGGAGGATCCAAAATGGCCGACAGTAACGTCACTCTCTCAGTGTCTCATGTGAGTGAACCACACTGATGGATTCAGTCTGTTCTGTTCTGGTGATACGTTACTAAACTGGATTAAAGGTGCACTGTCTAATGTGGAGAGTCTGCCAGCTGCTGGTCTCCATGGAGATTAGCGATCGACCAGTATGTTTTCTTTTTTTCATGGCTGACAATGTAAACAATTGTTAAGAATCCAGAGCAACAGATGGCGGATAATATCTGCAGATTTTTTATTTTTTTTTTTTTTTTGAGCCAATATGCTGGGCTGATTTTGATTAGTTTTCTCTATCTATGTAATTTAAATTTACTACAGACTCACCTGCAGACTTTTGTTTTGTTTTGTTTTTTTACCACAACTCTTTAAGAAAGCTTTGTAGAAACATTTTGTGCAGTTATCTCTTTGCACTAAAGTGTTATAAGCTTTGTGTTTTTAGGCAGCAGATTGACCAAATGTCGGCCTAATGTATCATGTCAGAAAGTCCCACTCATATATTATACAGACTTATGACAGAGAGTGAAGCTTTCAAACTTTTTCAAGATATTCCAATGTCTTGAGATGTACCTGTATATCAGTCTATCTGTAATGAAATGTTATTTCTTTTTGCCTGAAATGTTCCACAATAGGGCATTAAACTTACCTGTGTGTCCTCAGATGGTCCTAAAAACACCTCTGTTGAAGTCAGTCCGTCCGGTTCACTGTCAGCAGGTCAGTCAGTGACACTGAGCTGCTCCAGCAGAGCCAAGCCTCCTGTCCACCTCTTCACCTGGTTCAGACACAGCTCACAGGGACCAGTCAATGTCAGCCAGGGACACACGTACAGCTTCAACTTCACTGAAGAGGGACAGTACTATTGTGTGGCCTCAAACACACTTGGAAATGGATCATCTCCAGTCATTACACTGAGTATAGCAGGTATGTTACGCAGTATTTTGTGAAGATTTGATGCCCAGTACCAGTGTTTGGCATAGTAAAACAAGAAATAGCATAAGATAAAGATCACCTTTATTTGTCCTTCAATGGGAAAATTCCAGGTGGGAGATTTTGTCCTTTGTCACATGCTGCAGGTGTGAATCAGAGAGGTGCCATCACATCACCCTCTGTGGCATTACATAATACATATAGTTACTCATTTACACATGTGTAAGTCTTAATTTTAGTTATATCTCACTAAAACCAGTTGTGGCTTTTTAGGATTATTAGAACATTAAAATGCTGGTATGCCAAGGGAAGATCATGGTGTAAATACAGCTCTTGTGAGTCAATGTTAAACTGAGAGATGTACGTGGAGGATAAATTACTTAAATCCTTTTACACTAATATTATAGAAGAATAGGAGATGAAACAAAAGTTTAAGCTCATGTTTACCTTTGTCAGAGTCTGTACCTGGACCCAGTGCTGTGACGTGGATTGGCACATACAACATAGTGCAGCTCTGTGGGATTATACTGCTCTACAGCTCCCTGGTCATTTTTGAATGGTGAGGTTAAAGTTTGTATTTATTCATTCAGCTGTCAGATCTGACCTGTAACTTGGCCTGGGTGGTGTCACCTGCTTGTCTCCATGGAAATAGGTAAGTTTATATCTTAATGTTTATTGTGGAACATTCCATGTGAACAAATAACATTTCCATGGAGTCAATAAGCAGGTGGCAGACTCAGTGTCTCTTTAAGATCAGCATATGCAACACATTAATAAGTGAGTAAAGGCCACAAGTGATTAAAAAAGTCAAACAGATTGTTATGATTTATTTTCAGCTGGTTCAGAGCAACTTATTCCAAGAAACAGGAACAGGTAAAAGTTTTATGAATACACTTTTGTCACACTGTTTAACTTACTTCTCTCTGTCATCTTATCCACAGAGACCAGAGGCAGCAGCAACTGTCAATTGTGCCGTTGTAAATCAATCTTAAAACCATGTGTGTTTACTTGTTTATGTTGTATTTTATCATGTACCTGCAATCCAATCAGTTTATACTGAATATGAATTATTCATTTATAAGTTAACAAGTTAATGGATGTTTGTGATAGGTCTTTGTCTGAATCAGCCTTTTAAAATGGTTTGTATTATTTGTCAAAACATAATTCCAGCCTGAAGAAGAATCTAGGCTGCATTAGCTCACCTTGCTGTCATTGATAACACAAAGTGAACATTTACTTTGGATTTCTACTTTTATTATATTAAATAAACTGTGAGTGTAAATAAAATGCTTCATGTTTAATAAAGTAATGTTGATGTCTTTTTCTGTTGTTCTTTTTCAATAGCGTCAGGACAAAAGCAGCAATTTAGGCCTAACTGATCATTTCTCTCCGTGATGTAATAATGAAGCAAAGTTTATGTGCAATGCATTTTATAATTGGAAAGTAACTTCATTCTGTCAAAATTGAACTGAGGTTTTGATGGATGATAATTTTCAATACCAAATTACTCCAGTAGGTGTCAGTAACGGCGCAGTTATGACAAACTCACTTCTTGGGTTTAGCAGAAGCAGCGCACGTAAGATGTATGGGTGTTTACCAGGATCTATAATAAGAAAATAGAAAAAAAAAAAAAAAGTTACACAGTATACCTTTAAAGCATCTGTCATTAAACATAACACCACTAGAGGCTTTCTGCGTTACTGCTGTGTGATTGTGCCAACTTTGGTCTGACAGAAGAAGAGCAGAGAGCACAGGTGAGGTGAGTGGGGAACAGGTTTTACATTTTCCATCTTCTGCTAAAAAAACTAAGAATAAACCTACAGATGGTAACTTTAATCATTCCAAACACTAGATTTAGAGCAGATTTACAAATATTTGAATACATTATTAATACAAATTATTGTAAATAGTCAAGGCAAATAAATGAATAGCAGCCTATAATGTTAAAGAGCGGCTAACATAACCTTTTCCTTTGTTGTTTTGTCTGTCAGATGATGAACACAAAAAAACAATTGCAATGACTGTGTGAAATACTGAAGTATTTACACAACAACTGCAATGAATTATTACCATTAAGAGGAAGCCATTGTTCTTCTAAAACTCATAAAGACAATTCAGAGCTTGACTGTTCACTCTCTAGTTGGTTCGTTAAGCACAACACTAACAGCCCAAGGATTATTTTTATTGCAAATTCTGAAGCAGAACATGCTCATTCAAATTATACAACTTTTACTGCTGTTTTCAGGTGAGATAAGGGTTGTTTTTTTTTTATTCTTTTATTTTTTCAACCAAGACTTGTTAAATAAAGAATAATTTATAATGTGTATTTATGTTCAGTATTTGTAAAAATGCACATCATTATTTGGTGAACACCTGTGTGTACTCATGTATTTTGTGTTACTATAATTTTAACCCTCTGCATGTTTTACAGGTGCTGATTGTTGTGATCCAAAAAATGCTTTGTTCATTACAACTCCAAGTCCAATGGAGGCTCTGAGTGGCTCCTGTTTGTGGATCCCATGCACCTATAAACCTGCATCTCCATATGACATAAACACTGCAAACCCTGTCACTGGGATTTGGTTGAAACATAATACAGATTTAAATAATAGGTTTTCAGTCAGTGGAGACCCCAGTAAGTCTTATCCCATGAATATCACTGGGAACCTGAAAAACAAAAACTGCACCACAATGTTTTATGATTTAAGCAAAATCCATGAAGACGACTATTACTTCAGAGTAGAGAACATTGATTTTAACGCTTTTGCTGCTTGTGACCCTCTTCAAATAACAGTCAGAGGTAAGACACTTTTGCTATTAAATCTAAGTTTAATGATGAAAAAACAGACATTCAAACCTTTTGATGTTGAATGATAGATTGATTGTTTTGTTGTCATTAAATGAAAAAAAAAAAAAAATAATAAAATTTGAATTAGCAACTCACTCTGATGTACACAGACAAGACAACACAGTGAAGACACACTACAGATGAAAAAACACAACATTTACAGCAGAGAATTATTTAGCTCACTGATATATGTTAGAAAGAAACAGTTTTTTGAGTTGACGTGCATGTTTTTATTGATTTGTGACACCTTCCTCGGGGCAAAAGGTCAAATGTTATGTTTTTATTTTATATACAGTACATCATTTGCAAAGGGACAAAGTAGTTCCTGCAAAACCATGGCCAGTTGAATAGGCTATTGTGTGAATTTTAATACTCAATCACGTTTTTATTGTTATATTCTGTGTGTAAAGCGCTGTTTAGGATTTGCATTCATGTTTGTTTATAAATGTTCATCTCTGAATAGCAGTTTGTTTTACTACACAAGTTTGATGCTTGAATGACATTTTCACTCTACTACTGTGCACAGTAAATAACCTCCACTCACATCTGAGGAGCATCAGCTTAGTTCTTCAGTTTCATAATTTTTTAGATTAATGTTCTCCCCAAATGTTTTTACTCTTCCCAGACTCTCCCTGGAGCCCCACAGTAAAAGTCTCTGGTAAACAGACAGAGACAGAGGTGGTGACTATAACCTGCTCAGCTGTCACTCCCTGTCCACACGCCCCTCCTCAGCTCACATGGGACCTCCACCAAGACACTGTCCACATCACAGAGAACAACACAGACGGAACATTTACCACTAAAATCACACAGAACATCACTCTGACAGACGCCCATGATGGACTAATGATAAAGTGTAAAGCATCGTATCCTGTGAGTGGAGGATTCAACATGGCCGACAGTAACGTCACTCTCAGTGTCTCATGTGAGTGAACCACACTGATGGATTCACTCTGTTCTGGTTCTACATGTATTAAAGGTGCACTGTGTAACTTGTTGGGTAGAGGGTCTGCCACCTGCTTGTTTCCAAAGATGTCCTTGCTTTGCCTTTAATGTTCCACAGTTGAGCATTAAACTTATCTGTGTGTCCTCAGATGGTCCTAAAAACACCTCTGTTGGGGTCAGTCCGTCCGGTTCACTGTCAGCAGGTCAGTCAGTGACACTGAGCTGCTCCAGCAGAGCCAAGCCTCCTGTCCACCTCTTCACCTGGTTCAGACACAGCTCACAGGGACCAGTCAATGTCAGCCAGGGACACACGTACAGCTTCAACTTCACTGAAGAGGGACAGTACTATTGTGTGGCCTCAAACACACTTGGAAATGAATCCTCTCCAGACATTACACTAAGTACAACAGGTATGTCACTCATTATTCTCTGACGATTTGATACCCAGTACCAGCGTTTGTCATCCAAATATTCAGTATAAGATAGTAATTGAAGAAATAGCAAAAGATAAGATCACCTTTATTTGTTCCACAATGGGCAAATTCCAGGTGGGAGATTTTGTCCTTTGTCACATGCTGCAGGTGTGAATCAGAGAAGTGCCATCACATCACCCTCTGTGGCATTACATAATACATATAGTTACTCATTTACACATGTGTAAATCTTAATTTTAATACCAGTTGTTGCTTTTTAGGATCATTAGAATATTAAAATGCTAATAATAAAAGAATCAGTGATGAAACAAAAGTTCAAGCTCATGTTTATCTTTGTCAGAGCCTGTGCCTGAGCCCTGTGTTGTGACTTGGATTGGCACATACAACATAGTGCAGCTCTGTGGGATTATACTGCTCTACAGCTCCCTGGTCATTTTTGAATGGTGAGGTTAAAGTTTGTATTTATTCATTCAGCTGTCAGATCTGACCTGTAACTTGGCCTGGGTGGTGTCACCTGCTTGTCTCCATGGAAATAGGTAAGTTTATATCTTAATGTTTATTGTGGAACATTCCATGTGAACAAATAACATTTCCATGGAGACAAGAAGCAGGTGGCAGACTCAGTGTCTCTTTAAGATCAGCATATGCAACACATTAATAAGTGAGTAAAGGCCACAAGTGAGTAAAAAAGTCAAACTGATTCTTATGATTTATTTTCAGCTGGTTTAGAGCAACTTATTCCAAGAAACAGGAACAGGTAAAAGTTTTATGAATACACTTTTGTCACACTGTTTAACTTACTTCTCTCTGTCATTTTATCCACAGAGACCAGAGGCAGCAGCAACTGTCAATTGTGCCGTTGTAAATCAATCTTAAAACCATATGTGTTTACTTGTTTATGTTGTATTTTATCATGTACCTGCAATCCAATCAGTTTATACTGAATATGAATTATGCATTTATATGGCAGTAAGTTAATGCATGTCTATTCCAGGTCAATGCTTAAAAACACTTGATATTGTGTATTTGCCAACAAAGTAGTTTGCCGCCCCCTGATTTCATGCTATCACTGATCACATTATTTAGAACTTTACTTGCATTTCATTTAGTTTTATGGTCTTATTATATTCAATAAATGTGTGAATAAAATGTCTTGTGTTTATTAAAGTACATTGATACTTTTCTCTCTGATTTAGTTTATGTGTAATATGCATTTTGCAACTGGAAAAGAAGTACATTTTATCAAAGTTGAACTGAGATTTTGAGTATAACTTTCAGTGTTTTCATATTCTCTAAATAGTTGCTTTGGTAGATTTTAATTTGCACATCCAGAATGTCTTGAAACATCAAACTCTGCATACTAAACTCTTAGCATTTTCATGTTTGTGGTATAAATATGGAACAAAACTCCCAGATTTATAAAGACAAGACCTGGGAGAAATCTCCTCTCTTAGATGAGCTGAACCCTGTATCAGAATCAGTATTAAACACTTTTTTATGTTGTAAACCATTTTCAATATTACATAAGCACATATAAAACTAAATTTAAACATTTCTTTCATTTTAACATGGATTGCACTCAAACGTTCAAAACACTGCATTGGGACTCAACTTCTAAAATCCTCGAACAAAACCTGGTCTTGTACAGGACCAAATCAGGTTTATAAGCAGGACTAAACCAAACTGGACTAAAGGTAGATCTGAAAAAGGCCAATATTACAAATGACCATAAAAGCAATTTGTGGACAGTGGTTAAAATAGACAAATGAAGAAATGATCTGAAAATGGCAACACATTATAAGGAAGAAGTTATAGTTTAGAATCAGCAGCTCCACTGTTTCCTAAGACATAGACCAAATATGGAACAAAGAGGAAGTGAACTCTGTCTTTTCATCTTTCTTCTTTCTATGCACAGGCAGACAAAGCTTGTTCAACTCAGATATATTTCCTCTGAGAACAGCAAAGAATCAAACTTCAAAATCATTTAGTTGTATCTGGTATTTGACTCTGCAGATAATGGATGCATTTTTAGTGAAAACAGAAATGTACAGCAGCATACTCCTCCTCATTCAGTGTGGTGAGTTTTTCAAACCCAGTTGGATTTGATTTGAAAACATTTTATTTTTTACTAAAGCATTATGTTGCTGTTGGAGGGAGCCCCATGTAACTTTTATGGTTTTATGGAATTTTACTATTATTATTATGAAAACATGCATTCCTTCACAGCTTCATAGCGTTCCCTGAGATGAGTCAAAGTCATACTGTGGAACATTCTAGAGACATAATGTTGGTTAGTTATGTTTTTGTAACAACTGAATCATTTATTTTTCAGCTGTGGCAACTTCCTGTAGTCTTGACCCAGACATTTTCATCACTCCTTTAGATTTGGAGGGTCTGAGTGGGTCCTGTTTGCTGATCCCATGTCATTTCAGAGTCAAAGAAGGAAAACAATTCCCCGGTGACAAAAAAGCTGGTGCTGTGTGGATTAAAACCAAAACCCAATTTGAAACACCAAATTCACAATATGTGGTTTTCAACAGTAGCAGAAATTCACTGAACTATCCAATGAATGTTACTGGAAAATTGAGTGAGAAAAATTGCACCACTGTGTTCAATAATTTAAAAGGGGAATATACAGAGAAATATTTCTTCAGAGTGGAGGCTGGAAGCTTCAAGTCTACACAGCGTCCTGTTCTCCTATCAATATAACAGTAAGAGGTGAGAAAGTCTTTTATAATTCATTATGTAAACAGATTAAAGTTATTTCACACTTGCCTTTTTGTCACATCAAGACTTGGACTAAACCAGAACTAAAACAGGACTAAACCAGGACCAGAATAGCTAGAACAAGTATGAATGTAGTCTGCATTAAGGATGTCACAATTTACTTCATTATTATAACAGCACTGACATTTTACATAGAAAGAGGAAATACTGTGTAACATTGATGTATCAATATTTTAACCTGGTTGTTGGCGTTGAATTCAACTTCCATGTGCAACAGAACAAAAACTAAATGTCTTGACAGGATTACACCTGAAAAATAACAACAAACATGGATATTTATTTTTTTGTGTACATACTCATCCCCATAAGGTCTTTCTAAATCTTATTTATAAATGTGTTTTTAGTAAATCTGTCAGACTCTGCTAAACGTTAAATACTCCTCATCAGTCTCTCTGATCTGCTTTTTGCTTGTTGTGAGTAATATAAAAGTATAAATGATGCATTATTTATTTCTCAGACTCTCCCTGGATCCCGTCCATAGAAATCATTGGAGATCAGACAGAGACAGAGGTGGTGACTATAACCTGCTCAGCTGTCACTCCCTGTCCACACGCCCCTCCTCAGCTCACATGGGACCTCCACCAAGACACTGCCCACATCACAGAGACCAACACAGATGGGACATTTACCACTAAAATCACACACACACTCGCACTGACGTCGTATCACGATGGATATAATGTCACCTGTTCTGCTGCTTATCCTGTGAATGGAGCAGAGGCCAAGACAGCACAAACCACCATAACTCTCAATGTGGCACGTAAGAATACCAGTGCATTTTATATTCCGTTTGTTGTTCCCATAATGCTGCTGTCTGTGAATATTGTATTTGTATTGTATTTGTAGCTGCTTTGTGAGGTATAGACACAGATAAGCTTGTGTACAACAGGGCTGTAGTTCTTCTGTCATTTTGTCAATTAATGAGTCTAATCTGCTTGTTTCTGAGTATTTTTCAGTTTAAATTGTTGTTTTTGCATGGACTTTGGTTGTCTTTGGGTCTCTTTGGGTCAGATACATGGACTTGACTGTCTGCGTACACTACTGTATGAATGTGTGTGAGAGTGGGTGAGAGGTAAAGAACTTTGAGTGCCTTGAAGGTGGAAAAAGTTCTGTTTACACTTAAACTGTCTTTTCCACATCCCTTTTTTACCTGTAACACTCAGTGGATATGTTTTTGTCAACCAGAAATTTGTTTAGATGATTGCAACCTTAGTGCTGTAATATCATTTACATGTTTACCTTTGTCAGAGCCTGTACCTGAACCCAGTGCTGTGACTTGGATTGGCCCATGCAACATAATGAAGCTCTGTGGGATTATACTGCTCTACAGCTCCTTTATTATTTTTGAATGGTGAGGTTAAAGTTTGTATTTATTCATTCAGCTGTCAGATCTGACCTGTAACTTGGCCTGGGTGGTGTCACCTGCTTGTCTCCATGGAAATAGATAAGTTTATATCTTAATGTTTATTGTGGAACATTCCATACAAAGAAATAACATTTCCATGGAGTCAATAAGCAGGTGGCAGACTCAGTGTCTCTTTAAGATCAGCATATGCAACACATTAATAAGTGAGTAAAGGCCACAAGTGAGTAAAAAAGTCAAACTGATTGTTATGATTTATTTTCAGCTGGTTCAGAGCAACTTATTCCAAGAAACAATAACAGGTAAAAGTTTTATGAATACACTTTTGTCACACTGTTTAACTTACTTCTCTCTGTCATCTTATCCACAGAGACCAGAGGCAGCAGCAACTGTCAATTGTGCCGTTGTAAATCAATCTTAAAACCATGTGTGTTTACTTGTTTATGTTGTATTTTATCATGTACCTGCAAACCAATCAGTTTATACTGAATATGAATTATGCATTTATATGGCAGTAAGTTAATGCATGTCTATTCCAGGTCAGTGCTTAAAAACACTTGATATTGTGTATTTGCCAACAAAGTAGTTTGCCGCCCCTTGATTTCATGCTATCACTGATCACATTATTTAGAACTTTACTTGCATTTCATTTAGTTTTATGGTCTTATTATATTCAATAAATGTGTGAATAAAATGTCTTGTGTTTATTAAAGTACATTGATACTTTTCTCTCTGATTTTGTTTATGTGTAATATGCATTTTGTAACTGGAAAAGAAGTACATTTTATCAAAGTTGAACTGAGATTTTGAGTATAACTTTCAGTGTTTTCATATTCTCTAAATAGTTGCTTGGTAGATTTTAATTTGCACATCCAGAATGTCTTGAAACATCAAACTCTGCATACTAAACTCTTAGCATTTTCATGTTTGTGGTATAAATATGGAACAAAACTCCCAGATTTCTAAAGACAAGACCTGGGAGAAATCTCCTCTCTTAGATGAGGTGAACCCTGTATCAGAATCAGTATTAAACACTTTTTTATGTTGTAAACCATTTTCAATATTACATAAGCACATATAAAACTAAATTTAAACATTTATTTCATTTTAACTTGGGTTGCGCTCAAACTTTCAAAACACTGCATTGTGACTAATCTTCTAAAATCCTCGAACAAAACCTGGTCTTGTACAGGACCAAATCAGGTTTATAAGCAGGACTAAACCAAACTGGACTAAAGGTAGATCTGAAAAAGGCCAATATTACAAAGGGAGTTGTCCAATGACCATAAAAGCAATTTGTGGACAGTGGTTAAAATAGACAAATGAAGAAATGATCTGAAAATGGCAACACATTATAAAGAAGAAGTTATAGTTTAGAATCAGCAGCTCCACTGTTTCCTAAGACATAGACCAAATATGGAACAAAGAGGAAGTGAACTCCGTCTTTTCAACTTTCTTCTTTCTATGCACAGGCAGACAAAGCTTGTTCAACTCAGATATATTTCCTCTGAGAACAGCAAAGAATCAAACTTCAAAATCATTTAGTTGTATCTGGTATTTGACTCTGCAGATAATGGATGCATTTTTAGTGAAAACAGAAATGTACAGCAGCATACTCCTCCTCATTCAGTGTGGTGAGTTTTTCAAACCCAGTTGGATTTGATTTGAAAACATTTTATTTTTTACTAAAGCATTATGTTGCTGTTAGAGGGAGCCACCATGTAACTTTTATGGTTTTATGGAATTTTCCAAAGTATGACATTGAATACATCTATCTTTTATTTATTTATTTATTTAATGTATTATTTATTATTATTATATTATGTTATCATTATGAAAACATGCATTCCTTCACAGCTTCATAGCGTTCCCTGAGATGAGTCATAGTCATACTGTGGAACATTCTAGAGACATAATGTTGGTTAGTTATGTTTTTGTAACAACTGAATCATTTATTTTTCAGCTGTGGCAACTTCCTGTAGTCTTGGCGCAGACATTTTCATCACTCCTTTAGATTTGGAGGGTCTGAGTGGGTCCTGTTTGCTGATCCCATGTCATTTCAGAGTCAAAGAAGGAAAACAATTCCCCGGTGACAAAAAAGCTGGTGCTGTGTGGATTAAAACCAAAAGCCAATTTGAAACACCAAATTCACAATATGTGGTTTTCAACAGTAGCAGAAATTCACTGCAAAACTATCCAATGAATGTTACTGGAAAACTGAGTGAGAAAAATTGCACCACTGTGTTCAATAATTTAAAAGGGGAATATACAGAGAAATATTTCTTCAGAGTGGAGGCTGGAAGCTTCAAGTCTACAGCGTCCTGTTCTCCTATCAATATAACAGTAAGAGGTGAGAAAGTCTTTTATAATTCATTATGTAAACAGATTAAAGTTATTTCACACTTACCTTTTTGTCACATTAAGACTTGGACTAAACCAGAACTAAAACAGAACTAAACCAGGACCAAAATAGCTAGAACAAGTATGAATGTAGTCTGCATTAAGGATGTCACAATTTACTTCATTATTATAACAGCACTGACATTTTGCATAGAAAGAGGAAATACTGTGTAACATTGATCAATATTTTAACCTGGTTGTTGGCGTTGAATTCAACTTCCATGTGCAACAGAACAAAAGCTAAATGTCATGACAGGATTACACCTGAAAAATAACAACAAACATGGATATTTATTTTTTTATGTACATACTCATCCCCATAAGGTGTTGCTAAATCGTATTATGAATGTGTTTTTAGTATATCTGTAAGCCTCTGCTAAACGTTAAATACTCCTCATCAGTCTCTCTGATCTGTTTTTTGCTTGTTGTGAGTAATATAAAAGTATAAATGATGTATTATTTATTTCTCAGACTCTCCCTGGATCCCGTCCATAGAAATCATTGGAGATCAGACAGAGACAGAGGTGGTGACTATAACCTGCTCAGCTGTCACTCCCTGTCCACACGCCCCTCCTCAGCTCACATGGGGCCTCCACCAAAGACACTGCCCACATCACAGAGAACAACACAGACGGGACATTTACCACTAAAAATCACACACACACTCGCACTGACGTCGTATCACGATGGATATAATGTCACCTGTTCTGCTGCTTATCCTGTGAATGGAGCAGAGGCCAAGACAGCACAAACCACCATAACTCTCAATGTGACACGTAAGAATACCAGTGCATTTTATATTTTGTATATTTGCTGTTCCTGTAATGCACTTGTTATAATAATTTCTTGCTGTTTTTTTCAGGTACAGACACAGGTAAGCTTGTGTAGTTCTGTTGTTGTTTAGTCGATTAATTAGTCAACCAAAATTTGTATTTGCAGAAAAAAATATTTTTTTTAGGATTTACATGCATAATAGCATAAGGTAAATGGAGTGAGTTGGTTGACGATTTGGGAATGAATCATGCCTTTTTTACATATTTGTTTCCTAATACTTATATGTTTAAGTTGTTGTTTTCACATGGACATCTGTGTAATTGTAGTCTTGCAAAGTTTGGGTCAGATACATTGTCAAATAATAGATACTTAAAAGTTTAAACCGTCTTTGCCACGTCCATTTTTAATTCACTAATCGATCAGTGGACATTTTCAAGGTTCAAGGTTTCTTTATTGGTACCTGAGGATACATTAACTAATAACATTAACCTATGCTGTTTGTGCTCAGGTAAAGCAGGTGATGTTACAAAGTGGCTTCCAGTGGTCATTGTTCTCCTCATTGCACTGAGTGGCCTCATTATCTCGGTTTGGTAAATATCACACATGGACAGAATTTAACAATGTTTTGATTACAATTTTTGTCAGAGTCATATCTATATTTACAGGCATTTTAAATTTAGACGCACACATTTGCAACCAGCTCAGGTAAGAAAATACTGACTTCTGTATGTTTATTTGGCAACAAAAAAGTGTTTGCACCTGCTTGGCTTCAGATGCTTCAGGTCTGGTATGTTTCACAATATAGCATTAAATGTATAATTAATCTTGAGCTCTCAAATAACATGCATTATTACTCATGGTGTTTCATGCTTGTCTCCATGGAGATAGATGAGTTTAATGCCATACTGTGAAACATCCATGTAAACAAGCAGATAGTTGACCATCCACTAGAAAAGTTACAAAGTGCACCTTTAAAGGGCCCATATTCTGCTGTTTTCTGATCTATGGTAAAATGTTATTTCCTCGCCAAAACATACCTTGAGTTTTGTTTTGTTTTATCCATACATTAACACACAAACCCTGTAGTTCTTCTCTCAAATGGAAAAACTCTTCCACATTGTGATGCCAGTGTAGAAGTTAACTTGAAAAGTACCGCTTCAACTACCGCTTCATGACAATGCTCAGTCCTACAAGTTTTGTAGGTGTAGACAGACTAATGATAAATGGTTACTCAAACATATGTGAATCCAAGTTTGCTTTGATGAAGTAACAACATTTTAACATGACTAAAAGTTCACAAGAGTTAAATTTGTGTAATATAGGACCTTTAACTTACCCATAATCATCAGTTTCTTTTGGCTCTCATTAGTTCTCAAGCCAAACATGAATGAACTCCTTGATTTAGTTTGCCAGATTCTGTCCAAAATCCACTTGTGTTCCATTTCCGAAGGTCCAAACCACTGAAGAGGTTCATCAACAGGAGCCAGCCCAAAGTGAAGAAAGCCTCCACTACGAAGACGTGAGATTCAGATCAAAGAAGCCTGATGCAGTAATCAGCAGCACACAGGAGGAGACAGTGTACTCACAAGTCAATGTGTCCAGCAGTAACAGCAGAGCGGCTGCAGACATTACAGATGTATATGCACAAGTTCGGAAGAAATAACTCAAAATACTGGTATTTACTAGACTACTGTATTTACTATGGCCGATGTTGATACTGACTGTCTAGCATCCAGCGTGATGGATAGTCGATAAACTTTGCCGTTATTTTTGGGCCTATATGTTTGACAGATTTTGATTATTTTCCCCGAAGCCCTTATTTTAGACCACTCACTTTTAAGAGAGTGGTGTAGTCATCTCTTCGTATTAAAGTGTTAATGTAAAGCTTTGTGTGTGAGGTAGCAGATGGACAAAAACAAAATATTGGTCTATGCTGGAGATCTCCATTGTTTACCTGGACATCACTTGTAATCTGCTTTCAGAAGTTTGTAGTTTAGTTTAGTACTTTTCTGGTAGGTGCCACAGACTGTATATATTAATGGACATAGCTAACCTGCTACCATCAACTCTTGCTCCAATTGACTTTACATTGAAAAATTGTCACCCCTCTCTCTCTAACTGCTGCAGTGAGCCTCGTAATTTTGATCTTAAAATGTTCGTATAACCTGCTCTATGTGGTCATGGTGCTTTTATTTTGCAATTTTGTCCGTAAATAAATCCGAGTTCCTAATATGGAACTTTGCTCCAAATTTGCTCCTATAACAACAGACCTGTGTCAGCTTCACTTGACTGGAGCTAAACACTATGGGCGGCGTCACACTCACTATAGTCCACTTCTTTATACAGTCTATGGTCGGTGCTCTCAGCTTGTCTCCATAATGCTAAAATACCTTGAAAAAAACATGTTTTTTACTGATGGCAGTTGCTTCTTTCCATCAAGATTGATAAGTTTAATGCCATACAGTAGAACATTGCAGCCAAGGCAATATCTCCATGGAGACAAACAAGCAGCGGACTCCCCACAAGAAAAGTTACATGCACCTTTAAAATGAGCTAACAGGCCAATGTATGTCTATGAAAAAGTGACGGCATCCAGAAATAATGGCGTATTATTAAAAAAAGTCAGGAAGCTAAGATCATACATGAGATTTTTATTCATTGCACTGTAAATAAAACTTTGGTGTACAGTTTGTAAAAATACCTAATCTCAGTTGCATTTACTGGTCCAACATTATTACCTATTGTTGTGTAAACATCAGGTAAAATTAAACAATTGAATCACAAATATAAAAAAGTGGAAACATTAGCCATAGTTTGGCCCTGGTTCAATCTGCTTTAAAAATACTTCTGTTATTTTATTTTCTATTTTATTTTTAATGAACTCATATTAATTTAAAAATAGTGGATTCTCTATTCCTCTAAAATCACATTGGTCCATGGGTTTTAGCCAGTAAACATCTGCAGCCTCTTCACCACTATCTTAAGGCCAGACCGGTGCAAAAATATCAAGCTTATTTATTTCTCCTTTATTAAAAACAGCACTGTAAAGATCTAGCGGCAGCCCAAAAGTCTGTCCTGTAGTTATTGCATTGTTAATTTAGAGTAGCTTCTTTTCATATCCAACACTGGACATTATTATAATCCTATTTTAGACTACGACTGTGTTTCTAGACAGTGCAAAAAGGAACATCTGTGTGAGTTAAAATCTCTTGGCAGTCTAAAAAAATGTGACCTGTTTTAAGATATTTTTACTGGTTTCAATTGGTCCATTTCCTCAAGCAAAATGATTTAACTGTGGGTGGAGGTGGGACAAATTTGAAACTGCTGCATTGGAGAAAATGTGAATGTCAAGTTTAGGGGATTGTCTGTAATATTAAAATGTGAATACGTATATTAAAAAGGCTACAGAGCTGATTTTAAATTAAATTAAACTTTTATGGTGATCATAAAAAGGGCATAAAGTAGATGAATTACTAAAATATCATTCAATTATCATGATCAAGACAAAGCTATTTATTTTTGTCATTATTGCCCACCCCACCAGTGAAGTAAAATCTTTTAGCTTTTAATTTTAAAAAATGTACTGTTATCTACTAAAATATAAGATAAAAACACTACAGAATAAAAGATGATCTTCTAATTGTAAGTAATTTTAACTAGTTAAGACATTTCTTTACTGCTTTGTTTGGTAACACAGCCGATAATCTAATTGCACCATGTTGAAATCTTTATTTTGATTTTAATTGTGCACTCTTTGCTCTAACTGCCTCAGCTCCTCCTCCACCTGCCCTGGTAAATCTGACCCCACCTGCTGTGAGAAGTACGCCCTCAACTCTTTGGTCTCCTTTTGCCAGAACGGCTTGGGAACATCGAAAAGCGCCCCCATATCTACAGTGCTACCTAAGCCCGAAGTGTCGATGGCGCCCTCTACTGGCACCCAACCAATAATGCTCTTCTTGGCAGCTTGGTCCTCTCTCTCCCTGCCGCAGCGCTTAAAGATCCACTCAAGCACGCGGGCGTTTTCCCCAAATCCTGGCCACAAGAAGGAGCCACTGGGGTCTTTCCTGAACCAGTTGACGTGGAAAATCTTTGGTAGCTGAGTGGGGGCCTTCCTGGTCTCCATGCTGAGCCAGTGGGCGAGGTAGTCTCCAAAGTTGTACCCGAAGAAAGGTCTCATGGCGAAAGGGTCGTGCATAATTACTTTGCCTGCAGGTCAAAATATGGGCAAATTAGCTGAATAATAAGAAATTAAGAGTGTGGCGCTATAAATTGTATCATCGTAAATCAAATTGTGAAAAGGCAGATATGGCTATTTTACAGATGCTTTCCTGTTTAGTGCAGGTCTATTCTCTCTCACACAGCATGCTGTTTACTTCTTTTTTCCACCCACTCCTCCTACTGAGTGAGTGACAGGTGGATTTAACCAATCACAGTCAATTGTGAATTCTCAGAGGAAGCACATAGCACAAAAAATACCACTTAAAACTACTGTGCAACAGGAATGAAATTGAAATACAGATTTAGTTTTTTACTATGAAGTCCAACAATCCGTGCATATTAATTCGTTCATTCATTTTTCAATATAAAATCAAAAATAAGAAAATGAAAAACAACTATTTATTCATTATTTGTGTCAGAAACAAAAATGAAAAATATGATAATGATTAATTTTTTTAATTTTTCAATTTTGTGTTTGAATGAATAATGGAAAAAACAGATAATGACCTTTTCCCATTTTCGTGACTTAAACTGCGATGCCGGACTTTTGCACCGCATACGTTTTGAACCAGGACTGAACCAGGACTGAACAGGTCTAAACCAGAACTGAACCAGGACTAAACCAGGACTAAACTAGGTCTCAGTCCCGGTCTCAGTCCCGGTCTCAGTCCCGGTCTCAGTCCCGGTTTCCTGATCAACCGACAGTCTACGCGGGCGCACGTCCGGGCCAGTTTAGACCTGGCTTAGACCTGGCTTAGACCTGGCTTAGACCTGGCTTAGACCTGTTTCAGTTCTGGTTCAGTCATGTAAACGGAAAACGGCCATTATCCATTTTTTCCATTATTCATTTAAACACAAAAAATCGAAAAAAGAAAAAAAACTATCGTTATCTGTTTGTGTTTTTTTCATTTTCTTATTTTTGGTTTTATTGAAAAAACAAATGAACGAATGATACATAGATTTGCAACCATGCATAAAATCTTTGCAACCAACACATTTTAATAGTCACAGTTCTTCTCTCAAACAGGAAACACACTGCTCCACCTTGTGATGTCATGTGGTACTACAGGAAGTGTTTTTAAATTCCATACACCTTCACTAGAATAATTTGGATTATTTCAGCCCTGGAATTTCCCATGTCTACTGAACAAAAGGTAAAAGGTATCTGTTAATTTGATATGACATCACAAGGAGATTTGGACATGTAGACAAGCTAATAATAAAAGACATACTCAAACATGTGTGAATGAAACAACTCGGGGTATGCTTTTGATGAGGTAGCAATATTATAACTTGCATAGCTAAAATCTCACAAGAGCCAATTTTGCTTAATATAGAGCCTGTAGCAAGAAACTATGGTTTCCAGAGTTTAATGTATTTTGCAGAGTAACAAAGTTCTAACAAATTTCACATAATAAAGCAGATTTGTACCTTGATGTTCAGCTGCAGCAGTGGCCTCAGATCTCATCGCTGCTCCAACAAACACTCCATGTTTCCAACTGAAGGACTCATAAACCAAAGGCACTCCTGTAGATTACACACACGTTATTACACACAAGAATCAGACTTCTAAATGTTTGTTACTAAATAGGTAAATACAAATTGATTATTTTTAGATTTTAAAAATGCTATCACCATTCTGAATTATGCAAAAAGTACAATCTACTGTCTAATTATTCTCCAGAAGTCCATCCCGGTAACATTTGCCACTGCAGTATCCAAAAATGTATTTACACTGCATAATAAATACCCCTTAACTAGTCTTACATGAAGAAAGTCAATAATAAAGACAATAATAATGGGAACTGTGCGACGAGTGGAGTGTGCAATATTTTAATGTTTGGGCCTCTGTGACCCCAGCCTTTTAGGACAACAAATGGAAATTAGTTTTTGGCTATAATCTGTTGTGTTTACATTTATGTTGTATCATGTCCATTAAACTGCATTTATATTTCCAAATGTTTCTAATGTCAAGGCTGTGTTCTGCTAAATAACCACCAGAGGGCGCCAAAACTCACTTAGAGAATTGACCAAATCAGTTGTTTTGCAGTTGGTCAAGTCACTTTTTAAAAACGTTAGCTCATGTACAGCTCCATAACTAAGATTTCACATGTTCTGAGGAGATAGGCCAAATTACGGAATTTTTTTTTTTTTTAGATATTTATGAGCTTTAAAACCATCTGTAATTGAATAAATGCAGCTAGAGCAGGTAGGTAGATGTAGGTAGGTAGAGCTGTTTAATGTCATACTGTGGAACATTCCAGGCAGAGCAAAGACATATCCATCAAAACAAGCAGGTGATGCACCCTCCACTGGAAAAGTTACACAGTGCACCTTTAACATATACTAGGGTTGTTTATCATTCAGAAATTGCCAATATGATACATACCTCGATTCATAGGCCATGGTGTGATATGTATCTCAGTACAGTGAGCTTACAATTCAATACGATTCAATACAATATATTTTAAATCGTTTCGATACGGTTCAATAAAAAATAAAGGTTTAAGTACTAAAAGTCTTTGTTAAACCACTCCTTGTGCAAAGTTAATATGAGACATCCCCATTTTACTCATCAAAACAGTGTCAAATGTGTTGCATAAATGAGTTGCCTTCCACTGAACAAGCAACAAAACTAGCGCTGTGACAATATAATTTTGCAAAATATACAAAAAATACTGTTGGTGACATATTGATACAGCAGCCCACGATATTGATACTGTATCATCACATTAAACGATATATCAATATTTCAATATTTTTGCACACCCCTAACATGTACTGCCCAAAAATAATAAATAAATTTAATGAACAAATAGTGTATTAACAATTACTCAGACCACAAATTTATGGGGTCAGAATCATTTGTAATAAAATGTGAGTTAATTATGAATTAAATGCTAGTTCATGCAGTAATTAAGTAATCAAGTAATTAAGTGTTACCAAAAATGCTATTAAAACTCCATAAAAGTGAAATAGTGTCTGACCCTCTGGCCTCCTTCCTCCAAAGATGATGGCGTCGATGGGCACTCCCTCCTCACTCTCCCACTGCGGGTCGATGATGGGGCACTGAGCGGCCGGGGCACAGAAACGAGAGTTTGGGTGGGCACAGGGGGTCGGGTTGCCTGGCACCAAAAAAAAATAAATTTAAAATTAAAACACATCATATATAATGTATTCTTACTCACAGCAGGCAAATTGTTTCTACTACTAGTAAATTATCACATCAGGAAAATAGAGCTGATAATACAAAAATCTAAATCGCAGCACATTATCTTGATACCGATATTCAGACAATACGTTGAAAATGCATATGGAATGTCTTAAAATGTGTTTGTAAATGTCTTGGTTGAGTTTCAAGTATCGCACATAACACTGACCACAAAAGGGCAGAAATATTACTTCATATACTTGTTTGGAAGATACACAAGGCATTTATTTGTGTAAATCTTTTTTTTTTTTTTTTTTTTTTTTTAATGTTTCAATATAATTCCTACCACAGAGGAAACCAATAAAATAACCTTGCTTGCCTTACTTTACCAGTGATGTTTGAACTTAACTACTACTTAATGATTTTTGTAAAACTATAAGCTTTTTTAAAATAGCAATGCTAAACAATTGTATTAGTAAAGCACAGAATTGCATTTAAATTAAAATTGTGTCAATGTGTTAAAATTAATGCATAATTTCTGCATGTTTATAAACTAATACAAGAAGTTTATTGCTATAACCATATTCCACCAGAAGATGGCATCGTTTCCCAATCCAACTGCACAGTCCATTTACCTTTCTTCCAGGTTTTCCCGTGCCAATCTGTGAGAGTGACGCCCTCTGGTGGATAGTCCAAACCCTCCCACCACACTCCTCCGTCACTGGTCTCTCCTACGTTCGTGAACACTGTGTTTTTGGAGATAGTTGCCATGGCGTACGGGTTGGTTTTATCTGATGTCCCGGGAGCAACACCGAAAAACCCGTTCTCTGGATTAATGGCCCTGAGTTTCCCTGGAAAGATCAGCAACAAAGTGAGTAACAGGTAAAAGTAGGCTACTCAATGATGCTGAACATTTTTATTTTCTTGTACAGAGTATAAATTAACTGTGTGAAATATGAAAATAATAAAATGTGGTTAGCAACAGTTTGTGTTTTGTTTCATTCACACATGGTTAACACTTACACCCTGCATATTTAAACTGTGTTCTTCTCTCAAACTGAAAACACTCTGCTCCACCTTCTGATGTCATGTGGTAAAACAACAAGTATTCCACTGTGTTTTTAAACTCTATACACCTTCAAAAGAATAATTTCAATATTTTCAGCCCTGGAATTACAAATCTCTCCAGAACTATCAGAAAAAGATGGAGATGTAAACAGACTAATAATGAAGGATTACTCAAACATGTGTGAATGAAACAAAACACAACTCCAGCTTTGTTTTTAATGAGGTAACAACATTATAACATGGCTTAAAGCTCACAAGAATTCATTTTGTGTAATACAGGACCTTTTAAATATGGCTTTATAAAATATATTATTCATCTCTTATGCTTCAGAAAATAATTCTTAAGTCTAATCTCCCTGCTTATTACTGATACTGCAAAACTTTATTTTGTGAGTTATTTTGCAAATACTTAAGTATAGTATAGTTTGGTCCGATAACACAAAAAAACTATTAAAAGGAACAATAAACCAGATTTTACATGTTTTTGATTTTCCAGACATAGTGACTTGTGCGTTACCTTGGCTGTCAAACTTCATCCACGCGATATCGTCTCCCACACACTCCACCTTCCAGCCGGGCAGAGCGGGCTTCATCATGGCCAGGTTGGTTTTCCCACAAGCGCTGGGAAATGCTGCAGCTACATAACGCTTCACACCCTGAGGATTAGTGATGCCCAAAATCTGAAAAAAAAAAAAAAAAAAAAACACAAATGGTGTTAACGTTCTTGTTCTGCCAGGTTAGTCTATATTAAAGGTGCACTATGTTACTTTTTTTTTCACCAGCTTGTCTCCACATGTTGTTGCCTTAGCTGGAATGTTCCTACAATATAGCATTAAACCTATTTCCATGAAGATAAGCAGGTGTCACCACTAAGCTAAGTAGTTATACTGGTTAGATCAGCAGAGAGGCGACCCCACTCCCAGTAAGAATACATGTTTTTCAAGGCATTAATTAGCAATAAAAGCACCTGTAATTGACAAATTTATTTCCATGCTGCAGGAAATTTCAGGCAAAGCACCACATCTCCATGGAGACAACAGGTGATGGGGGGGGTCACATAGTGCTCCTTTGAAACATGTTTATAGGCCAGCCTCACCAGCATGTGCTCTGCCAGCCAGCCTTCATCTTTGGCGATGCGAGAGGCAATTCGAAGAGCAAAACACTTTTTTCCTAACAGAGAGTTTCCTCCATATCCACTTCCGAAGGACAGGATCTGCCTGGAGTCGGGTAGGTGGGAAATGAGCACCTTCTCTGGGTTACAGGGCCATGAGTTCACCAGAGGAGCTGGAATACAAGGAAAATGATTACTGTTTATTTATTAATTATTAAATCAGTGGCTCAAGTTTAAAATTTAGGTGGCACACAGGGGACCATTCTACAGTAGGAATCAGTAGTGAAGTGTCAAAAGGCATTTGTTTTGATCTGGTTTATTATTCATATTTCTTTAATTATGGTCCATCAATTGAATCTATATTTTAATTTATTATAACACAGTGACACGCTGGATAAAACATGTCTACATAAAATTAATCAAATAAATACTGCACATAACATGAAACTGATCCTAAACCTTGCATTAGAACAAAACAAAACCCAACCTGCAATTAAGATTGATTTAATAATTACCATGTAGAGAACCTAAGTGCCATACCTTTCCTCAAGTTATTTTTAAAGCATTTTTTATAGTGAGTACCTTTGAGAGGTAGAGGTCGACCCAGAGTGTGTTGGCAGCGCACAAACTCCACTCCTTCAGCTAATTTGTTCATGACAGGCGTTCCCATTCGAGTCATGATGCCCATACTGGCCACTACATAGGGCGAATCTGTCACCTGCAGGAAGGCACACAATGAAAGCATTAGTTTGGTGCTTTGTAAGTAAATAGTATAGACATAAGGTTCCTGTAATTACCTGAACACCATATTTGGTCAGAGGGGAGCCCACTGGACCCATACTGAAGGGTATGACATACATGGTCCTACCTGCAATATGAAGAAATATATTACGTTCAATTAATATTTGTATTATTTAAGGTCTTATATTACGCATATTTGACTCTTGTGAACTTAGAATGTTGTCACCTCATCGAAAACATACCCAGAATTGTGTTCCGTTTCATTCACACATGTTTGAATAACTCTTTATCATTAGTCTGTCTACATCTCCAAAGCTCAAAAATTCTCTGTTCCACCTTGTGATGTCATATAGTGGACATTTTCAAGTTGACAGCTACATTTTACCTTTTGTGAAGTGGAGATTGTCAATTTCAGGTCTGAAATTACCCAAATGATTCTAGTGAAAGTGTATGGAGTTTAAAAACACTGTGGGGCACTTCCAGTATTACCACATGACATCACAAGTTGGAACAGAGAGTTTTCTGTTTGAACTCAGTCTAAATATGTAGGGTTTGTGAGTTAAACATGTGTGAATGAAACAAAACACAACTCCAGGAATGTTTCTGAAAAGGAAACATTATACCATAGATCAGAAAATAGCGTAATACGAGCCCTTTAAATATTACTTAAAATTATTCAAATGTATTTACCACTTAAAAAATGCTTAAGTTATTCCTGCTACAACTAATCACCCATATCTACAAGTTAACAAGGTTTATTAAATGAGTGAATACTTGAAAAGATACTATATATAAGATACTATACACCACTTTTAGCTTTGCCACCAAACAGGAAGTGTCGGGCAATGCTCATAGTTTTGATTTAATTTGAATAGAACATTTTTAAGATCATATCTCACTTGTGTCGATAATGCAATAAAGTTTGGAGTTGCATTTGCTGAGGATAATACCAAATAAGAATTGTCCATGATACAATCAAGTTGTAAAGGCCGTCACTTTGTATATAGACAATTGGATATGAGTCTCTGCCCTTTGTAAACACAGATTCTGACATTGTGCTTTTAGGAAGAGGACTTCAGCCAATTCACTCCTTTTGCGTTTTATTATGCTGCAGTTAATTATAACACTATTACTAATATGGAGAAATTTATGACACGCCTTCTCTTGTGTTTATTTTGCTAAACAACATAGGTGTGCATATAATTGGATATTAATCATGATTACAATTACTGGCCTATTTAATTCCAAAAACAGTGTATTAAAATGTATATGTTCTGAATATGAGTGAGCATTCTGCCCCATGTCAAATCATCAATATTACTAATTAAATGATAAATGATCCATACTTTTATCAGTGCATAACCTTTAAAATAATTGTGTTTTAATAATAGGATTTTATTCAAAGGTTGCATTTTAAACTCATCCAGAAGAAGTGACAAAAAGACTGAAATATGACTGAAAAAAGAGACAAACTAACTAAGAATCACATTTCATACAGACAGAATTAACAGAATAAGACAGGATGTTTTGTGGATGTGTGGAAGAAAATGTGGTAGCTCCAAAATCTCCTTTTTTAAATTCAAATTCCAATTTTAATTTTGATTTCAGTGCAAACAGCTGAAGAGTTTTTAATCAACACTCTTCTCTTTTGAAGTCAATTTTATGATAATTATTTATGATGTTGTATTGTAATTTTAATGTCTTTCTTAATCTGTGTGTACAAAATGTGCTATGATTATGAACTTGCCTCGCCTAAACTTGCAGCCCTAGTTGTAGCTGTTATCATATTTGATCATAGTTAGTAAGCGCACCTGCCATACTGCCAGGGAAGCGCTCCTGTCGGGCCCTGTCCCAGTCGGACTCGCTCATCCAGTTGCCCAGCTGACTCTTGACCCCCTCGGCCGGGATGGGGATGGTGTCCCGCTGCTTTTTGGTCACGATCACGGTTTTACTTTCAACCCGAGCCACGTCCTTTGGGTCTGTGCGCGCCAACCAGCTGAAACACAACAACGTACCGTACACTAAGAATATGGATTTAGGTAGATTAAAGGTCCTACAGTATATTACACAAAATTGACTTGTGAGCTTTATGCCAGCTTTAGAATGTTATTACCTCCTCAAAAATATACCTGGAGTTGTGTTTTGTTGCATTCACACATGTTTGAGTAACCCTTTATTAGTATTCTGTCTACATCTTCAAAGCTCAAAACGCTTTCTTCCACCTTGTGATGTCATGTCATGAAGCAGTAGTTTTCAAGTTAACAGCTACCTTTTATCTTTTGTTCAGTAGAGACAATTCCAGGGCTGAAATTATGACTCTAATGAAGGCATATGGAGCACTTCCTGTATTACCACATGACATCACAAGGAGTGTTTTCTGTTTGAGACAGTAAAGGTTTGCGATGAGGAAACAACATTATAACATAGATAAGAAAATAGAGTTAGTCTCATTTACCAGTTTTCATATTTGGGCAGCTTCTTGACCATGCCCTCCTTCTCCAGCCCGGCCAGGATGTTGGCTGTCTCCTCGGGGGTCCCAGTCACCACGTGGACCCCGGACGGTTTGCACTCCTCCACCGCGCCCTTCACAAACTCTGCCACGGCCGGAGGGAGAGAGGGGACGGAGGCCAGGGACCGGACCCCCACACTCGCCCCCACACCCCCATGTCTACAAGAGGGACAGAAGAACAACTGTGAGGACCATTTAATATAGTGGGTTTCACACTGTGGTATTTAGGTACGGCTGCTGGTGCTGGTTTGGGTCCAGTCAAAGTCCTAATCTAGATTTGGTTGGGTCCTGTTCTAGTCCCGGTTTACCTCTGGTCTAGTCCTGATCTAGTTCTAGTCCTGGTTTAGCTCTGGTCTAGTCCTGGTTTAGTTCTGGCCTAGTCCTGGTTTAGTTCTAGTCCTAGTCCTGGTTTAGTTCTAGTCCTAGTCCTGGTTTAGTTCTAGTCCTAGTCCTGGTTTAGTTCTAGTCCTATTCCTGGTTTAGTTCTAGTCCTAGCCCTGGTTTAGTTTTGGTCTAGTTGCTGTTCTGGTCTAGTTCTGATCTAGTTCTAGTCCTGGTTTTGTCCTGGTCTAGTCCTGGTTTAGTTCTGGTCTAGTCCTGGTTTAGTTCTGTTCTAGTTCTGTTTTAGTTTTGGTGTAGTCCTGATCTAGTTCTAGTCCTGGTTTAGTTCTGGTCTAGTGCTGTTTTAGCTATGGTCTAATCTTGGTTTAGCTCTGGTCTAGTCCTGATCTAGTTCTAGTCCTGTTTTTTTCCTGGTCTAGTCCTGGTTTACCTCTGGTCTAGTCCTGATCTAGTTCTAGTCCTGGTTTACTCCTGGTCTAGTCCTGGTTTACTTCTGTACTAGTCCTGGTTTAGTTCTGTTCTCATCCTGGTTTAGTTCTGTTCTAGTCCTGGTTTAGTTCTGTTCTCATCTTGGTTTAGTTCTGTTCTAGTCTTGGTTTAGTTCTGTTCTCATCCTGGTTTAGTTCTGTTCTAGTGCTGGTTTAGTTCTGCTCTAGTCCTGGTTGGGTCCTGTTCTAATCCTGGTTTAGCTCTGATCTAGTCCTGATCTAGTTCTGGTCTAGTCCTGGATTAGTCCTGGTCTGGTTCTGGTCTAGTCCTGGTTTAGTCCCAGTTTAGTCCCAAATTTGATATGATGATTGTGCAAGTGTGAACAACCCTTTAGTGTATTTAGTGTCTTGACATTTGTCTGACCAGCACTTTAAAGCTGCACTATGTAACTTTTCTGGACAAGTTGGATGCCACCAGACAAAGTTACTAGTCAGATCTGTGGAGATGCGAGCCTGTTCACAGTAAGAGTGCGTGCTTTTCAAAGATCGTTTTAGCAATACACCTGTAGTTGAATAATGTAAGATAGATAGATAACTTTAATGCCATACTGTGGAACATTCCAGGCGTCTCATATACAATATCAAGAGGACAGTTATGCTGATTGGTAATTGATAATTGGAATGGTCTTTGTCTGAAGTAAAAAGCTGGTAACTGATTTTAATGATGTCTATTTAAAGAAAGTTAAAAGTTAAACACCGCAAAGCATACAACAACAGAGTGTAGATACTGTGTACTTAGTCATCAAGTACAATTTACAATGTAATGTAATATTAATGTAATGTTATATTCAGTACAAAAAGGGTTGGCTAAAAAGCGTAGGGGAAAAAAGAATAATTGTTTCCCATGTTAAGGATAAAATGTGTCCTAGGGGAGCTCGATGAAAATGTGAAATACGTTAAAAAAAAAAAGTCCTATATTATACAAAGTTGTCTCTTATGAGCTTTAAGCCATGTTATAATGTTAATACCTCATCAAAATAAACCTGTAGTTGTGTTTCGTTTCATGCACACTTGTTTGAGTAACTCTTTATTATTAGTCTAAATATGCAGGGTTTGTGTGTTAAACATGTGTGAATGAAACAAAACACAGCTCCAGGTCTGTTTGTGATGAAGAAACATGTTACATAAATATTATAAAAATTACAAATATATCACAATTGTCACTTTTACTATCACTGCCAGTATATTTCAATATATTCTGCGTACAGATATAAGGATGTTACGGTAATTTATAAGGAAATTAAGTAAGTAGGTTTTTATTTATATAGCGCTTTTCACAGACATATGTCACAAAGACGCTTTACATTTTTACATCATTTTTCATTCACTCCATACCCGGTGGTGGTAAGCTACCTGGGACAGACTGACGGAAATTAAAAACTTAATTAATGATTTAATGTTTGTGTGATTTGCATGTGACAGTTGAGTCATTAAGCCCTGTTCTGCCCAGGGCAAAAGCAGCCTGAGAGCCTCAAATGAACTTGCCCACAAAGAGAAGGGTATTTAGGGGCTGCCTTTGTTATCAGTGTGACGTTCAGACAAACCACATAGATCTGCAAGCTGTTAAAACAAGAGTCTCTGTGTGAGTAAAAGGCTACAGAGGTACAATAGAGTGTAAGAATGGAGAGTGAAGGGGCTTTGTGTTCACACTATTTTTGGACAGTGGTGAACTCTATGACCTTTGGGACAGTAAGGTTAAATTGCCTATATTACACTATTTTCTGATCTATATTATAATGTTGTCTCCTCATCAAAAACATACCTGGAGTTGTGTTTTGTTTCATTCATACATGTTTAACACACAAACCAATGATATTTTTCTCTCAAACGGAAAACACCTTGTGATGTCATTTGGTAATACAGGAAGTGCTCCATATGCCTTCACCAGAATCATTTGGATAATGTGAGCCCTGGAATTGCCAAGCTCTACTAAACAAAGGGTAAACTGTATATTTTAACATGAAAACTACCTCTTCGTGACATCACAAGGTGGAACAGAGCATTTTGAGCTTTGGAGATGTAGCGAGACAAATAAAGATTTGCTCAAACATCATATATGAAAGAAACAAAACACAACTCCAGATAAGCATTTTTCTAACATGGCTTAAAGCGCACAAGAGACAATTTTGCATAATATTTGACTTTTAAACTTTGTTAATACTGAATATGTTGCCTAATTTTATAATATAATGTTTTGAATATAGACCAATAATATAATATAATATGATATAAGCTTTTGAATATAGACCTGTCACAATAACATATTTTGAAACATGATATATTACTGTAGACTAAATAAATATATTGAGCTCAAAAATATATTGTTCAAACTTTCACTTTGAACAATAAGTCGATATACTATAGTAATTATCGTAACAGGCCTTTTTTAAAGTAAGGTTACTATAGCTCATTTGCAAGTTAAATATGCACCTAAATAAATGTACACAAAAGACAAACTGCTGCTCAAACAAAACCAGGACAAACCAAACTTGAGTTAAAACCACAAAATGTGAAATGTTTAATTATATTTAATATTTAATTAAAATCTTTAGTGTTAAGTAAAAAAAATAGGCTACTCAAGTGAAAGCATTAGTAAGACAACACCAATAATCAATAGTGCAATTTACAAGAAAGCTATGGCATGACATCGCCATCTATATGTATATATGTAAACTCAACTAAAGCTTCTTTTTAGTGTCAACAACCACAAAAATCTCTAAAAATGTCAAAATCACCTTTACACCCTGAGGTGCAAACTCCATGAGTGTTTTTGTCTTAAAATAGGTTAATGTATTACTTTGCTTACAAAGTGTCACAGTATGGTCAACTTAACTATCTCCATGGAAACAAGCAGGAGATGCCATCAGACCAAGATACCAGTCAGATCTGTGGAAGACCTGCTGACTGTAGCTGTGCAGATTCATATGAGCAATAAAGACACCAATAATTAAAAAAAAAAAGACAGACAGATACTTTTAATTCCACACTGTGAAACATTTCAGACAAAGTATTACCATCTCCATGGAGACAAGCAGGTGACGCACCATCTACCCAAAAAGTTACACAATGCACCTTTTTATATATAGTTAATATTTATTGTGATCTTAGCCAAGCATGATAGATGAATTTAATAAATTATTTATGGAACAAAGCCATTCTGCACTGGAGCACTGTAACACTTTATTTTATAATTGTCTTTTTATACGTGTTTATTGTACATAATGTGAAATGTGCGACCAGCCTCTCAAATCTGCAAAACAAATTTACCTTCGGGTACGAATAAAGCAACCTAAACTTTAAGTGTCCAACAGGCACATGCTCACAATTCCCATGCTTTAAGTGATCAATTACAGCAGTTTCACATGAAGGACGACTGCTCTTCTGAATACTGAGTGTACACAAACTGCACAGAGAGGAGCAGTGACAATGTACAAAGGGCACAAACCTAAGATAACACTGAATCCATCAAGTAAATAATAAAATCATCTCTGCTGCTGACTATCCCCTTATGGCATGGCATTAGCACAATTTGAACACAAAGTAATTCAAAGTACTTATAAGGTCAATACACCATCAGATTCTTTCCATTGTGACATTAAAAGGCCTGTACTTGATTTATTTTGCAAAATCTGTCTTGTCCCAGTGAAGACATATTATATAAGCAGCTCCTGAAGTCAAAACAAGTCTACTATGTCTCTGCTGTGTGTTTTATTGTCCCAGAATCAGGAAGTGTGTGGTTAGGGTGCTAGTTGTTACTTTACTGTGATTGCAAAACTCTGTTCTTAGGATGCTTAACTTTGGTTTAAACTTTGCAAACTTTTAAAAATGAACTAATCATGTTTTTCATAATTGGAAAACTATACATTTAAAAATCTAAATAGATCTTATGCCATGTAGCTAATCAAATTTAAAATAGGGATTTAAATTCTTACTGTATAAAAAACACATTAGACTGTAGCAGATGATGGACTTAGGAAGACCAGTTTAAATACCAGGAAACATGTGATCACATGATCCAGTGGAGTAAGTTATACGTCAATGAAAAGTACATAAACATTAAAGCAATATGTGCCACTGGACAAGCCTGTCTCTGTAGAACAAGAGCAATAAATCAGTTGTCCTGCTATTTATTCTGGCAGTTTGTATTTTACAGTATAATGTATTCAGTGAAACACAATTCTATCTGACAAATGAGCAAGGCACTAAAGTATTCACAACATATATCAAGACTACACAGGTCACAATTTAATCATAACAAACAAAATGGCAGCAATCATGCCATAAGTCACTTCTAATCCATCTATACACTGGACCGGTGTTGTCACGATATTAATGTTTCAAAATCTATTTGGATGGATTTAAGAAATATACTCGAGGCTAATACAAATTCTGACATCACGATGATGATAAAAAACATTCTTTATTTAGACAACAGAATGTAATTTTTCACATTAAATGGTAGTAATTTCTTTTAAACTACCATGTGGTCTTATATCTTTGTAACCCCTCAGTCATCGAGGTAGATTCCATTGTGGTCCATGGGCGTTTACTAGTCTATGAGCTCTTATACTTGTTCTGATACAGCTCAAGATCATTCTGAAGTGATTCAGGAAGAGTTCTTTTCTGTTTGGTGAATGTGACTTTTTAGTATAGATACCCGACCAAATGAGTTTCTAGATTCAATTCTAGTTTTCGTCTTGATTGGTATCTGATTTTTGATACTTTGACAGCCCTACCATACACTAAATAGACAAATCTAAATGTAAAGTGCTTTTTATCTGTTTATGTAAAATAACTTCAGAATTTCACTGTTGTCATAGTGTCCATAATAATCATACAATTCACTGTATCAATGTAATCTGATATAGCAACATCCTGTATGCTACTGTATGTAACTTGTAGCATAAAATACTATTACTTCTTCCAAGTTAATTATGCAAAGAAATATTTTACTTTTACTACGATTTTGTACAATAACTTTAAATGTGTCCAGATTTGGAGATTTGGATTTCTGTTAGAGGAGAGGTGTTGTCTGATTAGAAACAAGAGACTTCAGTCCAGATTTGGGAGCTCGTTTCGGAACATCTTTTAGAATACCCTCTGTAGACCTGCTGACCTTTGACCCCTGTAACCATTCAAACCATGAGGCTTTTGTCTCTCCCTCTTCATTCCTCTCCATCCCCCGCAGCTAATCAGCACTGACATGCCCCTGAAAGTGCTAGCATGTGCTAACTTTTAATTAAATTATTCATGTGCTCCAAATGAAACGACCTTCTGTGGTGAATACATGATTGTCCATTGAGTTTTACTATTTTCTCTCCTCTTTTTGTGAAATGTCACAAATGGCAAAAACTGGTTACATCTGTCTAACAATACACTAAACAACATTTTTAAATTAAATGCTTTATGTAGTGTATCTAATTGCTTTACCAAACATTGTTGATTTAATTTGTCATAAAACTTCAAATCAAAATTCTCCTTCACATTTGTAATTGCCCAACATTTTTAAGGGTATATCAAAAATAAAAGCAAGAGTTGGTCAAACATTTATGCCTGTATTTCATGTATTTTTCATCAGGATGTTAAGATATCCAAATCTCTCAGCACGATATTTTCACAATATGCATCTCACAGTACGATATTTACTGCAATATTTGTGGAGGTTAATAAAATTGTGAATACTACTTTTTCTTTTTAAAATGCCTTGACAAGTCATAGTAAAATTTAATCTATGTATAATCTATATAGTTCCCTCTGCTTTTTAGCTATTTCTGCTTGTAGTTCAGTATATTGTGATGGGCTACGATATTATGGTGAGACTTTTGACAATATGATATCACGGTCTTTCAGTTATTGGTTACATCCCTAATTTATGATCATCTTTACTAACGATTTTTGCTTTCAGATGCAATTAAAATAAGATGGAAGCATATGGCATAGTAGATTATATGATATTAGATTACATTTTATGTGCACATGCTAAAAAAAAAAACTAAAAAAAACATTTGTGAACAGTTAGAAAACACATATGTTACTGTGCAGGAGAGTGAGAAGACCATAACTTCTTATATAAGACCCCCTCACCTAAAAACGTGTTTCGAGCACAGCACACATTTAAAGGTGTATTATGTAACTTTTCTGATGGTGGGTCTGTCAAATGCTTTTCTCCATGGAGATGTTATGGCATTAAATCTTTCTATCTTCACAGAGACTAAACAAGGCTAAGTTACAGGTCAGATGTGTGGAGACGCAACCCCGCTCACAGTCAGAATGTCTGTAATTCTAGGTATTTTTGAGCTCTAAAACTGCCTGTAATTGAATAAATGCAATGTAGAATGGTTTAATGTCATACTGTGGAACATTCCAGGCAGAGCAGTGACACATCCATAGAAACAAGAAGGTGACGGACCCCCAACCAAAAACATAGTGCAATTTTAAACTCTAAATTTTTTGCGCTTGCCACTTTTTTTTTGAGTCTACAAATAAAACTTTATTAGTGCAAATCAGACAGGGCAACTCCCAACTATTAACACACCTCTAGATCATATGAAGAACCAATCAACTTCCACTACCATCCCCACGCCTTCTCTCCCCCTTTTAACTCTTTTGGACACATCTTAGTACATTGGCTTCCAGGGCAGAGTCTACAGCCCAGACACACGTGCTCCTTGCGTTACCGGCTCACAGGGTACACGCAGTCCAAGGGAGCTTTGAGCAAATAAAGAAGTGATGAGTCCAGCTACAAGAGACCTCTCATGCAGAAAAACAAATAACCATGAGTCCTATGCCACTAAATGTCCCTATATTAGTCACTCATTCACTTAGGCATGCTTTTAACACACTACTACAACTTACTGCATGCTTTTTGCAGAGTAGATCCAAATCTGAAGGTGAATGTGGATAGAACAAAGCCCATGATTAAGTTTTACAAATACTTAAAATGTCTCTTGTCATCTAGCTGATCCAAGACGAGTTGAACAGGTTTGAGGTATAGCAACTATTTTAACTTTTCTTTTCTTTAGTCTATTTAAATCAGGTTAGTCAATAATAACAGCATCAAAATGAAGATGATAATTGGTCAATAACATTTATAGCCTGCCTAATTGAGGATAAGACTTTATGAACAGCTCCCCGAGCAGATAACATACACGAAAAGTTAAGACATGTATGAAATTGTTGTGTTTTTAGTAATATAAGCCTAAATGAGCCTTCTAATAATGTGCTTTTGTACCGTGTGTGTTGTTTCTTCATTAAATTTAACGTAGAGAAAGTGTAATTTAAATACACACAAAGCAATTACACTAAACTGTGAAAACTGCTTGAGTTGTAAAGTGAAATTTTACATGAGGCAAAACCTACGGAGGATACATGCTGAGGTTGCAAAAAGCAGTTCATTCAAAAGCTGAGGTAAATACATCAAACTTACCTTCGTAATACTCCCAGTAAAAGACACGACATCTTAGTGCAAACCGAGGCTAGTGACTGCAGGATACACGCGTGAAAAGGCGCATGAAGAGTGGGTTGGAGAGATGGAAGCAGTGGTCAGAGCCGCTCGTTCATATCTGAGGGGACCTTGCACTTTGATCGACGTGTACATTCACTGAATACTGCCCGGTGTCAGAGGTAAACAGACGCGAAGCCCGCAAGTCAAGATGCGTAAAGTTGCACGGCACTCATCCGGACAGCGGCTTGGAGCGAGGACGTAGACGCAAGGGGAGGCGTTTCTTGTTTATTCAACCAAAGTCCTGTTTACAAGTTGTGCCCACATTGCAGGGCTCGTCTCTGAACCTCTCTCTAACAATAGGGCCCGGGTTGGGGTTGGCTGACGCAAGTTTCCAGAGTTCCTTCAGCATCGATAGAACGAAAAAAAAAAACCGCACAAGTGAACCGGAAATACACATCTGGGTGCGCGATGTACGGAAAAGAGGGAGCAGCAAGTGGCTTTGGGTCATGTTTTATGATGTTACATTTGTTTGCTTTTGTTTATTATTAATTTCTAACGCAAATATTAGGCAAGTAGTCGGAGCCTAGTAGGTCTAATTGTAGTAGTAGTAGTAGTAGTAGTAGTAGTAGTAGTAGTAGTAGTAGCAGTAGTAGTAGTCAGAGTTGGGACCAAGTCTTTGTTTTGCAAGTCTCAAGTAAGTCTCAAGTCTTTGACCTCAAGTCAAATTCAGGCAAGTCCAAGTCGAGTCTCGAGTCACTGGCCCATAAGTCCAAGTCAAGTCCAAGTCCTGCTTTGAGCTTCAAGTCATTTCAAGTTTTTAAACTAAAGTACCAAATATAGCTTAGATTTTTGCAATTTATATGAATTTTAAACTAAATTGTACTTAAAAAATCATGGTATATTTATATATGTGTATTTATGGAGTATACAAGAGTTATAGAAATTATTTTAGTTAATTTCTCCTTTTTAAATGTCTTGACAAGGTCTTAGTGTGAATCATTATGGTCAATTAAGACTTAAAAGTGCTTTTCAAGTCTTCTCAAGTCACAGGCCTCAAGTCCTAGTCAAGTCCCAAGTCTTTGTCCATTTTATCAAGTCAAGTCTCAAGTCCTAAAAATAGTGACTCAAGTCAGACTCGAGTCCAAGTCACAACTTGCAAGTCTCCACGTCTGGTAGAAGTAGTAGTAGTAGTAGTAAACACCGCAGGGCCCTTTAATTGCAGTTTATTGGGGGACCGTAAACATGGATCATTTCAGATCAATTAACTTTTATTTGCCCTGCAGGGTTGGAGTTGGGATTACGGGTTACCAACAACTGTGATCATATCTTTTAGCAAATATGTTTGGTGTGTTGTGGTGTAGGTTTCTGACTCAGCACATTTAAATAAAACGGAAGGAAATACTGGCACTCCTTATTAGTGTTTTATGAAGCATTAAGATTAATGATCTGCTGTTGACTGTGGTTTGAATTCACATTTTTTCCAAAGGTGTAGATAGACTGAACGCATTAAAGGGCCCACATTACGCTATTTTCTCATCAATGTACCTGTTACACTGTTGTTTCCTCATCACAAACATTCCTGGGATTGTGTTTTGTTTCGTTCACACATGTTTAACACCCAAACCCTGCATATTTAGGCTGAGTTCTTCTCTCAAACTGAAAAAACTCGGTTCCACCTTGTAATGTCATGTGGTAATACAGGAAGTGCACCATTGTTTTTTAACCTCTGTACACCTTCACTAGAATCATTTAGATAATTTCAGATGTGGAATTGCCAAACTCTACTGAACAAAAGATTGAAAACAACCACCACATGATATCACAAGGTGGAACAGGGATTACTCAAACATGTGTGAATGAAACAAAACACAACTCCAGATATGTTTTTGAGGAGGTGCCAGCATTATAACGTGACTTAAAGCTCACAAGAGTCAATTTTGTGTAATGTAGGACCTTTAAGTGACATTGACCACTGCAATACAAAGACTTCCATTCAACCCAAGTTCATCTATACAAGGCTATTACCAGACTGTTCTGTTTTGGTTTCCTTTGAAAGCTTAAACAATATAAACACACACACCAGACAGTTCCCAGAAATATGGATTTGCATGACTCATTCCGTTGTTTTGCCTCGTCGACATAGCTTGTATTTCATTACGGTTGCTTCCTCGGTCTGCCCAATACTATTAGTACATTTACTGCTCATTCATTACAAACTATATCTCATTACACTGACTTTAAAGATGCATTGTGTAGCTTTTCTGGTGGAGGGTCTGTCAAATGCTTCCATGGAGATGTAATTGCTTTGTCTGAAATGTTTCACAGTATGACATTAAACCTTTTTTGTCTTCATGAAGGCCAAATCAGGTCAAGTTACAGGTCAGATCTGTGGAGAGGCGACCCTACTCACAGTCAGTCCTGCCTGTTTTTATTGGTGTTTTTGTGTTAGTTGAATAGAATAAATGTAAGATAGAACTGTTTAATGTTTTATGGTGGAAAATTCCAGGCAGAGCAATGACATCTCCATAGAAACAAGCAGGTGACAGACCCCCAACCAAAAAGTTACATAGTGCACCTTTAAGTCATATGTATGTACCATGCTGAAGTATTTCTAATGGTGCATTTCCTGGCTTTCCTGATCTCCTTTGAGAACAAGGGGTGGGGTCTAGTCTAATCTTGTAGACAGTCTGTTTAAATGGGTGGGATTACAACACAGAGAGAGAGACAATAGTCCAAGAACATCTGGTTAAACTTCAGCAGGGTCTCGAGTTACTGAGTCAGCCAAACAGAAAAGACTTATGATGAATGGCCGTACACATGGGCTAAGCATGCTACAGCTATAACTCAAAACTCTGCTAATGAAAAGACACATTGAGCAACCAGGCCACAGGCAAAACAAGAAGAATGTAATACTGGAACATGCACACTTCACATACAGACTTATGAGTATCAACACTACATAAGATCCTAAAACTGTACTAAAATTTTGTGCTCCCAAAGCTTGAATTAATATCTTATTCCTCTTCAGGTGAAATCAAACTTTGACTTAGTTGCTAAAGAGTTAATTCTATGTTGCATACACTAATCACTTGACTGTGCACTGAGATGGGGGTGGCGAGATTTTAAGATGTAATTTTAAATTTATGACAATATCAGTTATTGTATTAAAGGTCCTATATTGTGCAAAACTGACTCTCTTTAAGCTTTAAGTCATGTTATAATGCCGTTACCTCCTCAAAAACATACCTGGAGTTGTGTTTTGTTTTATTCACACGTTTAGGTTTTCGAGTTGATAGCTATCTTTGACTTTTTGCTCAGTAGAGACAATTCCGGGGCTGAAATTATCCAAATTATTCAAATGCAGGTGTATGGAGCCGGAATGCAGAGTCTGTGTGTTATGTGTGAATGAAACAAAACACAACTCCAGGTTTGTTTTTAATGAGGAAACAAGATTATAACATAAATCAGAAAATAGTGCAATATGGACCCTTTGAATATTAGCTGAATACAATAACAGAATTAACTATTATGTTGCACTGTGTAACAAATTGCTCAAATAAAATGAAATGAACACAAACATATTCTGCATGCAATGGGCTTTCTGTGTCTTTATAAACACAAGTTGTACCTAGACACTGCATAGATCAGATGGAAAGTTAGTTTAAGAATGATAGGGGTTTTTTTTTGTGTGTTTTTTTTTGTTTTTTTTGTTTGTTTGTTTGTGAGGTTTTACATGTAATTAATTTTTTTTTTAAAGTTTAAACTATCTATACTTTTATAACTGCTCACTGCTCACATTTTGGCACTTACAATCTTAAATTAATTGGTTTGAACGGGACAGGACATCCTGTTTAAAACAACACATTAAATCACTGCTCAGGAGAAGGTTTATATGAAAAGCACATTGGTCGAAGACATGATAATATGCATATAACAAAAGGAACTTGAGTACATGGACCTACTGCCCCGGGTCTGTATTGAATAACATTGTAACCAAAACTTCCTCTGGCCATTCATCTTTCTCTCTCTCTCTCTCTCTCTGTCTCCCTCTTTCTCTCTCTCTTTGCCCCCCTCCTCTGTGTCTCTCTTTTTCTCGTTCTCCCTCTCTGCCTTTCTCTCTCCTTTACCTCTTCCCTCTTTCTGTCTCTGTCTCTCTCTCTGTACCCCCCTCTTTCCTCTCTCTCGCTCTCTTTCTTACCCCCAACTCTCCTCTCTCTCTTCTCTCTTTTTCACTCTGTCTCTTTTCCTCTCCCTCTTTCTCCCTCTTTCTTCTCTTTCTTCTCTCTATTCTTTCTATTCTCACTTTGTCTATTTTCCTTACTCTCTCTCTCTCTCTCTCTCTCTCTCTCTCTCTCTCTCTCTCTCTCTCTCTCTCTCTCTCTCTCTCTCTCTCTCTTTCTCTCTCCCTGGGGACATTTAAACTTTCCTCAACAACAGCCATCAATTTAATGAAACAAAGTCTATTGATCACCCACTCAATCAATTCACAATCAATGCAAAGTAATGCAGCACATGCATTCAACACGTGCGACCTTTAACCTTTGGATTCAAACAATATCTTTATGACACAGGGAGATATTAATTACAACCTCTCTTTCCTATCTGCGATGTATATGAAAACAAAGTATTAAATCTCTTCAATGGTCAGAAGTCCTCAAAATGGCTTCCACACTAAAACACTGAAACCCATGAATAGTTCCTATAAACATTTTCACATACTATTGTTTGTTATCTCCTGTCCATAGTTTTACAAATGTTACATTCTTACCAGGCACATCAAAAATAGACATCGTTCAATTTTACTCATTCTTAAAGGTGCAATATGTAACCTTTCTGGGGTAGGATGTCTCTTGAAGTTTCTGTGTAATGATTTTAACATTCATCTCTTTGGGCACAAACAGGTTACAACACCACAGCATCATGTTACAAATCATATCTGTGAGGAGGTAATCACTCGCCGTAAGAATACATGCATGTTTTTGATTAATAAAAACACCTGTACTTTAATAAATGTAAGACAGATCAGTTTAATGCCACAGTACGCAACATTTCAGGTACAACAATATGGAGACAAGCAGGTGGTGGACAGACCAAAAGAAAACTTGTGCAACTTTCAAATCTCACTTTAAAAGTCACTCATGAACATTTGTGTTGAACCAAAGTCCCCATGAAGCAAGTGCCCCACTTTGTTTTAGGGTAAGGTCCACATGGCTGTTTATTTACCTTGTGCCTGACGTCTATTCTGTCCCTTATGATACCAGCTCTTGGTCCAGTCTTTTTGGGTCAACTCTGACACACAACTCCTGCATCATCGTGCGATAGCAGCAGAAAGCCCTGACACCAGAAGCTCTTTGACCTGAGTTTTATTGACTGACCAATCAATGCTGAGATAAATGTACACAGAGCTGTTACTGACTGCATGATTTAACCTGAAGGAAAATACAGTTTGTGGCAAATCTGGCAACATTTTCAAACAGCTGTGGTCTTCTTGCTAGGTTACAGACAGCTAGGTCTTTTTGTCTGATCCATGTTATGATGGAGCAGGGCATTTTGAGCGCTGAAGATGCAGACAGACTAATAATAAAGGGTTACTCAAATGTATGAATGAGACAAAACAGGGATAAACAAAAATGAATATTCTTACATTATAGATTTTTTCTAGGTAGTACAATTAGTTCTTAGATCTAGTCTCTAATAGAAATGATCAGGCTCAACATTTGTGCATTAAGTCTGACTTTTGGCTATTTTATGGCAGTAAAAGTACAATATCATCAAAGTATGGCATCATCACATTGTAGCATCTGAAAACCACCAAAATCAGGACTTTTTTTGTCAGAATAACTGTCTTGTTGTTGTTGTTGTTGTTGTTGTTGTTAGTAGATTTTATGATGTAATGGGCCTACGCATATCCAAAAGTCTATAAAAATACAAAAGCACAACAAATCCAAAAGACTATGTGCATGACTTTGAAGAAAGATAGTGAGCCTGATTTAAGCTCAGTACTGTACCATAATAAGAGGAACAGTGCCATCTTGTGGACAAAGTTGGTACAACCTTTATGAAGGTGCAAAGGGAGGTTTTGAAAGGGGAAAGTGAGCATAAGCAATGGATATACACTGAATAAATAGTTGCCCATTAATAGATCTACATACAACAATGCGCGCATCTATGCAGAATATGGTCAAAACCCATACAAATCTCCTTTCTTAAATATTTGATAATTACATTCAATCAGCCCTGTATATAGGCCAATAACTTTTAACTTTAACTTAATATAAAAGACAACTCTATAAAATGACACACATATGCCTAATTTTTGTCTAAAAAAAAAAAAATGAAATGCACGCGTCTTATTAAAACTACAACACCCATGATGCAACAGGGCGCAACTTCCAAATGGGAAAGTACGGAACTGGTGCGTTTACTTTCATTTTCTTTATGTATTGCTGACTAACAGTGAGTATATTTCTTTCGCATTTTCTTAGCATTGAATTACTGGTTTGAGTTACAAATCGTATAGATGTTTTATTTTGTCGTTGCATTTTAACACATTTTTACGCTTTTTGATCACAGATTCATCATGACGTCTCTAAATGTTCGTCCCGACACAAAGCAACAGGTGAGACGATTCATGCACGTATTGCACAAAATAACACTTAAAAAAATCTGTGTTTTTTTCTATATTTCTTACGACCATTGTTTTAGTTGTTTTGTTGTTAGCTTACATGTGACTTAGCTGAGTCATATAGCGGCGGGGGGCATTATAGGGGTTGGGGCTGTCAATCATCTATTCTCTCGTCTTTATCAATAACACTTGTTTTAACTACATTTGTGCCCAACAACATTGCATATTGTTGTAAATGAATGTCTGTATTTGTGTATTTCAGGTGGATAGCTTCTGCCAAAATCTTAACAAAGAGGTATTTACGTGGTTTCTGTTTCACTTCCTTGTTATTCACATGTAAAATCCGTTTTCCTTCAACACATCACATTATATCTGCCATGTAATCTATTTTTTAAAGTTCATATTCCAAGTTTTGTGTCTTAAATTCTTCCCATTATTATCTGTAAATGATCTCTTATGCTTCCGTGTAGGCTGAGGAGTTGGTGAAAACATTTTTTCCTCAGAAGATTGAAGAGATGCAGTTGATGTTAACGGTATTAAAATTTGCCTATTCATTATTGTTATTATTATTTACATTTCATTGGTTTTATATTCTCTTTATTAGTATAAATTAGGGAAAGCACCTTGTTTTTGTTGATTTTCTGTAGTTCTCTATAAAATGGTTATTAAAGGTGCTCTCTGTAACTTTTCTGGTGAAGGCCATACCACCTGCTTGTCTTGTTACAGAGATATTAATGCTTTGCCTAGTTACTGGTCAGATCTGGGGAGAGGTGCATGGTTTTCAAGGTATTAAAACACCTATAATTAAATAAATGCTAGATAGATAGGTTTAATGCCATACTATGGAGCATTCCAGGCAATGAATGCAACTACATCTTCATGAAGACAAACTGATGGTGGGCCCTCCATCAGAAAAGTTACAGTGCATCTTTAATATTGAATTCATTGACAGAAAGAAGGACTAGATATCTGCCATATTTCAGTATGCAAACCCATTTATTTGTTGTTATAAGCTTCATCTCATGTTTTGCATATTTTTCAGACCTCCTTCATTTGCAAAGACCTGGAGACTCTGAAGGTCCTGTTGGACATCCCGATGCCTGATCCAGCCAAAGAGGAGGCCAAGCGCAAAAAGAAGGAGGAAGTGAGTACCATGTTAAATATGTAACAGTATGATGATGAATCTGGCCTCTAATATAAATGACCAACTTTAACATTTGTGCATTTAAAAATATTTCTTATTGCAAATACAATTTCTGCATAGACTCAGCATGACTGACTGTGAGACAGGTGCGTTGGAAGAGAGGCACTTATCTGAAAACTTTTTAAAGCAGACCTATTATGCAGAATTGACTTTTTAGAGCTTTTAGCCATGTTGTAGTTGTTTCCCATCACCATTTACTGATCTGAAGTTGCATTGAGTGGAGTCATTTGTGCATGTTGAGCAATCTTTAATCGCTTATTTTCAAGACACCATATTGATGATCAATCCTTGTTTTCACCGCCACGGGCATATGCCTACTCTGTATCCTTTTTTGTGATGGTGTTTATGGCGGCGTCAGCTCTCACTGGGCACCGCATTTTCTAATGCTGAAGTTGGCAGATTTGTTTCTTTTATCAAGTCGTTTTAGATGAATATGCAACGATTAAACAACGAGGAGCAGTGCTTTACACTGTTTTAACTCTAGAACACCCGACGTGCAGTGAGAATTTTAACTGACAATGGTATAATTTAAACTATAACATAATAATCTACAAATGTCATAGATTATTGCTCTATAGCATACACAAGCACAATGTCTTCTTTAAAGAAAATGTTTTTAAAAACTCCACGCTTTTAAGAAGACTCCCGCAGGACTCCTCTTAAAAAAGGCATGTTCTTTTGAAAAATAGTGCAGAGAAAGAAAGAGGTGTTCTAAGTACTATATACATAAAGGTGCACCATATATATGTGTGTAAATGTGTGTGTATATATATTATATATAATAATATAATATATAATATACTACTAAGTGAATCACTGTACCACTTTCATTTGCCTTTAAAGTACAAGAAAATACCACTCGATTTTAAATGCCAATTACAGAGCTGGGTTTGTAGTGACATAGATCTGAGCTCTCTTTGTTCGTTTGATATAATTGACTAATTAGGTAATATTCACCAAGTGGCAATTAGGCAAATAAAGAGTGGAGCAGCTTAAGAGGTCGGGGGGAAAATAAACAGTACTTGTGCTTGATTATATTATAAATGTGAAAGGTGTCATTATAAGAAGTGCCTGTCGTTCAGCATTGCGCGCCTCTTAGTGTGTGTTCCAAGGGTTTAATTTAATTGCGTTTCATAAAAAGATTGAGAGAGGAAAATCTGTGGTTGCCGTGGAAACTGATCGCTCTGTAAATTGCCAAGGTCTGGGTTTTTACAAATTGGCAATGAGTGGCCTTTTATTTTTGTCTGATTTGACATCTCGAGCTGCTGTCAATTATGTGTTCAGTTGGCATCGAATCCTTTTTTCTGCTTATGCTATTTGTTCAGACGGGGGATGCTCAGATGGTCTATCAGTATTTCAGTTTATGCGGTATATAAAGGAGCCATGGTTTTAAGACAAGTTGCTCTTTCCTTTTGCATAATTATGTTGTTAATAAACTGGTTTAAAATTGTGTTTATATCAGTGAGTGTCAGATGGCAGCACAATGAATAAGCCTGTAGTGTTTAATTGAGACTGGGGCAGGCTAAAAATGACTTAATTACTGAAGGTGCACTGGAGGAGGGTCTGCCACATGCTCATCTACATGGATGTATCACCTGGAATGTTCCACAGTATGACACAGTATTTCTATCTCCGTGGAGACAAGTGACACACCAGGGCAAGTTGACAAGGTGACCCCGTTTCACAGTAAAAATGCATGTTTTTTCATAAAATTTTTGCACAATAAAGACACCTGTAATGGAATAAGTGGTAGATTAATTCATGGATATATTTAATGTCATACTGTGGAACATTCCAGGCAAAGCAAAAACATTTTTATGGACAGAAGCAGGTGGTCTGTCTCTCCACCGGAAAATATGCAGATTTTGTGGTGTGGCTGGATCAACATAGTCAGATAGTGAACTCTTTCAATAATAAAAGCAACATTATTTTCCCAGTATGTCATGAAATAACTATATAATTAAATGCAGGACACCACTGATGACATCAACAATTGAAAAACAAGCTTAAGATAAAATATAATGATCAATAATTATGTTCATTGACTTTTTAAGACTGAGCTTTTTGGACTTCTTGTTTTTATATAGTCCTCTAAAATGGACTCCTCGTCAATCAAAAACAGACTAATCAACTGCAATCTCTAACCTAATGAGACCTTTTATTTGTCCCAGAAAATAGTGAACTTAATAGAAAGGAAAATGTATTCAGTAATTGACATGACCTTTGAATTACTCCTATATTTCACTGAGTGTTTATGTCCATTTGATACAAGTGGATTTACTGAAGGAAAGAGTAATTTCTGCCAAAACCTTTATGAGGGGAAAATGGGTTGGGAGTGTGTTAGCAGCCGCTCATTTGAGACTGTGGGTTTCAAAGCTAAAGCCTTGAGCAAAAAGCAGAAACTAGGTTGAATTTCATATGCATAAAAATGAAAAAAAATGAACTCGTGAAGTCTTCGTCTGGTCAGAAGTAACGCATGTGGGTGAGCTGTCGTAGAGATAAATTGTCAGAGAACAGTGCGTGACCTGCTGCCGTCTGGTCTTTTGTTTTAGGAGGAGAAGAAGAAAGGAGAGAAAGACAAGGGCGGAGAAAAAGAAGAGGACGCAGGTACAGTATTCATAGTGTTTCAGCTTACTGTTATGGGACCATTTTGAGGACTGTTGACTAATGGAAAATGAAAGGGCCAAATTTTTTTCCCATGTATCTGAGACAAATTGGCCTACAGATAAACACTACTGGTCAAAAATTTTAGAACATCGTCATTTTTCCAGTTATTTATTGCAATTCAACTCATTCAAGTCCAATGAAGAGTACAAAGGTAAGTACTGAACAGACAGAGGTTTTTAAAAAAATAAGAGATACAAAACACAAGTCCAAGCTCTGCCAAAACTACCTCAGGGTAAAAAAACATGGAAAAACATGGAGTGTCTAGTGCAGTCTCCAGAAAAACCTCATCGAGCTGGTTTGGGATGTACTGAACAGAAAAGTGAAAGCCAAGCAACCTTCAAGTGCCACACATTTATGGGAACTTCTGCGACAGACTTGGGAACAACTTTCTGAAGAATATTTGATTTCTATTGTAAAAAAAAAAGGCCACGAGTGTGTTCAGCTGTTAGTGTCCACCTTTGGCAGATGTTTCATGAATAAAGTTTAGAATACTTTTTGTTCAACAGTAAACAGTAAAAAACTGGAAAAAGTGTGGTGTTTTAAAATTTATGACCAGTAGTGTATATTGTATAAGCAGCTCTTGAAGTCAAAATTTATTGTCATGAAATGTGTGGTTAGTGAGTGCACTAGTTGTTGTTCTCATTACCAACATGACAAAAAGTGCTTAGAAACTAAAAAAAATTGGATGCTCAGAATGCACAATATAAGCAAAGATTAACTTTAATAAAAACTTAGAGTGTAGAGCATCTTTAATTTAGTTTTGCTTAATTGGTATGGGAACTTTTCATAATTCTGGACCCATACATAAGCAAAAAACTTTAACTCTGAATGCAGACACTACAAGCAAAGGGTTTTGCTCAGGAGCCCAGTGGTAGGGTGTCACCACAGTGATTTGAGCTATTGTTCACCAACTCAAAGATTGGAAGCTTAATTCCTGCTCAGACAAAGTTCTGTTGTTGTGTCTTTAGGCCGCTAATCAGAGGGTCAGAGGTTTTACTCCCAGTTAAGTGCAGTTGTTTGAGTTTTTGAGTAAGACACGTTACCAATATTGTGTTCACAAACCAGTTTAATATTTTGAACTGGTTTTAGAGGGTGAGGTTTGGTTCGCTTAGATAATTACTGACTTGGATCTCTTTATTTAGTTTTTTTTTTTAGTTAGTTGCTCTTGGATTTCATTGATTGATTGTATATTGTGTGTATCTGAAGTACCCTCACTTTACCCTCACTTTAATCACTAACTTTAAATGAACTTCTTATTAAAGATGATTCATGTTTTTGTATTGGGATTACACTTATGATGTATTATGATAAATGGGAGTCCTGTGGTGTCCTTCAGGGCCTCCTTGTGGTCCCATCTGCGTGAACGAGACTGTGGAGGGTCTGCTGAAAAACACCAAGAGCCAGATCAGCACTCTGAAGGAGAAGCTCAACACGGTCAGTCCAGGCACCTTCAGCAGGAACTTTTAAACATATTACAGCCCAAAATTGCATAACGTAATAAGTTATAATTACATAATTATTCTTGAATCAGCAACAATTCAAAAATTGCTTGACTTACTTTTTTTTACAGTGTTCCTTATAAACTAACTAGTATTTTTTTTTTAATGTCCCTACTCCCCTAGCTCACATTAATACTGACTGCTGTTTCAGGAGCAGCATAAGATCATAATCGTATCGATGGTTGACAGTGACAGTATTTAATGCTTTTGTATATTACACAAAATTGATTCTCGTGAACTTTTGCCATGTTATAATGTTTTTACCTCCTCAAAAACAGATCTGGTGTTGTGTTTTGTTTGAGTAACCTTTTATTATTAGTCTGTCTACATCTCCAAAGCTCAAAATGCTCTGTTCCACCCTATGATCTCACCACCCTATGATTTTCAGGTTAACAGCTCCTTTTACCTTTTGGTCAGTAGAGATTGGCAATTTCAGGGCTGAAATCATCCAAATGATTTTAGTGAAGGTGTTTGGAGTTTAAAAACTGTCTTACCACCTGACATCACAAGGGGGAATAAAGTGTTGTTGTTTTATTTGTTTGAGAGAAGAACACAGTCTAAATATGCAGGGTTTGTGTGTTAGACATGTGTGAATGAAACTCAACTCCCAAGTATGTTTTTGATGAGGAAACAACATTAAAAACGTTACAGTCTAAAGTATGAAGTTTACATTACATAAGTTACAATTACATGTAAATTCTTGTTACATTCAGAAATGGCTTGACTTTTTTGTGTGTTCCTTTATGAGTAACAAAGAATGTCCCTACTCCCTACCCCATATCAGTATTGACTGATGTATGAAACCATAATCTATGTTGACATTGACAGTATTTAAAGTATTGTTTCTGATGGAGGGTTTGCCACCGGCTTTGCCTGGAATGTGCCATAATGTGGCATTAACCATTTCTCTTTTGAATTTATTCAATTACGGATTCTCTATTGGATAAAAAAAACTCACACATGAAGAACACAACACTAAAAACAACAATAATATCTTGAAAGACATGCTTTCTGTACAGTGAGCACGGTCTCCTCTCTCCACAGACCTGACCTGTAACTTGGTCTTGTATTGTCACCTGCTTATCTTCATGCAGTGCCATACTGTGGAACATTCTAGGCAAAGCAATAACATCTATAGGAATAGAAAACTAGGAAAGTCTACAAGATAGTCTATAAAATATAATAATACTACTAGTGTTTGTAGTTGGCATAGTTAATTTAATTTTCAAAATCCATTCAAAGTGATTGAAGTGAATGTTTGTGTTTGGCTGAAGTTGCTAAACCTTGTTTCCAGATAGATTTCAGTGACAGTTAAACCAAAACTAACGAGGCCAACAGCACTCCTCCTTATCATCTGCTCACAGCCCCCTCCAGCCCCCCTCGCTGGGCCTCACTGATGCTATTTATATAATTAGGGAAATTCCAATTAACTCACCACATTTCCAAAAATCAAAATCTACATAAAAATCAAAATCCCTTCTGCCGTTAACAGTTATGTTTAAGACTGGCAAAATAAACCCACAATTCATCCAGAAATGACCTTCATATGGGCAAGACGTAAATCCTACAAATCTGTATCATATAAGCTCTTTATCGCTCAGACAGATGTCAACATTAACCAGACATTATAGCCACGTAGCACTGGACAATATGGCAAAATTAACAATACAATTACATACAAGAGGTTGTTCCATATATGATTTATTTTTGTACTTAACAATTAATAAAAACAAACAAAGTGGCTTTCAATCATAATTGCAATTTTAATCAGCGCTTTTTAACATAGATATAAGTTGACTTTATTCTGAACAAAGCGCATGTTTTTCCTAACAGAGGACTGGCTGTGGACCTGTCAGTTTAAAAAGAGCCAAGCTAATAATTTGATATGACTGGATCTTAATTCAGTTATACAATTTGATCAGTTAAACAAGCTTATGACAATAGTTAAAACAACATCAAAACCAGATTGGGTTGAGCATTGCAGCCTAAAGTATCCTCCCTCTCTTATGTTTTAGGTGTCATTGTGGATGCAGCTGCAGGTCCCCAAAGTGGAAGATGGGAACAACTTCGGAGTCGCCGTTCAGGTTAGTTATAATATTTAATCTCTTATTGTTTGTTTGCTTAGATTAGTTAAACAAAATATTTAAAGTTATATTTTTTGTTTTTATCCAACAGGAAAAAGTGTTTGAACTTCTGACCAACACACGCACTAAGATTGAGGCTTTCCAAACTCTCCTGGCAAAGTAAGAAAACAACACAAAGCAGTGAAGCGTTTTCTAATGAGCTTATATCTAGCCACTTTAATTATACTAAAAAATGATGATGTTATGAGGCATATTCAGTATACCACGTTCTGATTTTTTACAAAGATGGCACTTGTCATAAGTCAAAAATAGATACAAATGGTTGTATCAAGTCTTATCTTAAGGCTACAGTTGTGTTTTAGAAATTTGCTGAAGTCATCTCAACTGAAAGAAGTTACACAACTGTCTACACTAGTGTCGTGTCCGGACAGTATATTCAAAGATAAACCATAACCTCTAGGGCTGCACAAATTCATGAGAAAAATATTATAAAGTTTGTGAAATGTGCTGATAATAGTAACAGAGATGTTTGTATTACAACGTTTGTTAAAATAAGAAATAAATAAGTTTGTTATTATTATATTTTTTAATATTGCATTTCTGATTTGTTAGATATTCCAATGAAAGAGGAGATGCTGTGGCCAAGGCTGCCAAGAGCCCTCATGTGGTAGGTTCATCAAGTTATTTCCAAATTATATCATGTTTACTAGGCATATTGTATCATCAAATGTCTCACAATAATATCGTGGGCTGTCACAAAATATCGAATCATAAGTTCCTTTGCTTAAATGCATTGTTTTATAGTAACAACAGCTTATGAACATTGGGAACTACATATCCCATGATTCATTTCAGTGCAGACAACATGAAGAAATATGTTTTTATACTTGAATTCTTGGGATTATGACGGAAATAATTCACACCAAAATCTTGTCAAGGTAATTTAAAAGCAAAAAAATTTCCTCTCCAAACTATCGCAATAAATATCATACCGTGAGATGCATATCAAGATATCATACTGAGAGAGTTGGATATCATTACATCCCTAATCTTACTTTGTTACATTGTTTAATGTATTTCTATAGTTTTAGCCTCACATGCATATTAACTGTTTCCTAAATATAATTATTATTTATTTCATTCAGGGCGACTACAGAGAGTTGGTGCATCAGCTTGACCAGTTTCTGTACTGTGAACTCCGCCTCATAGTCCTGGAGATACGCAACATCTATGTAAGATATTCTCTCATTACATTATATTTCTATTCATATCCTAAAGGTGCACTATGTCATTTTTTTCTGGTAGAGGGCTTTTTACCTTCTAGTCTCCATGGAGATGTCATTGCTATGCCTGGAATATTACACAATATGGCTTTAAACATAACCATCCTACATGTATTCAATTATAGGTGTTTTCATTTCAAATATTACCTGCCTCTCCACAGATCTGCCCTGTAAATTGTCACCAGCTTGTCTTCATCAGCTTGGATAAAAATGAGTTTAAGATATAATACCAACAACAATACAGGAAAAGTAATGACATCTCCATGGAGACAAGCAGTTGGCTGACCCTCTTCCAGAAAAGTTACATAATTAGACTTAAACTTAGACTTAGACAAACTTTATTGATCCACAAGGGAAATTACTTGGACACAGTAGCTCACTCATCACATTATAATAACAAAGAGAATAAAAATATATAAATGATAATAATAAATTCTAAATAAGTAGCAAAAATAGCAAGAGAATAAAGCATAAATATATAAATGTATATTTACAAGTAAAATAGAATAAAAATAGAAATAAGTAATACAGTAATTCAGCAATATACAAGAGGTTGTAAGGAAAAACAGGGCAAAAATGATATAATGATGACAGGACAAATGATTATCCCTTACATAAGAGAAAATTGTGTAAAAATTCCCTTTGACAGTTTATTTCTATCTGTGTTTCCTGTCACGTATACGTCTTGTACCTTGTCCCAGCAGATGAGTCAAATCCATTTCTCACTAATAGAAGAGTAATTATACTAATTGCTTTGCTTGTGTTAAATGGATTAGTGCCCTATATTCTGCTCATTAATCACCCTTTTTCCCTGTTGTCATGTTGTGATGCCGTTAATGAACGAGTCTGGGGCTGTTAGTGACAGTTGATGCCATTTAACACTATAATGTCTCTATAGATCAGCCTCATTTATTTATCACAACCGTTGGACTGTTTGTCTGTAGCAGGGGAATACAGAGCGAATGTGTTAATGGAGTTCAGAGAGTGGCACTAAATAAAGAATAACTAATAAAACTTTAAAGGTGCACTATGCAACTTTTTTAGTCGAGGGGTCTGTCACATTCTTGTTTCCATGGAGATGTATTGATTTTCTTTATGTATTTATGGCTCAAGTAGGTCTGTCACCATAAACCATAAACCTTTAGCAGTGTATTCTGGGCTCAATATTTATTGTCTGTACATTTTCTTTGTAGAAGTGTGGAAACTTGGGGTATTTTTGTTGCAATACGGAAAGAGTTGAGCTTTAAAAGTTGAATAGGTGACTTCTGTGGTTAATTATTGGTTGATTCTGTTATTTATTTGTTGAAGCTCAGTTTATCAATACTGTCTATTTCAAAATACATTATTTTGCATTATTGTTGTTGTATCAGTGACAATATCCATGTTTATCTCAGCAGCAATATAACCTGCTTAAAATGTGATATTGTGACAGGTCTGGGCTTAAGAAATACACGAAAAATATCTGTAAGATATGACCTGTAACTTGAACTAGTTGTGTCACTTGTTTATCTCCATGGAGATATACAAGTTTAATGCTGATGAACATTCCAAGCAAAGCAAACACATCTTGAAGACAAGAAAGTAGCAGATCAAATAACAGAAAAGTCTTTGTACACCTTTTTGAAATACAAAAATATTTTCACATTTAGCAAGTAAATTTTAGAAATTGTCAGCAATAAGCCAAAGAATTACATACAATTTTGAGATACAGACTGAAGACTATACTAACCCTAAAATAGTGTATATAATAAGTAATACGTTTATGTAATAATATGTCTTTTTCATAGTTTTGCAGATTAATTTGAATGTTTTTTTTTTCTCTTCAGGCTGTGCTGTTCGACATCATCACCAAAAACTACGTCAAGATCAAGAAACCAAAAGGCGACGGCAAAGCTCCCATCTACTAAACTCATTTACTGCTCCTGTTTCCATAACAACCGATGCAACTGGTGTTTTGATACAGATTTAACTATTAACATTACAGTCTGTGATCTGATCAGGTTGGATATATTTTTGGGTTCGTAGTTCAAAATAAATCATTACATTTTTGTTCTAATGGTGTTTCATTATTGTACAGTGTTATTTATGAGTGAAATACAAAAAGTACAAATATAACAAGAAGCTTTAATAGTTAAGTGCAAGAAAAAAAAACAGTCACATTGTCACAGAGGTGGGGACTTGCAAGTCGTGACTTAGACTCAAGTAAAATGGTAAATGGTCACATTTTTTATAGTGCTTTTCCACCTTCAAGGCACTCAAAGCGCTTTACAACAAGGAACCACTCACCCAATTCACACACACACATTCACACAGTGTACACAAGTACACAAGTCAGACTTGAGTCAGTATTTTTAGGACTTGACTTGATAAAATGGGCTAACATTTGGGACTCGATTTGGACTTGAGGCCTGTGACTTGAGAAGACTCGAGAAGCACTTTTAAAACTGAATTCTTTCTATTTTGACCGTAATGATTCACACAAGATCTCGTCAAGACATTTAAAAAGGAAAAAATTACATTTCTACAACTCTTATATACCCTATAAATACTCATATAAATATATATATATATATATTTTTTAAATACAATTAAAATAATAATAATAATGTTTAAAATTCATATATATTAAAAAAACCAAAGCAATATTTGGTACTTTGGTTTAAAGACTTGAAATGATTTGACACTAACAGCAGACAACTTGGACTTGACTTGGACTTATGGGCCAGTGACCCGAGACTCGACTTGGACTTGCCTGTCTTTGACTTGAGGCTTGACTCAGGCTTGAGGTCAAAGACTTGAGACTTACTTGAGACTTGCAAAGCAACGACTTGGTCCCACCTCTGCATTGTCATATTAGTGCAAAAGTAAGTAGCAGTTTATATATATATGAATATCTAGTATATTAACTCATTCTAACTCGCTTCAGTCATTTAGACTAGTTCAAGTTAAAGGTGCATTACGTAACTTTGCCTAATATTTACCTTACTGTGAGCAGAATTGCCTTTCCACAGATCTGACCTAGTGGCACCGCAAGGGTCATTTCAAGAAAAAAATTACGCAGTGCACTTTTAAAGAACCAACTTTTGACATCGCAAAAACCTTACATTTTCACATCTTCAACAAACCAAATACAGTTGTAGTTCATAAAAATACACAGTTTGATATTATTTTTTGTCATTGTCAGTAGTCAGCAGTCCCTCTCCAGGCATCCCAGGACAAAACCTGCTCCCCTTTAGCTTGTACCACCCCTGATACAGTCCTCTCCATGTCAGGTACCCCAGAGCGCCCCCTAGCTGCTGCGCTGGGAACTGTGGAAAGTGTGCAAGCAAGCAAAGCAGCAGAAACATCCACATAACAAGTATCAGAGTGCACAGAAGGAAGATGAAGCGTAAGGGGGCTCCTGGGGGCTTCTGCAGGGGTATGGCAGGCGCTACGTGGTCTTTAAAAACGCTTATCTCCTCAAGTATAAGCAGGCAGCATAAACAAAGGATGAGAATGTCTTGAGATACTTCATACCCTCTCCACTGCATTTTTGCTCGGAGACAGGAGGCCTTGGTCAGGTCTTCGTGTAGTAAAAGTAAAGGCTGATTTGAGCTGTCACCTTCTTGGGGCATTGGTTCATAACAAGCACCCGCCGCGTTCTCTAAAATGGCGAGAAGGCGTCTTAGGCCAAACCAGAGCACCGCCACGACCAGCAGACGAGACAGATGACGCAGACAGAGTGACAGGGAGCGCCTGGCAGTGAGGGACAGAACCAGGATGAATGAACCTGTCAGGATGCAGGTCCAGCCCCAAGATGAGCGCAGGAACTTCCTACAAGAGAAAGTTCATTAGGATGTGAATGAAACTTGGAAACACTTAAAGGTGTGCTATGTAACTTTCTGGTCTGTTTGTTTCCATGGAGATATCGTTAAATTGTCTGGAATGTTCCACAGTATGGCATTTAACTTATCTTTCTCCTTGTAGACAAGCAGGGAATGCAACCAAGCCAATAAGTGCCTGTGAGAGGTGGCTGAGAGGTGACTTGTTTTCCTTAGTATATAATTACGAGGTTTAATGCCATACTGTGGAACATTCCAAGCACAGCAACATTTCCATTGAGACATCCCACACCACAAAAAGTTGCGTAGTGCACCTTTGAAAGACTGAGTTGGTTCATTTACGTAAATGCAGCAACAGTAAGGTTATTTAGATGTATTTTTGTGTATTCTAATTATAAAGACAGTCAGAAAGTCAAAGTCAGTTAAAATCATGTGATAGTGACAACTTATTGGCAGACAAGTACAGTTTCGCCATATGTAAAATAATTGCCATAAGTGTTGCCTGATGGGAAGGTTTAACAGTCAAATGCTCAGCTGTTACTAAGTTATGATGTAGTGATGTCTTGATCTTAAGTGCCCTCCTCTCTTAATCAAAACACTATGGTTGCATTCTTTTTGTTTACATAAACCATTTAACCAGTAAAAAAAACATATACACTACAAGTCAAAAGTTTAGACACCCTTTTTAATGCATTTTCTTTTTTATTTACATAATCATTTACATTGTAGAGTCTCATTGAAGGCAACTATGAATGGACAGATATGGAATGTAGCAAACAAAAAACCTTAAAATAACTCAAAACTAGTTTTAGAAAATAAAATAAATTAAATAGCCACCCTTTGATTTGAATCTTAGTCTGCACTGGCATTTCTTGACCCTGACAAGGCACAGCTGTGAAGTGAAAACCATTTCAGGAAGCTCACTGAGAGATGGCCAAGGGTTTGCAGCAGTGTCCAACAAGCAAAGGGTGGTTACTTTGAGGATTTTAGACACAAGATAGATATATATATATATGAAAAAAAAAAATCTTGCAACTTGTTCTTTGCTACATAATTCCATATATTTTGCATCATATATTTGAAGTCTGCATGGATTTAAAATGTAGAAAGTAGTACACGTAAAGAAAAACAACACTGAATGAGAGGGTGTGTCCAAACTTTTAATTGGAAGGTGAGACTCCACCAGTGCTTCATAGATATAAAATGAAGTACACAGCTCTCACCTGTACAGGTAGTTGTTACTGTTGGCAAAGATGTTGTACTTTGAGACCCAGAGACTGAGCAGGGGCCCAAACAAAACCATCCCAGACAGGAGCAGATGAAAGTGATGGTGCACCAGAGCGCTGCCTAAAACCCTGGCCAGTAAATTCGACACAAAATCCAAAATTGTGCTCAAAATTTTAACAATAAATCTCGCCGGTAAAATTAATTCTTTTGACATTTTCTGCAACTTCCCCAAGCTGACTTCAAAGTTTAATGTTTTAAGATCCATGTTGGTTTCGTCTTGCTTCTTTCTGGAGTGACTTGTTGGCTTCTAACAAAGCATTTAGCCTTTATCTTAGTCAGGAGGGCAGATGCCACATGGTTTTTAAAAATACCCCCCCGTCCCACTTGGCCCATGTGTAAGCCCTCCCCTTCCATAACACAGACAGGCTCCTGCTTCTGCTGTTGTAACTCTACCCATTATCCTCAATACAATTACACAAGTCTTAGATGTGATCCAATGGAATTACAGAGGTCCAAACAACTGCCTGATCTAATAATACACCACATGATTACTGCATGAATACAATTAATATTTTACATTGTTTACTAGTTTAAAATGGTCATCTGAGGTACTGTAGTTTAACTGTTTACATTAGAATGACTATGACCAAACAACAAAATAAGAAAATAAAAGCCATAAGAACCATGAAGGCCACTGACAAGGCAATGGTCCAATCTGGCAATGGTAAAGATGTTTTGGAAAACTCTGGGAATAAAAGGTTCTTTCAGTGAGGTTTTGAGTTTAAAGGGCCCATGTTTGTTATTTTCTGTTCTCTGTTTCAATGTTGTCTCCTCGTCAAAAACATACCTGGAGGTGGAGCAGAGCATTTTGAGCTTCTGAGATGTAGGTAGGCTAATAAAAAAAGGGTTACTCAAACGTGTGAATGAAACAAAACACAACTCCAGGTATGTTTCTGAGGAGGTTACAGCATTAAAACCACAAGAGTAAATTCTGAATAATATAGGGCCTGTAAAGGTACATTGTGTAACTTTTCTGGTTACTTGCTTCCATTTCTATATTGCTTTGCCAGATATTCTACAGTTCTACAGATCCAGTAAATAAATAAAAAGTGCAGTATGGCATTAAACTTCATCTAGACAAACCAGGCCAAGGTACAGGTCAAATCTGTGGAGAGGCTTCCCATCTCACAGTAATAAAGTTGTTAGTTATAATAATACATTATCTTTAACACCTTTAATTGAATACATGCAAGAAAGGTAAAATTAGTTAGCCAGGCAGGCGCCACCTAGTGCCTCCACTAAATTTCATTTCTCTCCAGTGACTAGGTCAGGAATCGGAATAAACTAGACTGTTTGCAAGAACCCCAGAAGTGGGAGTCCGGACACCAGCCAATCAGCGAAGAGCCATACTTTCTGTGTTGGCAATGATTCCCGAGATCGAGGATTTAAAGCTGGATATTCGGTGAATTTTATCAAGGGGAAAGACGTTGTTGTCCTTCTTCCTACGGAATTTGGGAAAAGCTTAATTTACCAGTTAGTCCCGTAATGTAATGCGGCACATTACATACGTCACGACCAAATAGCAGCGATTGGTTAAATAAAAACAGTACCCACCTACCGTCAAGCGAATGAATCCTAATGCTGTGAGGTCAGACGGTTTCCACAAAGTGAAACCGGTTGATGAATCAGGCTAAAAATGTATACTTTACTGTGAAACATTTCTTCATCTTCACGGTGACGAGTAGTTAGAGAAATACTCACCAATAAAGTTACATTGTGAAGCTTTAACCTTTTTGAATACACAACAACATGAATAATTTGATTGTTCCTCTGTTAATTCTCACACTAATCATATACTAAAACAAACTATTAGAATACTAAAAATACACTTGTACATCTACTAAAGCCATTTTAATTAACTACTTTTCTGTAATGTAGCTGTATTACTTAAACAGTTTAATTAAATCTATACAAAACAAAGCCCTGCTATAAGCCTTGGTAATATAATCAATTAAAAGTCCCTATTCTCCATCTCTCTTTAGTCTCTCCATTATTAGCCTCAGCTGTCCAAGCCAACACTAATTTGAGTTATAAACTGTTGCCAGTCTGAATTTGGCGCAACTAACAGCTGCGAGACTTTTATTTCCAAAGCCCAGGCCTCCAGGCAGTCTCCCCTTGGAAACACAGTCTCCCAGGCTCTCTCCCAGTCTTTTTACACTGGGTTTGTGTTAATTTATCCAGGCCAGAGACTATAAGACTGTCAGGGCTATATGGCTCATTTATAATCGTGGCTATTTATACTACAAAACTGTCTTAATGAGGCTGTATGTATATGTGCTCTTACTGTTTTACAAAGGTTTTGCAATCATAACTGAACATGGGTTGTCTGTGTCTAAAAGAGCAGATAAGAGTTAATATAGGTCAAGTAAGTTTAATGAAATTTGAAATGAAAATCTTACATACTGTTATTTTAAAGGTGCATAACTTTTCTGGTGAAGGGGTCAGTGTGGTATTAAACCTTTTTATCTTCATGCAGACCAAAACAGACTAAGTTACAGGTCAGATCTGCGTAGACGCAACCCTACTCACAGTCAGAATGTCAGTATTTCTAGGTACTTTTGAGCTATAAAATCACCTGTAATTTGTAAGGTAAAGCTGTTTAATGTCATACTGCGGAACATTCCAAGAGCAATAACCTATTCATAGAAACAAGCAGGTGACAGATCCTCCACCAGAAAAGTTACACAGTGCACCTTTAAGAACTATAAAAAATAAGCTACACTAAGTCTTTGAATTCACGTAAATCGAAAAATAAATAAATAAATGTATAATATAAATGTTAAGTGCTTTTTATCTTCTGGTTTATGTCACATTAAGTTTACTTAATCATTCAGAAAGTTTTAGTTCATGAGTTGGTCCTACTAGAGGTGCTCTATTATGCAATGGGAATTGTTAAGACATTTACTGGTAATTAGACATACTATGATATAACTATCAGTGATATAACTACAATAACTACAATATTTACAGTCTTAAAGTTCCTATAATATAAAAAAAAAATTCTATTGTGAGCTTTAAGCTATGTTAGAATAATGTTACTTCATCAAAAATATGCCTGGACTTGTGTTTTGTTTCATGTTTATCTTTATATCATCTTTATATTAGTCTGTCTAAATCTCCAAAGCTCAAAATGCTCTGTTCCACCTTGTGATGTCCCATAATGGTAGTTTTCAAGTCAACAACATTAAAACATAGATGAGAAAATGGTGTAAAATGGGCCCTTTAATATCTTATTTCATACCGAGCAAATCGCTTATTAAGACAGATTAAGGCTTTGTAACTACTTAATTAATGGGTTTGGAGTTAGGGTATTAATTAAGTAGTTTCTAAGACTGAATCTATTTATTCATAATTATGTCTTTCTCCTTGCTTTATTAACACCAATTGTGATGTAGTTATTGTCTCTCTAGCCAGGACCATGACTTCTGCACTATCAGCATTTTCAATTTGAGATTAAGTGCAGACATACAAAGGAATCTATGTTTAGACTGCCACTGCAATGCTATCAATACAATGACCTCCGCGTGACATTGTGCTTCCTGTAACAACTAATTGTCTCCAGTTTGTCCTCCTGCCTTACAATGTGGTAATAATAGAACAACTTACTTAAAGGTCCTATATTACGCAAAATTGACTCATCAGAAACACACCTGGCATTGTGTTTTGTTTCATTCACACAAGTTTGAGTAATCCTTTATTATTAGTCTGTCTACATCTCCAAAGCTCTAGTTTAAAAACACAGTGGAGCACTTCCTGTATTACCACATGTCATCACAAAGTGGGACAAAGAACTCATTCTAAATATTCAGGGTTTGTGTGATAAATGTGTGAATGAAATAAAACACAATTCCAGGTATGTTTTTGAGGAGGAAACAACATTATAACAGATTAAAAAATAGAGTAATACGGGCCCTTTAATACTGAACTGGAGGAATATAAAGTTGTTTTTTTTCCCTTGACCTAATCTACAAATCAATATCTGACAAGTTGAACAAAGTTAGCGGTTTTTAATTTACAACAAAACAGAACATAAACCAAGCAATGTTGTAACAACATTTTTTTTAAAATCAAATATCGATAAACAGGACATTAGCACCAGATAAGATGTTAATTGGTTTGTGAGTAAAAAATTGTCCTGAAATCTGAATTTACCATCACATTGTTTAATTTTCTCATAAAAATCACTGTAACTGATAATGAATAAATCAAATGAACTATTGATTGTGCAGTTTATCTTTGTATTTTTCTCATGTCCTCGAAATCAGTTTTGCAAACCTTTAAGACCACTTTTTTTTTTTTTTTTTTTAACACAAACTCAAATATACCGATTTGAAGTTTTTTTGTTTTTTTATTTCTTATTGTAAAGTGTGAAGCTGTGGTGTATTTACCTGAAAACTGCTAAGTATGTGTACAATGTCATTCACATATATTTCCCATTATTTTCTGCTAGAGATGATCCAACTCTGTACAACAAACATTTTCCTAAGAGCAAAGTAGATATTAACAAACATTTCCTTTTTAATTGAACCAAGAGTTATTGCGTTCGCTGACCCAGGATCAGTGGGATGTACTGTTGCTATGGGAACACTATAAGAAGAGCCAGCCTAAATCAAAACTTGTATTGTGTATGTGTTTGGAATTTCAGGCTTAAAGCTGCACTGTGTATCTTGTCCGGTGGAGGGCTTGACACCTGCTTGTCTCCATGGAGACGTGCCTAGAATGTTCCACAGTATGTCCATAAACTTGCAAACCAAATTACATGTTAAATTTGTGGAGAGGTGACCCCACTCACAGTAAGAATTCACGTTTTTTAAGCTATTTTTGAGCACTTAAACCTGTAGTTGAATAAATGCAAAACCCTCTCCAGAAAAGTTACACAGTGCGCCTTTTAAAGTAGCTTAAACTGCATCAGAAAGTCAAACTTGATGCCAAATTAGCACATGGATAGACAGATGCACTCACTGAATGCACTTATCATTAAAATACTATACATTTTTACACAATTCCCATCATTGCTTTTTTAAGCAATCTGATTCTGGTTAACTACATACATAAACAGCAGATTAAGTAAGTGCGGTGCCTGTAGCTCTTAGCTGTAGCAGTAGCACTTAAGTATAAAATGTCTTTGACCATTTTTAAATCACCAGACAAAAGAAAGTCCCTGTGCCCCATGCGCACTTCAACGATGCAACCACACTAGATTTGTGATCATTAATTTCCAGCGATTAAGAGAAAGTATTATATTAATTCCCGACTTTATTTCTGAATGGGCTCCTTTTTGGGATAGCCCCGCCCAGTCCATAGTGATTCCTGTATTTCCTGTAGTTCTTCAGCAGTCACATGGTTTTTCCTGGCCCATGGTTTTGCTCGGCCCCCTCTCTCGCTCTTCGTCCAATGGGTGGGTCTGCCTGTGCTCCCACATCCGCACGGCTCCATCCCACTAGAAACAAAACAATGAGCTCTTTATTCTCAGACTTTGACTGATCACAACTGGAATAAACACAAAAACAGCTGCTGATAAACTACATAAAGAGACAATACAATGACTATTTTTAACATGTTTCCATCTGCAAGCCTGTATAAATGTTTTTCCATGGTATTTTAATAGATTAATTGAGTAGGCTGAATTTGATCATCGGCCAAGTTATAATTTCTCAACACACTGCGGTCTGTGGGCATCTACAGCAGCCCGGCAGGAACCTTTCTGGTGAAGAGTTTGTCAGATGGAGATGTTATAGCTCTGCCTGGAATGTTCCACAGTATAGCGTTATGCTTACAGGTATCTATACGCCTGCCACAAGCAAGTTACAGGTCAGATCTGTGGAGAGCCCCACTCACATACTTTGTTTTTTAAAGTATTTTTGCCCAATAAAAACACCTGTAATTGAATAAGTGCAACAGAGAAAAGCTGAATGGCTTATATTATGCTATTTTCTGATCTTTGTTATAATGTTGTCATCAAAAACATACCTGGAGTTGTGTTTTGTTTCATTTACACAATTTCACACAAAAACCCTGCGTATTTAGGCTGTGTTCTTCTCTCAAATAGAAAATGCTCCACTTTGTGATGTCATGCGGTAATACAGAAAGTGCTGCGCTGTGCTCTTAAATTCCACGCAACTTCACTAGAATCATTTGGATGATTTTAGCCTTGGAATTGCCAATCTCTACTGAACAAAAGGTAAAAGGTAGCTGTTAACTTGAAAAATTACCACGACATTACATCACAAGGTGGAACAGAGCATTTTGAGCCCTGGAGATGTAGACAGACTAATAATAAAGGGCTACTCAAACATGTATGAATGAAATAAAACTCAACTCCAGGTATGTTTGTTTGAGCACATAACGGCATTATAATGTCTTAAAGTTCACAAGAGTCAATTTGGCGTTAGATATAGCCTTTAATGTCATACAGTTTAACATTCCAGGCAAAGCAATAACATCTTCATAAGCATGTTTTGAACGCCTTACCAGGAAAGTTACATAGTGCACATTTAACTCAGAATAGTGGCACAGGGCAGTGAAAGCAGGACTCACAGAGCTGCTGATGATGTTGTCTTCAAACGGATGCCAGCTCACGTCCCTCACACAGGCGTCATGCCCTGACAGTCTGGTGACCACGCTGCCCGTCAGGACGTCATAAACTAAGACACACACAAAGAAGAGCTCAGTTACCACTTTGTGGTTTTGAAACTGAACTTGGTACAATGTGCTGTGTTAATATCTCTGTATTTACTGACTATATACCTATAACAGTGACTGGCCTCGACTGATCAACACAAACACAATTATTTTTCTGGAGAAACATCAGAATGTAATACCTTTCATCAACATTCTTGGGGGTGTGATGCTAACTGGAGTCACTGCTCTGTCTGAAGCTTTGTTACTCAAGTTAGACTTTAATCTGACCTTTGTTTTAACACAATCTCATCAAAAAGAGTTTATTTAGTTTTTCAGTCACCCCCAAATTTTTTGTTGAAAATCACCTAAACTGGACCATGAATGCCTGTATTTATCAAAGGCTGTACAAAATGTGTTTAAATCATTTCAAATTTTTTTCATGAGTTTTCAGACCAGCTAAAAACTGCTCATCTTGGCTTCCTAATGTGTGCATTGCGTCACCCTTCCCTAGTTTATGTTAGTGGACCTTGACATATAATACTACAATAATTACAGAAACATCAACTACACAGCAGATAAAGACACATCAAATTCTACCATTAACTATTATCTCATCCACACATTCAAACTTAAACTCTCACAAATTGTTAAAAATCAGAGCTGGGCACTCACTGACGATCTTGCCGGTGGAGCAGCCGGAGTAGATGAATCTCTGTCCGGTGCTGAACTCTGGCGAGAATCTGCAGCGGATCAGAGTGTGAAGAACGCCATGACCACGATACGTCATCACAGAGGTGTCCCCCGTCAGCTTGTGTCTCTTCAGAGCTACACAGAAAGACATATTTTTTTTTAAACAGCTAAGTTTCTAGGCATTTTACATTTGAGTGCATTTTTAAGGAAGGACTTATGGGACATTTGAGGTTAAGAAGTGTTAAATAGCATTTTCTCCCCTCGCCACGTCAGAAAAGTTTAAATTCTCAGCTGCCAGTGAACACACCTTCAAGATTACCTTCAGACTGGTAGTTAAACCTGCTTCATTCACTTTACGACTGAAAATGATCCTGTCCAATATTTTCTGTTAACAGATTTTTTCTAGCTGAAAAAAAAAAATTGGACAATCCCTACTGTATAGTTTTATAACTTAATACTGTCATATCAATAATTTCCAATGGTTTCAAACTACACTGGGAGGAGTCCATCTGTCCTAGTCCTGTTGTATTACCTTTGGGGAAGGTTAATCCTTTTATTGAGACTTAAACGAGTTCAAATACACAAAGGATTCTCATGTGAACTTTTAATTTGAACTTTTAATTGCTCCTCCCTCGGCTGTGTCTTCTCCGGGCTCATCCTTAGCCTCTCCTCTGCTCCTGTTTGGCTCAAACGTAGGTCCAATCACTCATCTCTCCATCTGAGGCCTTAATACTGTCCTATGCTTTAACTTTCACCTTTCCGTCATAGAGCCCTACTTTTAAAAACAGATTAATTCAGCTCCTCTTTTTCTAAAAGTTTCATGTCTACTGTTATTTTAACTCCTGTTTAATGAATAATGATGTGTAAAGTGCCAAACAACTGTAATCAAGTAAACAGTATTTTAACAAAAGAATAAATAAATTACAACTGTAAATCTACGTATGCAGCAACAAATAATTATTTATCATCACAGACATATCCAGAGTTGTATTTTGTTTTAATCACATATATTTGAATAATCCTTTATCCTATTATTGGTTATTATAAAGTTCAAAATGCTCTGTTCCACCTTGTGATGTCATGATGCTGCTTTTTATGTTTAATTCAGTAGAGAAACTCTAATATGAGCCCTTTAAGAAAAAAAGAACTACACAGTTACTGAGTGGCTCTAGTTGTAAAATGTAATTTATGTTTTTGATATACAGGTAGTAGAAATATAATAAGTAATATATGATGTCGTAACTTAAGTTTACACAAGCAGAAATGACAGACAGTGCAATAAAATGCAATACAACTGATTAAAAACATTGGTGTAAAAGTAAATGTAATTGAAAAATGCAGTGTACCTTTTATAAACAGTGAACGCACGTACCTCTCTGGGGAACCTGTTGCCAACGGTAGTCCCAGTTCTGTTGGGTCACAGCCAAACGAGATGCAGCCAAACCCTCCTTTGGAGAAAACTTTCGGACGTCCCAGAGCTTGATGGACTGGTCTTTGGAGTTACTGATTAAATAACGCGCATCTCCCTACAACACAAACAAAACAAGTGTGTTTCAGAAAGAAGAGGCACCAAACTAGTACTGTGTGTTAGAGTTTGAGCTGGACCTGAATTTGACAAGATAACAAACTAGTGATTTGTTACAATAATTTCACATGGAGATAAACATAATATGAATCAAACAATGTTATATTTTAATGCAGAATGTTTGACAAACGCTTAACCATTTGTACATAACAAAGAACACACCTCAGTTAAAAACCTGCATTTGATACACAATAATTTGACTTGAGCCAACTCAAGCCCACTCAAGCTGAGTGGCTTTTATCAAGAAGACAAGGCTTTCTGTTTCTGTTGCGTTCAAATAGATTTGTTTGTTGAAACCACTGACATTAAAAGAGAGTAGTTCTAGATTAAGCCTGTTTTCAATGCCCCTTAAATGTTTTTACAACTTAACTCTTCAATTATGTAGAGCACACATAACAAGAAATGCAACCACTATAGGACTTTTCTATAAATGTGTCTCCTTTTTTATTTTTAGCTCAAATCCTGACACTTTAAAGCTAACATTGCAAATCTGTGCTGTTAATTATTCATAAATGTCGCTCTTCTCCTTCACCTTGCTGTGTATGAAGGTGATCCCGTCCCTGTGTCCGGCCAGGTGTCCCACGGGCTGGGGTCTGTCCTCTCGGAGCGTGCGGCGGTCCCACACTTTGCACAGAGCATCGTCACTGCCTGAGAACAGCAGCTGTGACGAGCTGTCCGCGAACGCTACGGCATTCACATCGTCCTCGTGAGCATCGATCTGAGGGGGCAACACAAGAGGGGGTGAGGGAGGGGGAGGCGTGCAGGTGTGCATGTGTGAAAGAGAGAATAACTGAGCTGAAATAATAGACAATGTGATCTGTTCATAACAAATGTAATGTATTAAAGGTTTGTTTCTGCAGATGTGCATGTGACAACTGTGACACAGTGACAGTTGCATGTTAACTTCTGTTTAATAATGTAATATGTAATAATACTGTAATATAATAGCACTATAACTTCTGAAATTTTTACTAGACTAGATTAAAATTTTTAGACCAGGGGTAATTATCACATTATTATTGTTGTATCAATTAATGTGCACGAAGGAAGAAAATTTAAGATTAATTTAATGACTACAAGGAATTTGATTGTAAACTGTGAAAGTACAAATTACACAATGTAACTGAGTTACAGGGGGTGAGGGGGGAAGCGCATGGGGGCCACACAAGATATTGAGGCATTCTGAGTTGCAGAAATAAAATGTTACCAAAATGGTCTAGCCTGGCACATCATTATTTCACTTAGATTTTCAGGGTGTCTATTAAATTAAGCCCTGTGTGGGAATTTTATTTTCATTAAAAGAGGTTGCAACCTTTTGTTCCTAAGACATTGCCCTGCACATGTAAAGATATCCAGCATAGTTAGTTAACATTGAGATCTCATGTGTTTTCAAAGTGGCACTTTAATTTTTTTTGAGAAGTACAGAATGTTATATAATATGCAGCCCCAACCAACACTGATTTTATAACTTCAGCGCCTGCTCCAACTGAAGTTGAGACCCCTGATCTAGAACTACTTGATAACGAAAACATGTCCATTCATGTTCAGACTTTGAGTAAGCCAATGATGAGGCAAAACCTTAAAAGCATAACTCGTATTTTTTATGTTTCAGAATCAGGACCTATAGTTATAAAGTAGGAGTAAATAAATCTTACAATTCACATTTAGTTTATGGTTAAAATGAATAGACTTTAAGCTGGTCTAAGGCTACAGTCTTTACTAACAGTTGATATATTAGCTGCTACAACAGGTGTGGATAGTTAAACTAACAATGGCCCTTCTCCAACAAGTGAGACCAACACAACGCCAGGAAACTGATACGAGACAAGAACACAGCTATTGTCAACCAGAACAATCACACCTGAATCTGCCCTCAAATCAAACAGGCTACAGCGAAGATACAATCTTCTTATAGAGATACTGTGTATGTAATCATGTTACAGGCAAAAATCAGCAATGTGAAGTTTAACGTTTTTTTGGTAAGTGGATTTTGGACTACAGCTACAATTATGTTTAATAGTTACAATTTAAATGGAAAGAAATATGTAAATGAATATGTGAAAAGTACTGATACAGAGAAAAATGACCAAATATGACCTTTTTCTGAATAGTTTTAGTCTTTTTTGTGTCAGAGCTACTATAAGACAACATGATGACATTTAAGACGACACTGCCATAATTTTGTATTAAGCATTATATTGTAAAAGTAATATTCCAAGTATCCAATCTTTCCTTTAGTATACTTACCTTTACCTTTAGTACCTTTAGTAACCCTCTGACTCTGATTGTAAAATATATGAGAACATAAGACAAGAGAAGCAGTTAAAGAACGGACATGGGCAGATGGCTCTAGGTCAGCTACACAGAGGGAGACTTTGGAAGGGGCACTGGACTCTCCCCCTCCCCTCTTTCTTTCCCCTCTTTCTCTCCCCTTGCTTTTTCTCTCTCTCCTCCCTCTCTTGTTGTGCTACATCACAGAGGAGAGAGAGGAGAAAGAAGAGAGGAGAGAGGAGTGGAGAGTTTAAATGAGAGCAGTCCAGACGCAGCCACCTCACCTTGACCGCGGGATGGGCCTCAGAATGGCACAGAGCAGACACAGGGTGAGGGGCACAGAGCGAGTGGGACAGAACAGGACAAGAACAATCACACAAAAGTCCACTGACCTTCAGCGTGCGCTTATTCTGATCCAGATCGAAAACATACAGGCAGCCGTCGTTTGCACTGGAACAAGAGATGGCAGTTTTAATTAGATCAATGTAATTAGTAACTTGTCTAAATTATGGTCTGTTGTAAAATTAAGCAAGACAGAAAAGTATATTGCACAAAACATATTGCTAAGTCCAATTTAATGATGCACGATGTAACTTTTCTAGTGTAGGGTTCGTCGCCTGTATGTCTCCACAGATGTTACTGCTTTTCCTGGAATGTTCCACAGCATGGCATTAAACTTATTTCTCTTGCATTTATTAAATTACAGGTGGCCACTTACTTCTGTTAGTGTAAGAGTGCTTACTTCTCCACGGATGTCTTGTGGCATCACCTACTTGCCTCTATGCACATAGTTTAATACCATACTATGGAAAATTCCAGGCATAGCAATTTCCATAGAGACAAGCAGGTGGCGGACACAAAAGTGCACCAATATCAATGTTCAATCAATTATACTACAGCTATATTGTATTATGTGTTTGCGCAAAACCATTTCACAATATGTTTTCATTTTCATTGATCTATAATTGGTGACACACAATGACTGACTTTGGCTCATGCAATGTCTTACACACTGTTTTCATTTCTTGTAACTTCAGATCGGGAAATGTATGATACCAAAGTCTATGTGACATCTCTATTTTGACATTATTAAAATGCAGCATAGTTAATGCAAAATCAACTTTTCTGAGCTTTTAACCAGTTACAGTTGTTTCCCCTTCTCCTTTACTCTTTCAAAGTTGTATTTGGAGTGATTCGTGCATGTTTAAGCAATCCTTTATTCACAAACACTTATTTTCAAGACGCTATATTGATGATCAACCCCGACATCTACAAGGCTCTTTGTTGTGATGGCGTTTATCGTGATGTTTACTGTAAGTTTAACTCTTAAATCAGCTGACTTGTTTCTTTTATTAAATAATTTTACATTAATATTGTGATTTAAAATGTGCCAATTATAACATAATGAGCCATGGGGGTCATAAATTATAGCTATATAGCACACTCAAGCACAATATGTCTTCTTTAAAGCTCTGGTTACAGTAAATTGGCCAGTTCATTATAAATATTTATTACACTACAGATTGACTTTTGATATAATTAAGAGGAGATGTATTCAAAATTATGCTAATTTCCACCACAACAAAAGAAAGACAAGAGCTTGGATTTGAAAGCGACATGTGGATTGGATAGTGTCTTGAAAGATAAAAGAGAATTGTGCTCACCCTCCCAGGATCTCTTTGCCATCTGTGGACGCAGCCAGCGAAAACACGCAGAACCGCCTCTCATCTGGACTACAAAGCACACACAAACACACACGCACACAGGTTTACAAAAAAGAAAACAACATGATCATTCAATTAACCTAACAATGGCTGCACGTTAAGAATACAGTGTGAAATTATCGTTACCCCAAAATCCATATCGCACAAAACTAAATATATCTTCTTAATTTCATAATAACAATCTAGATTTTGAGAGACTTTGTCTAGTTAATAAAGGTCATTCTACATTTGATTAAAGTATCAAAATTGGGGCTCTAAGGCAAAAAACCTTTCAATTACATTTGTTCTTATTAAAATCAAATTAAAAGGCTTTCAATATTGTTAGGACCAACTGGGTCATTCTCACTTGGTTTCAAATGGTTCCAATTTGCATCTAGATACTTTTTTGATAGATCAACAATAAGGTCTGAACAGAATTTTCATTAGAAAATTTGCAGTTTTTAACATATTTTTAGGAATATTTTTTAAAACAAATCCTTAAAAAAAAATCAGTCTGTTGATCAGTCTATATGGCATTTACCACAATAACCAAATGCATTGCCTGAAAGTGTTTTAATGATCAATGACTGGGTGCAGACTTGTGATTAAGAAGGCCCATAGCTAATCATTAACAATTTGAAATGAATTGATTGTGATTCCATTGAAATTTTATTATTTGCATTTGTACAGCCCACGTCAGACTAGTAAAACATTATATTATATGGAAAATTACAACAATTTCAACATGATTATCAAATAAGATCAGCTTAATGCTTGGGTTTTTATGCTGTATGACGCTCTGTGTAGATTAACACTGGCTTGTGGGTGAATTAAAGCTTCCTAATTGATTCCTTTGTGCTACTGTGAATTGTGTTGTATAATATTCAATTACATGTGCCATTAGCTGTAACTTGTACAGCCCTAGGACACACATCAACCTTTGAAGTAACGCTTTTGTTAGATTGACTATGGTTTAATGCTGTCATAATGAGCTCACACACAGAGAGGAAATGGATGGTGAGGTGACAGGCGTTGACAGCATCATTCATCGCCATGGTAATGAAGGGAAAGGTGGGCTGCCCGGTGGGGAATGATAGATTACCTGGTCCATAATTATAAGTTACTATGAGGGTAGACACTAACTTGAGGTCCAGGGCGGTGTGGTTTTCACTGTCGCCATCTATACTGCACAAATGAACTGCAGACAAAAGACAAAGAAGATTCAGATTAGTCTTGTATTCAAACAGATGAGGACTTCTTTCTTGGACATTCTGATAATTTCTATAGTTTATATGACCTAGTATTAACCTTTCTTATTGCATATATTTTATCTTCAGATAGATGTAAACAAACTAATGTGTATGTAATTAAAGACATTCAATTATCTATTAAATCAGCTTTAGGTGGTTTTGAGCATTCAATTCTTAGATTAATATCACAACTTAAAAAATATTAAATAAAAATAAATAAATAAAACAAACAAATAAATAAAATCCAATAGAAACAAGAAAAAGTTACCTGCATCTTTCATTATACCCCCCTCCACTACAAACACTGTTCTGCCTAGACCATAGACTGTATAAAGAAGTGGACTAACGGAGTGTGGCGTCACCCATAGTGTTCAGCTTCAGTCAAGTGAAGCTCACCGAGGCTGACAGTTATAACAGCAAATTTGGAGCAGCTTAATACAAACATTTTAAGACCAAAATGACGAGGCTCACTACAGCAACTATATAGAGATAGAAGCAATGTTTTTCAGTGCCCCCATGCTCACTTCCTGCTTGGAACACGATGGCTATTGGGTTAGCGATGTCTATTCACATACAGTCTGTGGTCTAGTCTCATACGTTGGCCTCTATATAAACCCTCTCGTGTGTGGGGCCCAGGCCTTACTGTAGTCAGACCAACTGGAGTAGAGCACGTGATGAGCATCAGGGCTGAAGCACACGTCCAACACACTCCAGCCCACGTCCCGTGCCTTCACTGTCCGCTTCAGGGTGAAGCGCCCCCTAGTGGTGTCGTACAAGCGGATATTCTGATCTGCACAGAAATAAATGTGGAAATATGTTACACAAAAGAACGACATGGTGTTGAATCAAAGCAGTGAAAACCAGAGTGTGTTTTTGAATTTGGTACCAAGAAACAACATTTAACTGTGCACTGTGTAACTTTTCTGGTGGAGGGTCTGTAAAATCCATTTCTCCATGATGTTATTGTTTTTTCTGGAAAGTTTCACAGTATGATATTAAACCTTTCTATCTTCATGGAGACCAGACCAGGTTACAGGTCAGATCTGTGGAGAGGCAACCATGCTCACAGTCAGAATGCCTGTTTTCTAGGTATTTTTTAGCTATAAAACCACCTGTAATTAAATACATGTAAAGTAGAGCTGTTTAATGTCATACTGTGGAACATTCCAGGCAGAGCAATGACAGACCCCCAACCAAAAAGTTACACAGTGTGCCTTTAAGGGAATCCTCCTGTTATAAGCAACATTTTCTGGACTTTTTCCTATTCAAACGATATAATAATTAGTTTTTAATTGTTGAGCGCTGCTATGGCAACAGTCCTTCTTTTTGGCTTTGTGAAACCCATGGATAATATCTTTGCCAACTTAAATATAAGAATGTTAATTATATCCAAACCGATCACCAATGGTACGTTTTGATCACAGTATTATTAACCAGACAGTATGACAATTATCGCAATATTAAACAAATGCCCTGATAAGCCTTTGGGGCAAATGTCATTTCAAAGTTAGTACATAGCAATTATTGTGGCATACAGTTGCAACAAAACACATTTATGCATAGGAACTAACAATTACACTGTCAACTATTATTTTGTGGGACTTTTGATATCATGGTTCATTTTATATTACCACTTAAAAGCCCTGTACCAGACTTTTTTTCCATGTATTGATCTTGCTTTGCCCAGTACAGATATATTGTATTGTAAGCAGCCGTGAGGTCAAATTAAGTCTCCTGCATTCTGTCTGCATCTAAATGATAAAGCGTTTTGTCAGAGAATCAGGGAGTGCACAATTAGCATGCTGGTTGTCAAACCAAGACAGCAAATCTCCATTCTTGTTTCTGAAAGATGTGAAAAGTACCTATAAACTGATCGCGGTGAATAATTAGGATGCTCAGAATGCATAAGGTAAGTGAGGAAAGACTTTGGACTAATGTAAACAGTTTCAAACAAACTAGATCTGTTTTTCACACTTTTATCAACAGTAAAAATCAGGTAAAGCACCTTTAAACATACACAAGATTATTACCGGGGGGAGATTACCAGGGGGATCATTGTCAGTGGACATGGAAAATTAATTTAGATCCAGCCTTATTCAAATAATTGGTTGTGTTGGTTTCTGCCATTTGAGTGACAGGCTCAGCTCAAATGGACCAAAGTTAGACAGAATTTCAGATACATTTCATTTGCTTTGCGTTGTCCAGTTGGCTGAACAGTTATTTACCTTGGCAGGCGGAGAGGAACATGTTGCCATTCTCGCTGTACACTCCACAGAAGGCTTTCTGCTGGTATGTATCCTTGTGGGACACGTAGTTTGGCAGGAAACTGAGAGGAAACATAAGGGTCAATATCGTTTGACAGACAACAGCATGAGTCTCCTATAAACACCGTGTTCAGGGTAGTGCAGGTTTGTGCTAAAATTACTGGGCTGTCGATCACTAATGCTGAATTTGGTAGCTTATTTTTTAATTATTTAATCATATTTTGCTCTGCAATTAATCAAATTTTTATCAAGGTAGAGATTCAAGTAATTTCAAATTGTCAATGATGGATCTTGTTAATAGAGAGGTCCATAGTCAGTGTGTCAATACATAAAAGTATGTGGTTTTGAGCAGAATTGTTGAATTAGTTTGACTTTTTTTTTCCTGTTAAAAGGCTATGATTATTTAATATGGTTAATAGGAAAATTAATATATAAAGTCAGTTTCATCGGTTTTCAATCTCAAAATAGAATTGTGACTGATCAATATGAGGAAAGAAATGGGCAAGTCCTAATATGCTATTTTGATAGTTATTGCTAATGTGTGCATTGTGTCATCATAGTAACTGATAAACATTCTGCAAATAGAGATACATGTAGAACACCCCCAATGTGATGTAACTGCAAACTATCAGTAACCAATATTTTGGGATTCATTTTTAAAAGGCACTGTAGATTTTTATGCAAGGCTTTGTTCCAACTATACCATTTTGTAATTGATTTCAGAAAGTGTTTGATTCATATTTCATTAATTACACACCCCCAGATTATATTATTGTGGTTTTAGTAATAAATGTACTTTTATATTAGTTTGGCTTGAAAAGCATAGCACTTACTGTGTTCGAATACGACTGCACTCTCCGTGGGAAAAACTGGAGCCTCTACATCTGCCCTGTTCCCTCTAGAAAAACAAGATTTATTTGTATTGGGAATTTGGGACAAGTCGTGAAGGAAATTTTAGCACCATTTTAACCATTTAAAAATATATAGCAATACCACAGCTATTCTACACTGACAGTTACTTGATGTGAGCATTATAGCACTACATTTGATTTTTACCATAATGGATCATCTAAGACTGGTAAATATGTTAACAAAACATGGTCAAAATTAGAAAAAATTATAAGTAAATTGATATTGAAAATGGAAAACTCTTTTGGGTCTGCCATGTGCTATAAAGATGTTTATGTTTTGAGTATATGTAGGCCTGGAATGTTCCTAAATATGGCATTGAAATCATCTATCTTCATGGACACAAACAGGTGATGCCACCAGACAAAGCTGCAAGGAAAATCACAGCAAATTTCTCTAATCTGGCCAAAATTTTAAAATGCATATCAGGTGATTCATCTTGTTCTCAGATTTATTATCCACTTAGTAGTTCTCAGACTGCTCAATTCCAGTCTAGAAGAAGTTTATTTTAAGATAAGTTGTCAAGTAAAATTATCTTTCTGCATAATTTCAGTACTTTTAAGTCATTTTTTGATAAATTTAAGTGTTAATATCTTAAATTTTGGCTAAGCTATTTTGCAGTGGAGGCGACCACACTCACAGTAGGAATACTTCCTGATTTCAGTGTATATTTTCAGCAGCTGAAAACACAACTAATTGAATATGAGCAAGACAGAGAAGCGTAAAGCCAGACCATGGAACATTCCAGGCTGAGCAATATTTCCATGGAGAGCCACAAAAAAAGTCACACAGTGCACCTAATTACAGCGTATATTATTTTTCGCAGCGAGTGTATTATGAAGATGCTTGCTTTTTATAGGCTGCCTCTTACCTCTGCTAACATATGTGAAACTGTGCCTCCCTTTGAGCGTGGACGAGGCTGTGGCCAAGAGGATCTGAGTGCGGATCTCACTGCGGTCCACTTCATTTGTGTCAGGCTGGACGTCCACTGGAAATATGACACCACAATACAATCAATTTAGCTGCTTCTTATTGAAAGCACCAAAGCATTGTCCACTCTTGTTAGCATGTAGGGCAATCTGTATCAGACCATTGATTTCACTGCAGTCAGGATTTGACTATAAACTACCCAAACAGCAAGAATTTGTATTGTGTTTATCCAAAAACTTTCATTTTGTCTTCTTTTGTATGTTAACTTCTTATGTTCTTTTTGAAGACATAATACAGTAGGAGATGCGTTAACCTTGTTGACATGTTTCACTTGTTAGCTGGTGAATTGTATTAATTGATAGCACCCACGCTTTTCACTTATCATTCCTTTTATATACTGTATATAGTTAATAAAACCACTGACTTCACTGCAGATTGCATATTTTAAATGGCCAGCTGGACAAAATAGACCATTTCTAACAGTAAAAATGAGTGTTGTCTTTCTTGATGGATTGTATTATTTGATAGTACCCAAGCATTTCCCTTATCATTCTTCTTAAATAGATAGTATATAGTATATAGTGAATAAGACTACAGACATCACTGCAGATAGCGTATTTTCAAGGGTCAATTGAGGAAAACAGTCAGACTGTGACAGCAAGAATTTGTATCTTATCAGTTGATGAATTTATTAAGTATCACCTCATACATGATCAAACGTCATAAAGCTATTATGACATTCGATTTCCATATTACACTTGGCAATATAATGTTGAAACCAGGAAACCCATTCACCTTTCATCACTATTCTAATTTTGCCATATAGTCCAAAGGTACAATGCTAAAAAATACAAATATTTTAAAACTAAAAAGTTAAAAAATTCTAAAAAGTCTTCTATTTGTCCACATTCAACTCATGTTAAGCAGCATATTTTCCATTAGCACAAACTAGTTAACTCCATTTACATGGTTTCATAAGTAACTGTTACTTTATGCTAAGGTTTATGTTGTATTTCGTAAAAAGTGCACTGCGCAATAATTCCTTCTGTAAATGGGGTGACTCACAGAGATCTGAATTGTAATGTAGCACAGTGCTGTAACCTGCTTGTCTCCCTCTTGATAGTTAGGTTTAATCCATATTGTGCAACATTCTGGACAAAGCAGTAATATTTCCATGGAGACAAGCAAGTGACGGGCTCTTCACTAGAAATGTTATGCAGTGCACCAGTTTTTTTTTTTTTTTTTTTTTTTTAAATCATTGCATACCAATCTATGCTTCGTAATACCATTTTCATATGTAAAGCACTTCTGGCAGCTTTGTTTGTAAATGTTCTTTATAAAAATTGATTTGACCTTGACCCACTATAGTAGCTTCATTATAGGATCACTGGTGCCCCCATAGGTTAGCCCATTACCTGGTGGGTTGTAGCGGTCGCCCAGGCGCCCCTCCCAGGCCCCATCACTGTCCTCGTCTGAGTCAGAGTAAGACTGGACCAGCTGTAGCCCTGTGGCTCCACTCCCATGGACCAGCCGCACCTGGCCCCTGCAAACGCACACACTACATCACAATACTGCACAGCCCCTATACAAGGTCAGTGTAAAGAGAGAAGAAAGACCTGCACAACTCATTAGCACTGAGAATAGCACATGAACACAAGACTAAAATGTATCTGTATTTAGTCAGGGCCCTAGACACATGCACACCTTAAAACCATTCTTTAAAAGGTCCTATATTAGGCAAAATGTACCCCTGTGAGCTGTAAGTCATGTTATAATGTTGCTACCTCATCAAAACTATACCTGGAGTTGTTTTGTTCCACCTTGTAATGTCATGAAGAGGAGGTTTTCAAGTTAACAGCTACCATTTATCTTTTGTTCAGTGGAGATCAATTATTATTAAGTGTCTTAACTTTGATACACCACTGAATTCAGAATTTGAACCCTCAGGACCATAAAATATACACATAGAGCTACTACAAAAGGTGCTACTAGTGGTAATCGTGTTGTCCTTAAATACAGGACAGCTCTTGGTCAGTCCTGTTTCTCTGCCAAAGGGGCTAGACTGTGGAAATGCTTACCATCTGATTTAAAATTAGAAACCAATAGCAACAAATATGAAAGTAAATTAAAATTACTGTATGCACCCAACCAAAAATGCACTTACTGAAAATGTAATAATGCTGTACTAAAGTGTCTTGTCATGCATTTTATTTTTTCTCTGGACAGGTGTTGAAAACTAGCACTTGTGCTAACACTCAAAGCAACACATCTGGCTTATCTAATGCTATTGTGATGTCCTTAATAAATATAAATGTATAATTACATTGGAAATTCCAGGGCTAAAAATATCTAAATGATCTAATATCTAAAGAAGGTGTCCAGAGTTTAAAAATACAATGGAGCACTTCCTGTATTACCACATGACATCACAAGGTGGAAGTTTGAGAGAAGAACTCATTCTAAATAGGCAGAGTTTGTGTGTTAAACATGTGTGAATGAAACCAAACACAACTCCAGGTATGTTTCTGATGATTAAACAACATTATATATTATAAAATTACATCTTAATCTTGTTTCTTGTATATTTGTGATCCATTACAGTCATCCAGCAATGCAAGTTGTACATACATTTGACAAGACACAAATCACTATATATACATCAGATATACATCAGAGATATCCCACCTTGCTAAAATTCCCGCTTATCAATTTACTTAAAGGAGCACTATGTAACTTTTCTGGTGGAGCTCATTCTACCTGCTGGTCTCCATGAAGATGATGTCACTTTTGCTTAAAATGCATCAATAAAAATCGATTTATGATATTTTGTTATAAGAGAAGACACACACAAAAGACACCTTAACTATTTCAGAATATAGGAAGTCTAATAGGAAGTAACTTTGTTTTTTATTATTTCCAGTAGTTTTAGGAGTGAAGGGTAAACAGTTGTAAAAGTGGTTTATGGACATGATGGAGAACACGTTGTACTGGAGAGGCAATGGCCTAGCACTATTAGAACAATGCTCATTATGCTAAAATCAATCACTCTTTAAATGATAAAAATCTCTGGTTTTATTCATCTGTGATAGTACCCACACAATATTGGCCCTGAGCAGCTGTAGTGCAACAGATGGAGGATCAGTGGCGACTCTGCAGTAGTTCAATGTTTAGTGAAGTGAGAAAAAAGGATTCAACTCTTTCATTTTGGTTTTGTCTACTGATTTCCTGTTTACCATGTATTATTAGAAATCTCTTAATTTATAAGTGCACTATGTAACTTTTTTTCTGTTGGGGTGCACTTGCCACCATGGACATTTTTGCTTTGTCTAGAATGTTCTGCAGTATATATGGCATTAAATGTATCCATCATGCATGTATTCAATAACAGTTGTTTTTATTACTCTGAAATATGCAGAAAAACATGCATTCCTACAGCGAGTGGGCTTGTCTCTCCACAGACCTGAACTGTAACTTGCCCTATAACTTGGCCTGATAGCGTCACCTGCTTGCCTCCATAGAGATAGAAAAGTTTATTGCCATGCTGTGACACTCTATTGACAGTGCAATAACATCATCATGTAGATAAGCATCTGCGAATCTACAACGGTAAAGTTATGCAGTCCCCTTTAATGCAAAACATAAAAGCAATCCAATTAATGTGTTAATTTATGTGGATATTCAACTTGTCAATGGAGATAAATTAATTCATGGCCAAAAAAAAAAAAACTTTTGCAAAGCATCTGTTCAAAGATCCAGTCTGTAAAATACTCAAAACTAAATGAATGGGAACTGGAAATCCCCTGCCTCCTCGAAGCGAAATGTCTGAACGTAATTTAATGTTTCAATTATGTTCTCTGTTGTAAAATACTGAAACAGCCTTGTTCTTCTAGTTCCTGCTCTTGCATTTCAAATAGAGGACCTGATAAACGTTACTGTTCCCTTGTAAATGGTGGTATAGTTAGGATATAAATTGAAATGATCTCCATTTAGCAGGGCATGAAATTTAAATACAATATCAAGTGTTATTACATGTTTAAAGTACTTCTCCTCACAGCCAGCATTTTTACTAAATGCATTGAAAGAATATGCACTAATAAAAAAGGATGTTTCATTGAAATTAAAATCTTGAACTCATGCTTCCTTTTCAAACAAACTACAAGCACAATGATATGCTCCGACCCAAAATTGTGTTCAAAGATATGATTCAAACTGGGCGTGTTCTACATTTATCTCTATAGAGGAATTTTTAGGAGTTACCATGGCAACACAGTACACAGACAAGCTGCATTAACAATGTCAGAAAAATACTTTGAATAGTCTGAAAACTAAAAACAAAATACAACATGGATTTAAACAGCGCATTTTCAGGAGCCTGTGATCAGTACAAGAGTTCATGGTGCTGTTTAGGTGTTTGATTTTCAACAAAAAGGTGAGAGTGACTAAAAACTGTTGGCTAATGCTAACTAGCTTGTGACTGTAATTTTACATGTGAGAGACTTGTTTAACAGCACAACTCGGCTCTCCAATTGTACTTCCAGCTAAGTCAGCTCTGTCTGGTCAGACTGTGTTAAAATAAAGTTCAGATTAAACTCTAACAAGCCTCAGACAGAGCAGAGCCTACAGTTAGCCACACACCCCCAGGGAATGTTGATGAGATTAGAGGCTGAGTGTTAATAGCTGATTTTAAACTTCTAAACAAAGTGATGACAAAATGATCTAGGTTAAAGGTAAAGGCTTTGAAAAGATTTGGTTTTATCGCACTTGTCCATACTTGATGTTTTCACTAAAGCACAAACCACTGTCATATTGCTCCCTTAATTACAATGAACGTAATAGTGATTCAGCTGGGCCTGTTTCCAGATCTTGAGCTATAGATTCAATCAGGACCAAGTTCACTGCAAGATTGTGCCCACTCTGCATGTTTCACCAAACAGAAAGGAACCACCCAGTCTAGAAATAAAACCTGGGAGCCTCTTGGTGTGAGGTGAGAGTGCTAGCCATTGTGCTGCCAATATATGGTTTAGTCACTGATTAAAGGCTAACACTTACACTGCAAACGCCAACACTGATAAAAAAAGAATAATACTTTGACTATGACAAAGCACTTTTGTAGATGATTTCTGATTTAGTTACAGCTGCATTAAGTTCTGTCATGATTAATTGGATACTGACATAATCATCAACTAATTCAGTGATTGCCAAGACATTTTATAACTACAAAGCTGTAAATACATGCAATTGGTACAGGACATTTTGATGAAAACATGCAGCCCTCTGTAAAAAGAGGTGAAAATATTTCCCATCCAACTGTCCAAAAACATACTCAACAGTAGCATATGGACCCTCTGGTTGTTGGGGTAACTGAATGGACACTGTACAGCAAGGCTAAAACTATAAAGGCCAGTCGAATTTAATACAGACGTGAGGCAGATAAAATTAATATTGTTAAAATGCAGTTTTTTGTTGTAGTGCAGTGATTTCATGGATCTAGATAATAATAGAAATGATCAGGTTCAACATTTTTGCTTTAACCTTTTAGTTATTTCATGGCAAGTACAATGTTATTAATAGGTTAAACTGGCTCTTGCCCCCCACCTGAGAGTATGACATCATCACATTCTACAACCTGAAAAGTACCAAAAGGATTGTGTTACCTCCTCAGTAAGTACGCCAGCACTTCAGCGAGGTCTACGTCCTCCTCTGATGACTGCCTCTCTCCCTGCTGCCGGTCGGAGCGACGCCCACGACCCTGGTTCTCTCCGTCAGATTCTGCTGGGGTGCCACTGGAGGATCCCCTTCCACCAGACATCCCAGAACTGGACTGGGAGCCCATAGACCGGAGTGAGCCTGGACACATAAAATAACACCAGAAAATCAGAAAGTCATAACAAGACAGGTGACAGGTAACAGCTTTAACATTATTGATGCTTAAATGCTAAGTAGGCCTGTCATGATAATTGATAATTGTGAGGGTTTCTTTCTGCCCCTCCTACCCCTCCTTTCCCTGCTCCCTCTTCCCTTCTCTCACCTTATTTGGTTTTTCCTGGGCGGGTCCCCAAATCATCTCATCTGCTGAGCTCCACTCCTGATCCTCGTCAGTAATCATCTCCGGCAATAAAAGACCTGCTGACCTGCTCTCCAGTGCCAGATCGTTCCATCAACCAAGTGGTGAACTACTCAGGCTTTTTGTGTTTTTGAGCATTTTGAAGGTTTTTGACTCTTATCTGTTTACTTTTGTCCGTTCCCCAGTTCAACCGTTTTGGAGCCAGCCTCATCCCATTACCACCTGTTCCGCAAGCCTCTGGTCAGCCTCTTCACCACTGCACTTCAGCCAACCTGGACCCGTCCTACCTCCTCTGGAATCTATCCCCCTGTCCACGACTATTTTTGTTAATAAATACTTTTGTTACTGCATATTTGGGTCCGACCAGTGGTTCTTTAACAATAATTGCTGAACAAGAAGCCTCACATGGGCCCCCCTTTAATATTAATAGGAAGAGGTTCCAGCAGACCCCTTGGTCCCCCACTGACCTGATTGCAATATCGGCTTATCGTTGAAAACTGAAACAATATATTTGGAGGCTCAATATTTATAGTGTGCATGTATTTGTTGCAATAGTAGGGAAGTTTCTGCAGTTTTTTACGTAATACAGTAAGAAAAAGTAACATCCAGGGCTAATTATTATTCATCTTTATTTTTTATTGTGCCAGTGGCAAAAAGTAGATTAAATATGAATGTTTATCATGATATTTCGCTATATCAGTATATCATGTTTCAAAATGTGTTAACTTGACAGTCTTAATACCAAGAATGGTTCAGATGTTGAGCGAAATGATCCAACTCAATTCAAGGGATGTTAGGAAGATGTAATTTTAAGGAATGCCACAACACAATTCACTGACATTACAAAGTATAGCATGGGTGTTTTATTGACAGTGATGCATATTCTGTAGATCTTTTGGGAACACTCAGGCAAACAAAGCAGAGTCAAAGACCAAACCCTAACCCTAACTACAAGAGACAAAGACAATTAAATAATGTAGGTTACCTCCCAGGCAATTAAGTGAACACAGAACAAATATTACGTGAACGGTGCGTCACAGCTGGCATTCAAGCAAGCTGTAACACGATCCACAAACTGTCTATTTTTGCAAAACGCAGAACACTTCCGTCTGTCAAGCCTCCGTATCAGTTTATTATTACACCTAAGATGCAGAGTTATTGTGAAAGCTAGGCTAACATCGCTAAGGTTACCTTTTGACAGTCTTCCTCTTGACAGCTCTTCGGTCCGACTCGTCCTCAATCGACAACTACCTGAATAATTTCCTGGATTTTTTACTTGCAGAAAATGTGATCCGCTGCGATTGTCAGATGGAGATGTTGTTTCTTTGCGGCAGTGTATTTCTTCAGTCTGCTAACAGGGCCAGTCCGTAGGTCGCCATGTTGTTTACAAAAAATGTGAAAAAAGCCTGCGCCTGCCCTTTCACCGTCACGTGATCAGCTGAGAGGTACGCACATTAAAATTCTTTGTTATGTCAAGAGTGGATAATTTTTTGAAACGTAAAACATTGATTGAATTAATGTTACACAATTATATTATATGCATTTCGCCTGTTTATTACTTTTGTATAACTTATCAACACGACACAGCCCCAAATGGCTTGTAAAAACTATGCTGTTTATACAAAAAAATGGGCAAGACAATTGGGATTTGTATTTTCTACAGGTCAAATAACAACCCAATACATACATGTTATAAATACTAGCGTAAATTTGTAATATAGAAAGCAAACAATAAGTGACAACCCTTACCTTAAAAAAAATGGCATCCTCTATAGAGATAAAAGCCTACTCAACTATATTGTTAATGATTTTCAGTAGATGAGCTTATGGTACTGTGATTGTATGCCTCTCAAATGTCGTCTCTAAATGAAAATGTGCTCATCTCAAACATAAGAAATCATCTTCAATGTTCATATAATAGCATGGGACGTAATAGTATTTCATTAGCTCTCATCTACACAACATGAGGTCAATGGGTGGTAGTTTTAATAGTTTCGGTTGCAAATGGAAAAGAAGAAACTGTTCTATGAAGTAGTAAACATGTCGTAAAAGGGGTAATTAACATCTCTAATGAACCAAAACTACACCCCTAAATGGCAAATAGATACTCTGGCATTTCCATCGAATAGGTGTAGACTGCAGCATTCTCAAAGTAATTCATTAAATATCACACAGGTCTGAGCAAGAATAACTTTCATCAGTAAATTGGGCTCCTGATGTAATTTAGTTTAACAGGATTAAATGATGTCAGTGTCATGTAAAATTTATTTATAAAGCACATTTAAAGCAACCACAGGTGACCAAAGTGCTGTACAGGCAAGTGTATACACAGATGATCTTTATGCAGAAATATGGGTTTCTTATTTACAGCCTGTTGATTGAAATATTAACATTTTTAAATCTCTCTTTTAATTATAGATATTTTTTACAGATAATTCCACATTAAAACTGTTATATAATGTCTATATGGACCTTAACAAATCTGTATATTTTAGCTTTATGTGATATAAGTATTGAAATTTGAATGTTATTACAGTTTATTTTTTGTTATTTGCACTCTCCATTGTAAAATCAAATATACAAACTAAAAAGCCTATTCTAATTTTAATTTACAATATGTGTGCCTTCATTAATGCATTGTAATGACTTGGGAGATATCGTTGGAGAAAAACGTCCATTTTCCCTGGTATTTTCTGATTTCCAGTCAAACCTGAAAGAGAGAACAAATTCAAAGCTATGCACTATCAGAGCTGGTGATTGGACAATTTAGCGTTTTCAATTTTACCCAGTTTTTGAGCTGCCTTTTCAATCTTCTCCAAGGCCGACTGCACATCTCTCCCTTCTGATACAAGGACCTCAATCTCCCCAACATTGTAGCCAAAATCGGCCTGATCCAAATCGACTTGCACACCGTCCTCCTTTAAAGTGAATGAGCGCCGAACTGTTGTGAACTCTGCAAAGCATTTCAAATTCATGTCACAAAGCCATGTCTCCTCCTCACTAACAGTTTGGGTTTGACTGTCCACAACTTCGTCTGTCTTCTGATTTCTTGGTTGTGTGGATCCATGGTCTTTTATTACCTCTCTCACTCTTAGTTGAATTTCAGCAAGATCGGTAATCTCCCTGTAGCGGGTGCACAGAGCTTCCACCTTTGACTGGCCTCTACTCACTGGGCATTTCAGCTCCCAACTTCCTTTACGTTTACGCAGCCAAAAGTCTTGTAAAGTGAGGGCAAAGCTTGCGGTGTCAAAGTACTGGTCATGAAACTCATGTTGTCCGACACAAACTGTTAAATAAACAAACCAAAATAATTGCAAGCTTTAAAATGAGATGACACAAATATACTGGCATGTTTGGGTAATTGCAATGAGAGTTAGGTGAAATAGCTCTATCTAGTTGTATACGTGGATTTTCGTGTTGTGATTGGATTAATACAGCTGGATATCGGATCTTCACCTTGTATTTATATCTGATATTTAGATTTAAGATTATTTAATTGACGTGCAAATGCATAATGAGAGGAACCCTAGTGAGAAAAAAAACCCCGCATTATTATCATTTTAATATTCTTATAACTCCCTAAATCTCAGATAAAAATGACAAGCTAAATGAATTCTGGCTCCTGCCCTGATTTGAGAGCATGATGTAATCACATTGTCTAATTGGGAGTACAACCAATTAGGACAGATAGTCGTGTAATTTCAGTGCACACACACAAATAGACTACTCACCAGCTGTCTTCTCCAGTATTTTTAGAGTTTCATCGGTGCATATAAATTTTCTTTCTACCTCAACACTCATCTGGAACAAAATGTCAGACAAATTTAAATAGGCCTAGGTGTAAAACAATAAAACTTATAAAAAATAACAAGAGCCTATGCACGCCCTTTTAATTATAGCCTATATTTGAACTCAATGTTTTATCATGTAATTAACTACATTTTTGTGTATGGAGTTACGCCAATTAAACTTAATTGGCGCATCAGCAATTCAAGCAATAACCAAACAGATATCTTAGAGATTGACTAACACAAATGAGCTTTAAAACATTGTTAAAAGTAAAAGTAATTTGGATTCTACTTAGATATTAACCTTATTGCATTAACGAATAGCGTCATGCTGTTGTAATACCGTTTCTACAAAGTATTTTAGTCTAATTGCAATGGCCAGATTACATGCAGTCAGATTAAACGTGTAACCCGCTGCTGCTGTAACACTGCATAAACCACAGACACACTATTATGCTATCGCCAATCTGTAACACAAAGCGGGGTAATAAAACATCAAAGCTTTACGCACAACCCCCCTCACACACCTCACTGAGCCACGTCCTCTAATCCAAACAAATGAGCATTAAAATAGGGCGACAGATCAATCCGGGGAGTCCCAAACACGCCAGGCAAATTCATTTCACTCAGGCGCAATTAAAGGCACCTATCAGGGCATTTAGGACCCTCGCTTCCTGTCCCAGTAACAGGGCATGCATGGGGGCTACAGATGGTGCAGTTTTAATCCTCACTACTTCATAAATATTTATCCCACATACCCAGTGTAGATATGCGCCACACCTTGTGTTCAGTCAGAAACATTTGAGGCGCTCCAATTAAGTAATCGCGAGAAAGTAGCGTTTTAAATGAGCAATCAGTGAGTGACTGTGGTAGTCCTAATTGATGAAATGTTACAAGTTGCATTCCCGTATTGATATCCAGCATCTATTTTAAATGTAACTCTAGTTAATGATATCTCTAAATCTGCTGAGGTTACATAAGTGATTTTATTTGATAGTGAGGAGGGACTTCTGAATGTCAGCAATCAGCCTTGGGGGGAGCTGTGGTGTGTTTACTAGAGAAGAGGGGAAGGAGAGAGGGATAGGGCGAATGAAGCTTAGGAAGGGAGGGAGGGGAGGCAGGAGAGCAGCCAGAGAGAGAGAGAGAGAGAGAGAGGGGAGGGAGAAAACTTTTCACTTCTGAGGAGCCACAGAGGAAGCGAGTGTGTGTGGAGCGGCGACCATGCAGGTAAAAACGCATTAGCTAATTGCTCTGAACTTAATTAAACGTCATCGCGATCGCTTAATTGTGCTGGTTTGAGCGCAGAGAGTGGCTCGGGACTGATAGATAATCGAGTAAACGACGGATCAAAACCTTTATCAACCCGTCCCCGTGTAGAAATCCAACATTAAATCCAAAACTTTTCTGCTACTCGACTGTCTTTTGCCTGTTCTCCGTAACGCCACCCCCATCGTCGAGGAGGCGACCGCCTCGCACGTACTCCGCTTCAAGAAGCTTTTACGTGTTAATTCCCTCGTCAATTACGCATCGGAGCTGTTTAAATGATAGTTTACGTCGGCATGTGTTGCAGCGAAACTGTTTTAGGCATGGTTTTGAGCGTGAAACGGAGGTCTGCTTGACGGCGAGGGAGGAGGGGTGCGAGTGTTTTCTAACACATCTGTAAGCGGAGCCCACGTTCATTAATTAAATGGCTTTAGTCGGGCTAGGCCTCAATTTGCGCTGTTGAACAGCAGGCGGCGGGCGGTGCAACACTACATGCCCGATTGGCAGCCTACAATCAGAGGGGTAAGAGACAAACCGAGGCCGAGGTGTACGGATTGAAGGCGAGTGTTTGTGTTTTGTGCCAACGTGAAGTCGGTGTGTTGAAGCGCTCTTCACCTGGAGCAGACAGAGTTCAGGGGAGCGGGGGCTGGACACTTGGACTCAGTTTGAAGCTCGGTTAATTATCTCTGACTGCTAACAGGCTAGCTAGCAAAGTGACACGACTGGTAATAGCTCAGCCCCTTCCTTTCTGTATATTAATTTAATGATCATGCAGTCGTCATTCGGAGCATGTGAATAGATAAAACTGACACCAGTGCTGCTTTTGTGGCTTGACATAAGTGTATGTCCATGTGTGTGGTTATTTTAACTAAAGTTGGAGCTAACGAGCCATTCCTGAACCCTACTGTAATGCGACGGTACAGGGGCTCGCAGCCTAGCCTGCTAGCTAATTGATTCATCTCTGCGTGGCATAGCTAATTAGACTGCTCATTAATTAGCCAGCTTAAAGCACGGAGCGGCTAATATAGCTGTATCGCGGCTTTTAATTACAGGACATTTGACGAAGACTTTTTAATCACGATATATGCTGTAGATATGGACTTGTAGAAATATTATCTGGTCTTCTAACCGCGCTAGCTGGCTAATTGGCATGACAAGGAAGTGAGCCTAGTTGCTGTAAAGGCATTTCGCTTGTGCTGGCGTTGTTACTGTCTAAGCAACCATAAAGTTTATAGAACCAATTAAATCTTCTCGTTAGAGGACAATCCACTATGGTTATATTTCGTATTCTCAATTAAACATAAAGGAATGCAATGTTTTATAATTATGATTTTGATGCAAGATATGACTTTGCCGTTTTCCAGTTTGTAATTTAAGATCTTCCATGTTTTTGAGAGCTTGCCAGAAGTTTTGTGCACAAAAGACCAGTGATTTTGCGTCAAGAAAGAACTATGCAATATGCAATGAGTTTTAAGAACATGCTAATGAAATATTATAGCCTATTATAAAAGTGTTGGACATGATTGTAATAATAATTCTGGTACTAACCTAACAGCGTGATGGCATGTGGTCAGTTTGCTGAATGCTTACTCTGCTAAATTCCTCTCAAGTTGCAAGTTGGTGCAGCTATAAATGTATTGTTACTGAATAGATTTGAGAAGTCCTTATGCCCCAGAGAGGCCTTTGTTGTTCCCATTTTCTATCCACTGTGCATCCTAACTTACAGTTGCTGCTAAAATGACACCTATCTGAGGCCACATCTGATTGGCCACATTGTGTAAAGTCCATAGCACATGTATTCACTGCTCAGTCTGATAGGCCAAATGTTGAAATGCTTTGTTCTAATGCATACACTATTTATATCATCCTACATTGTTTTTGCACAAGTTGTCCTCCTGAGTAAATTATAATGCCCTCTATATTCTCTTCAACAGCCTATGCCAGAATATTAACTCCTATTTCTACTTGTCAGGAGGAGCCTGGAGAGACGGTGAGCAGTGAATCCAATGGGGTGGCTCTGTGGCTATGCCCCCTGTGTCAACAAGGACAAGCAGACCGCTCCTCCTTATCTTTGCACCTTACAGATCAACACAGTGTTCTTCCATCGTGTGTTGAGAGGCTGCTCGACATTGTGAGTTTTAACCAACAAAGAGAGCTTGATACATGAATAGATAACTTCACATGGCAGAGCAAAGAATGGAAAATTGAAGTATATAGCAATAGGAGAAGTATAACATGGTACAAGCCTGTGAACAAAGGACTGGCAACACAACAAAAATCATGAGATTCCTATTTAGTTTTGTCTAATTAAAACACTTTCATATCAATTGTATTAACATAAACAAGAGTTACAAGACATTCTTTTAAATCTGTGCAATTTATTCCTGCAAGGTCCGAACTCTGCTCCAAACTCTGATTTTACTGTCAGAGTACTGGCTGTAGACCTGAAGATTAAAAAGCCCCAAAGCCAATGATTGATGATTTAAAATTACGCAATCTTGATTTTAATAAAATTAAATTCATAGTACAGTGCTTCTTCTGTTACGCTTGTATTTGTATAGTGCTAGGTCTTTAAATTTTCACACATTTGTTAGTCAAAGATATGAAGTATTTATGAAAAACTTTAATTTATGCCCTCAGGGCAAGATGCAAATTAAAGGCAAGGATTGCTATGTGTAATATAACCACACTTGAATGAGTCACGCCCAAATGTTGTTGCCTAAAAATGAACTCTGGTTAAAGCAGCCGTTGCAGAGTTTTGCTGACTGTCTCCTTTCATTTTATTCTGAACAGGCTGGTCTAAAACAAGCAGCTCGTGCACATGAAGCCACAGGTGCTCAAAGCTCTTCAGGTGAGTTTTCTCCTTTTTGTCTGAAGAATTGGGTTGGGAGTATGTTTATGTTTCAAAGGGAATAAAGGCAACTTAAAATAGAATAATCATGATTAATCATCCTTGATTATTGAAATGGTGAGCAACAGATATCATCAGTAGTTAGTTAGTTAGTAGTATAGTTAGTTAGTAGTATAGTTATCATCAGTAGTCATAAGTAGTATTCACAGAACATGCTGTAGTAATGTAATGTAATGTGTGGTTTTGATGAGGAAAAAACCTCGTCTGTTTATGTTTAAGTCCAAGTGTTTGTAGTATGTAATAAAACATTCAAACATACAAAACATGGTGCAGCTAACGGACCACAACAACAGACTTTTGTAATTTTTTTACTTTTAACTGTAGAATATAGTTGTTATAATCATGTTGCTAAATTTGATCTGTCTGCACCTACAGATGCTGCATCTTCAGATTTAAAAGAAGACCTCAGTTCAGGCCTGTGTTCGTCGAACGAGACTTCAGACTCTGCAGAAACGAGTGGAGAGAAAGAGATGGAGGAGGAGAAAGTATTAGATCAGGAGAAAGGGGAATCGCAGCCCAAGCCAGAGGAGGAGGGACAGCACCTTACAGCAGCCAAACAGCAAGCTACATCTGTAAAGGCAGAAATACCAGATGCTACTGAAAAATCAGATGTTAAAAAAGTGCCAGCTGAAAATGATACAAAGCCTTTCAAATGTTATGCCTGCTTAGAAGCATTCCCCAACAAAACTGCTTTAAGTGTCCATTATAACTCTGCAGGCCACATTCAGAGGATGAAAACAGGAGGGGAAGCTGATTCACAAAGCCCCCCAGCCCCCGCCCTATCGCGGCCATTTGTATCAAATAAACCCTACCAGTGTGCGATCTGCAGAGTCTCCTACAATCACGCCATCACTCTCGAGAGCCATATGAAGTCTGTCTTGCATCAAACACGAAGTAGAAATGCAGGCATAGTCGCAAACAGCACAGTGGCCACTAGTAACACCACAAGTGTCCCGAAAACTGTGGCGAGCAAATCTGGGAACAGTCAGTTAGTCAGTGCTGCTCCTTCTCCTTCAGCTTTGATGGTTTCTGCTGCAAAAGATGGAGAACAGATTCAGACTTCGCAAGTGGCCACCTCTCTCCTCACCTCCCCTGTGGCTTCTGCTCAGGCCGTCTCTGCCTTCCTCACCCTTTTAACATCCAGCCCCAACACCCTGTCCCACTCCATTCTGCCCTCCTTGTTCGCAGCTGGTACTGCAGGTGCCACTGCGCCTCAGCTCGTGCCTCAGCCTCAGATGGTCATGCCATTGATTTTAAATGGGCTCCAGGCTCAAACCCAGCAGCTCCCAGAGAACCAGCAAAGCCAGCTCCTCACACAGTGCGTGCCATTCGTAGGCCTCAGTGCAGCCCAGCAAGCTCTCCTAGCCCAAAGATTTAGCAGCTTACAGAGCCAATGGCCCTCCGCAGGGGTCCCTCCAAACATACAACCCAGTTCTGAAGAGCAAAAACCAGCCATCAAATCTGAGAAAGAACAAGACGAAAGTGATGACAAAAATTCAGATCAGTCCAAGGCCAGTAAAGGCTCAGATACAGTGAGTACTAAAAAAGAGGAAGAGGAGAATGGTGAATTTGCACTCGATGTAAAAAGCAGAGTGAAGGTTGAGCATAATGAAGACAATGCTGAGGCGCGTAGAGATGGCACAACAGATGGAGACGGCTCGACTAATCAGTTGGACCTGGAAGGTGATAAAGCAGCGAGCTTGACTCTCTCCCCAGCGGGCGTGGACAAGAGCCTCCGCAATAACAACCTCTCGCCTTCTGTATCTGTGCCCAGCAACGCCAGCCTGAGTCCGGTCAATTTAAACCTCACACTTAGCCCTGATTCTACCCCTCAAAAATCACAGTCAGGTACCAGCCCCTGCGGTTCACTTGGCACCCCTATAAACAGCCCAAGTATAAACGCCTTAACCAAAATCAGAAGTAGGTCAGTCTATCGGGATCCACCGGTGTTGTCCGAATTTCAAACAGAGGTGTTGTGGGCATTTCTAGAATCCCGTAGTGAAGCAGACGCAGCCAGCCCTCCCCGTGAAGACTGTGAGGCGTTGGGCAGAGAGGTAGGCTTATCTGAGGATGAGGTACGGAGGTGGTTAACTCACGCACGGCTTCTCAAGAGGCAAAAAGCAGCAGGTTTAGAGCATTTACAAGCACTGGCGAGACAAATCCAAGTTTCTGATGATGAGGAGGAGCGCTCACTTGTGATAGCAGAAGGGGAGGAGGAAGAAGCAGGTGGTGGGATGGTGTTAGACTTGTCCAGTACTAGAGCAAAGCGTAAAAGGAAGAATTGGGGAAAGGAGGGCCGTGGGGATTCCTGTCTCACTTCCGACTCTGAAAATGAAGTTTACACTTCTGTCATTGTTTCTGATGAGGAGAGCCAGAATGGTTCTTTTAGAGAGGGCGTGGAGAGTCCAGCAAAAGAGGTAGCCCAGAATAGTGACAAAGGGGCAGCGGGTGGGAAGGTTTTACGCTCTACAACTGTATTTTTGTCTGACGCAGAGGAGGAGTATGAGGATGACGAGGGAGGGACAGGTCGCAGGGCTAAAAAACGAAAGGGAGAGTTTGAGAAAGAGGAACTTGAAGGAAAAAGGGAAAGGCAGGATTCAGATGTGGATTTGGAGTTGGAGGCACAAGGGGACCCACCCAGTTCCCAGATTCAAGCTCTTAACATCCCAGCCGGAGCACTCCACTCTCTGCCCTTGTCTCTGGCTTCCTTTTCTCCTCAGTTCCTTAGCCCATATGTGCTCTCGCTCAGCCCCTCTATTGTCGGTGATGCAGGCAAAGTGCCACTGTTTTCAAATCCACCAACTATTACACGATTTCCCAACTCACTCCTGTCTCAGTCACTCGCCCAAAGCCAAACTTCTCTGTTCATGTCCAATGGTGGGGACAGTGAGGGAGCTCTAGATCTAAGCATGGGGAGTAGTTCAAAGTCGCCATCTTCCGCAACATCTTTGGCTGAAAAAATTGCAGCGCAGAAAGGACAGTTACTTGATGGGCTTGGCTTGAGGCCCACAGCAAAGGGGCTGGTGGTCGTTCAAGTTAAGCCTGAATCAGCAGTGCCCACCTCCAATAGTGGCATGAATCTTGTCAATTGCAATAACATGACAAAGTCTGCCATTTACATGAGGGCTGCAGAGAAGATGAATGCGTCTCTATTGGAAAAGGAGCGTGAAAAAGACCAGGGCGGAGAGCAGGACTCTCATGGAGGCAGGAAGGCCAAAGGGAAACGATATCGAGATATGCGTCGCTCACGGACAATTATCCAAACTGAACAACTCGATATTCTGTACGGATGCTATTTTAAAGACCCGAATCCTGGAAAACATGAATTTGAACAAATTTCTGAGTGGGTCCAACTGCCAAAGAAAGTTGTTCAGATTTGGTTCCAAAACATGAGGGCCCGGGAGCGGAAAGGTGAGGTCCGATTTATTAGTGACGGGACTCTGGCAGCGGTTGGCAAACCTTTAATCAAATTTACCTGGCCTTTGGCCAAACCTATATTTTCAAAGAAGCCTCCAACCCCCAGTAACAATAATACTGGGGGCATTGCAGCTGCTCCCATTGTACGCACTATGATAAAAGCAGAACCAGATCCTGTGAAGGAGGTGAGCAAAGTGACTATGGTGAAGAAAATCATCCCAATCCCCATTAAACCCAAGGAGATACTCTCCGCCACTGCAGTGTCCCCTACCACTGCAGCGCCAAAGACCAAGCCCGAAACCACCAGCAATGTTACAATGGTTAAAGTTACCCCCAAAGTCAACCCTGTGATTCTACCACCACCTAAAGACCCTCCTCTAGTGCCCCGGCCAGCAGAGAAAAGGAAGCTGGAGGAGGATGAGAGTGAAGAGGATGCGACAGATGACGAGAAAGACCATGAAAGCCAAACCTCTCATGGCCCAGGGACTACCAACCGCATGGTGCCCAAGCTGCCCACTACTCCCATCAACAACAGGCCTTCTGCCACCACCACCGTCTCGCAGAAGCAGAACGGCCTTAACTACTGGACACCAAAAGTCCCCATCAAAATCAACACTTTGTCTAGAGAACAGCTCGCCCTCCCAACTCACCTGCCACCTCGCTGCCTTGCCCCTCCCCCCACACCAAGCATTGCTCCGGTCAGCCCCAATACCCCCAACTCTGCAAAAGTGACCAGCCCTCCCACTACCCCAGCAGTTGCAAAGTCAAGCCCGACGGATAACAACTTTTTGTCCCACTCTTCTAGCCGTAGACCACGTACTCACCTCTCCTGTCTGCAGCTGTCCATCCTGCAGTCCTGTTATGAGACGTGCGCACACCCAAACTGCCTGGAGTGTGAGGCCATCGGCACAGAGCTCAACCTGCCACTTAAAGTGGTGCAGATCTGGTTCCAAAACACAAGGGCCAAAGAGAAACGCTGGAAACTGCAGCAAGAGAAAATGGTAAGAGTACATTAGTCTACCTATTCTTGTTCAAGTTCATTTTGTAACCCTATAAATGTGTTATTTCATTACCTGAAATGTTCCACAGTATGACATTAAACACATTCATCTCGCATTTATTAAAATACCTTGAAAAACATGCAATCTAACTTTGAGTTAGTGAGTTTGATATTTAATACCATACTGGGGAACATTTCAGGCAAAGCAGTAACATCTCCATAGAGACCAGCATACCCTCCACCAGAAATGTTAAATAGTGCACCTTTATTATGGTGGTGGTGTCACTAATAATCTAATTCATTAATAATTTCAACATTTTTATTTAAAGTTTGTACTCGTAATTGACCAATTTGTCTCTTATACCCACCTCTTCTGTTTTCAGACTACTCCGTCAGGTGAGAAGATGGACACAAGTTCAGGAAGCTATCTCCAGTACAGCGCACTCAAGGCCAATCGTCCTATCCTTCCAAAACCGGTGCACCTCAACATCAGTGTGTCCGCCTCTTCCCCAGTGGACGGTCAATCGGCTAAAGAGCTTCTAACAGGCCACTGCGATGTTTGCGATGTGTCTTTTGATTCTCGTGCTGCAGCCAGAGAGCACGTCTTCTCCCAGTATCACCTGGCCACTCTGAAAACCACTAACTTTGGGCAGCCCGTGTCCCTCATCAATAAGAATGGCACCAGTAACAGTGGATCCAGCGCTGGCTCTGGGGCAACTCTGCAAACGGCCACCAGCAGCAGTTAAAGACTCAGATCAGGACTGGTCTGCACACAAACTATTTGGACCCATTTGGGCTCCTCAGATTTTATTAAGCCAATATGAGCACTAATCTTCAAAAGCTAATATGATTTAGTTTTTGACATTCGCTCTCCCTGCACCTGCAATCCTTCACTCACTCTTCTTTGACTTTTCATCAATATTCACCAGATAATTTCTGGGCTGCTTAGCACTGACTGCTGCTGCCAGACGAGTGAAGAACACTGCTCCCTAAATACTAAATAATCTAACGTTTTGGTCCTAACCCTGTGGCTATATTACCTTTCCTATAATTTGTAAAGGTTCAGCTTTGACCTGCTTGAACACAAGACTGATGCAAGAATTATTCTTCTGACCGAGTGGCCATTTTGCGATGGGCTCACACTTTTGGGATAATACAGAGGACTTTCGTTAACTTGCAGTTTGCGCCTGTGGATTTAATTTCTTATGCCTACCTGTTGAGCAAATATTGCTTCAGTATACTATAAAAAGACTGACCTATAGGCAGAAGAATGAGTTTTCACTATCACTTTACATTTGCTTCTAGGGTGATATCTACCTATTTGTGATATAAGAGGTACTTTGACAAGAATAGGGCTGTTGAGTTATCTCCAATTTAAATGTCCTAAATTTCATGACAATCCTAATACACAGGGCAAAAACAACTTTATAATCTTGGCATACCGCACTTTGGACACATTTTACATTGCGAGAGGTTTTAAGCATTCTGATGCAAGTGTCTTTCTGGAAAGATGCAACAATGCATGGTGGATGCCTTAATCACTAGAATGAAATGATTTTGCTAGCATAATAAACTTTGCTTTAGAGGTGCGCTTATGTGCAAGTAAGTGGTCCGGGTTTGTAAATTTAGAAGTACTGTTGAGTTTTACTTTTTTTTTTCTTTTTTTTTTTTTTTTTAGAAAAATCGCAATCTGTCACATAAAATAATTGAACTGTGTGTTTGCTAAAAGGCTATGCCTACAGATTTTATTTGTATGAATTTTGGATCCTGTGGAACTCCCCTAAAATACACGTGTCCTTTTGAAGCTCCTCTAAATCACTGGGACTTCACCTATTTAAAGGTGCAAAGGATAAAACGGCCTTAAAGAGACAGCACCACATAGTCTGTCCAGGTGGTCCTCTACCGAAACTTTCAGCCACATCTGTCACTGCTCATCCACTTTCTACTGTTTCATTTCTTGTTTGTTTTTTTTGTATTTACAATTTGCAAGTCTTTTATGTAGATATTTATTCATACATTCATCCAATTGGTATTTTTCAGGTCAAAAGCCAAACGTCAGACATGTTGAGGTGTGTTTTCCATGACCTCCATATTGTTTTTAGTTTTGAAACGGTTACTAATTCTGGGATTGTATGTGCTGTGAAACCTGATCTGACTATGTCTGGAAACAAAGACGGGGAGAAAGCGGGGTGTCTGTAGTGTCCCTAAGGGATTATAGATGCTCAAATTAACCAAGCAAATTTGGGAACTTTTATAATATGTTGACTGAGAGTTAATAAGATGGTGCTGTTTTGAAGGATGCATAACTTACTAAAGATGTTTTCCTTCTGTTGAGTTGTATATTAATGTTACTATTGATAGTTTTAACAAAATGCAAAACTAAAAGCTAAACTTTTGTAAAGAAATATATAAAATAACTGATTCCAAAGTAATCCTTTCTTCGCTTTCTGTCTTTCAAAAACCAAAAAGCAATCTTAGGTTGACAGAGAGCAGGACAGGTGTTTGTAAATGCAAAACTGTACAGGACGTCCCATGGCTTGACACTTGCACTAGTCCACATTTTTGCACAAGCTACAGACATTTCAACATGAACACTTCTTTAACACTCACTCTGTGTTTGGGGGAAAGAATCTTTTTTTGAAGAGTAATTATTTGTACACCTAATGTAACTTGTGAATTAAGCATGGACTGGAGTGAATCTCAATACTGGGATCCCACACGCACACGGCAAACATGGTGTTGCACTGTCCAATCTAAATGGGTTTTTATGGAGATCTGCTTTTTACTTTGACGTTTGTCACATTATCACTATTGTTATAACTGTACTACTACTTATATGATTAGCATTACTACTCCTCACCGTTTATCATTATTATTGATCCATAATGGGTTTTAAAGCCACCTCCGCTCGAAAGGGTATATTCCTATGAATATTGAACAATAGTGGCAGTGTTGTTATGACTTGTTAGATTTATAATTAAGCTTATCTTTTCCTCATCACTTGTACCTGCCTTTTGTGTTTGGTCTCCATTATGCTTTCTTTGATATACAGAAAAATAAAATCAGTTAAACAACAAATGCAACCTTTTATTTGTTGTCTAATTCAGTCAGTTTAGTGATTGTAAGGCGTAAACAAAGGGTCAAGTAGGTCAGTTTGGGAAACAATTGAGGTGAGCGTGCTTGTAATTAATTTGTTTAACCTTATCCTACAGAGCCAATATCGCGCTGCAAAGGATTTGATTGACGTTCGCCTGTGCCAATCAAAATAACCCATGCCTTTTACAAACCGGAACGTCCTGTTTTATTGACCAATAAGAATTCTTTACGTAAACGATGGGCACGTCTAGAATACTGTTTTGACCAATCAGAGTGCGAGTTTTACGCCCGCAGTACTACATGGCCCCGCCCCACCATCCATTTCTGAACCGAAAGAAACGCTACCGCTCTCGACTGCTCTGCTTTTTATACACGATTAACTTATTTAAACAACGTACTCCTCGATTATTTTAAGAGTTTTTGTGCGGCGGAGAGGATAACAGTGCCTCTCGATTATCTGGGAGCTTTTTGGTAGCGGGCAGAACTATAAATCGGATTTTATTGGTCGTTTTAACTTTGGGAAGCAGCGTTTTCCGCGGTTTCCCCCTTGCCGCCCGCGCTGTGTGTGAGCCGGGCCTTTAGTGTTGGTTTAGCCACGAGGCACGTCCTTACCGCCGGACCAGGGCGATGGCAGAGTTTGGGAATGGACTAGCAGACGAATCCCTGCTGGATTCTGACCCCGGACATCCCGAACTAGAAGACCCCGGTGTGGGAGACGAGGAGCCGGGGTTAGACGAAGGAGAGGCCGCTATTGAAGACCCGGTAAGTAAAGCCTTTTAGAGATCGATACCTAGATGAATATGATGCAAAACGTGTTTATAATTCAGTATTTTACAAGAAATGGACGCACCATCGCGGTTTTCTTTGAACAATTGCGGGTCACATGCGGCGTGTGTAACTGCTATCGCCATGTCGGTATTGTCCGCCATTGTGGATCACGCAGTGCAGTAGAAACAGTGGGGATGGGTGGTGACATGCGCGTTGTTGGCGGCCATTTTGGCGCAACAGCGGCACCAGTTTCTCTGCGCCAGGGGCAGCACGGGCAGTGGGGAAGAAAACCCTCATTGCAAAAAATGCGAGACGGGGATGCTGGAGACAGACTGGGGTGAGGGTAGGAGAGGCCTTTGTCGTTAGCAGCCACCGTGTGAGTCGCAGCTTACGGTAAACATGTTTTTTAGCTTGTTTCTCCATGTCTTTAGTCCTCACTGCTGCATTTCATGTCAGGTGTATGCCCGTGCAAAGCCGGGGCAATGCGGGCTAGGGTCGGCTTATTGATCACGGGTGACTTGTGCCGCATCCAAATGACCACAGGACCCACCGACAGCTGGCAAATCAATCTGTTGTTGTTATGCTTCATTTGCACCTTGAGCTCGTGTTCACACCTCTGCAGACAATTTGTTCTCTCTCGTTAGTTTATGTTGAGAATTAACTACAGCATATGCTTGATGTCAGAGGAGATGTCACCCGGTTCCCATCTATGTACTGTTTTGGTTGTGATTTTTTTCCGTGGTCACTGGGCGTACATAGTAGTGCGCTTCTTCTGCAGACTGGCGCAGAGTTCCTCCCAGTTTCAGTCCACACCAGTCTCGTGTACCGGGGGAGCAGCATTACCAGGGGCGGCGTTTTTAGGGGCTGGGTTTGCATCCGTCGGTATTTTACTGGACCCTGAGGAGAGAGGAGAGCATGTGGCAGAAATGTGTGGATAGCATGGCCATATTTGGGGTGATGCGCCAATTTCGTCTTTGATGCCACACGTGTAGACCAGGAGTGGTGTAATTTAAAACATAAAGCACAGAGCAGTACGGGATAGAGAGTGTCATATCCAGATATCAGTTTTATGACATTTGAGGTGCTGTGACAGCAGAGACAGTTGTGGATGTAGTAGACTCCCACTGTGCTGCAGTGCACCACTGCTGGACAAGAGCCTGCGATCCTTGTGTGTACAGTATCTAATGTCTAGTGTATCAGTGGTTGTTTCAAAGATATATAGCTTTGTAATCATTTAAATGTAATGATTAAAATGCACAGAGTGACCCAAACTTCAAAGCAGAGCACAGATGTGAAAACTGTCTTGAATTATCTTTCAGGAGCTGGAGGCGATCAAGGCCCGTGTGAGAGAGATGGAGGAAGAGGCCGAGAAGCTGAAGGAGCTACAGAACGAGGTGGAGAAACAGATGAACCTCAGTCCACCGCCAGGTACATCACTGAACAGTGGCCAGGCTTACATGCACACCCAGTAATTGCCAGGTTTCTGGAGTTATAACACTATTAAAATGGCATGCCAATGATTCCGATCACACATTCTTTCATTTTTATTTAATTTCAAAGGTCCAGAAATCAAATAATGAGCTTTGTGTGCATGTAAACAAAGCCACTGTTTATATTTGATACTCTCTCAAGTTTTACCTAGGTTCCCCAATTTGAGATTTGTAATACATTTTCTCTTCTGCGCAGTAGGCCCCGTCATTATGTCCATTGAAGAAAAGATAGAAGCAGACGGCAGATCAATTTATGTTGGGAATGTAAGTCACGTTCCAACAAACATTTAAATCATTTTATTCTCGGGAGCACCTGATGGACCTGTGTATGCGTTTGTGTTCTCAGGTGGATTATGGTGCTACGGCAGAAGAGCTTGAGGCTCACTTTCACGGCTGCGGTTCAGTCAACAGAGTCACGATTTTATGTGACAAATACACGGGACATCCTAAAGGGTCAGTGTCCAAAACAAGATATAATTTACAGTTTTTCATCAGAAATGATTTTGTAGTACATTAACAAGTTTCTGTACTCGTGTTTTCCAGTTTTGCGTATATTGAATTTGCAGACAAAGAGTCTGTTAGGACGGCCATGGCATTGGATGAGTCTCTATTCAGAGGAAGGCAGATAAAGGTGAGAATGTAATTTCAAGTTTGTTTTGTATGTGGCCTTTAACATTCCACTAATTCTTGTTGGAGTCACCAGTCTCAATGAGGCTTGACTTTGAGAAACTTGTATCAGACTGAACTGAATATCATCCAAGGTTTTCAAAAACATTACTGTAAAATGTTAGTGAATTCCCAAACAGTATTTTGTGTAATGTGTACATGTCATATCTTTAGTTTTCATTTCTAATCTGTAAATGTATTTTATATTTATCAGTCAAACCTGGAAAACCTTTTTTACTCACTTTTTACTCAGTTTTTGGGCACTGCATATCCACAAAGAGAAAAAATGCACTTTTTGGCAATTAAAATAATGGTCTGTCATAGCAAATTTTGAAGTGTGATACATTGCTGATGAAAATGAAGATGATAAACGATAATATTGAAACTAATTTATGCCACTGACACAGTAACAATAAAGCAGCATAAGCTCACACCCCAAACTATTCTTAAAAAAAAAAAAAAAATTGTTCCCTTAATTTATTCAACAATAAGTCAATATAGTAATTATTGTGCCAGGCCTACTAGTTATTTATAGATGTTTTTCGCTGATCCTCCCATCCACTGCTGTTGTCACGTAGGCATGGTACAATATTGAAATTTTGTGTCATGATTATCATGGTTAAAATAATTGCAATTAATGATTACATCACGATAGTTATTAGCAGACAGTTGAAAAATTTAATGCATATGATTAATTATACTTTTATTATTATGAAATAAGTTCCATATTTAGACATGGACAAACTTTATTGATCCACAAGGGACTACTTTGTTATTATAATGGGATGTGTGGACTACTGTAACCAAGAGAAAAAATATAAACAAATTTAATCAACAGTTATAGTAGTATTGCACTTCATTATAAGTAAAAACAACAATGAACTGAAAGAAAACCTTATGGATAAGTAGCTTTTTAAAATAAATATATATATACACATTCTGGTGATAAAAAGACTGATATCTTTGTTTACGTTTATCACAATTATTAAATATTAAATTGTTGTGTATTGTCCCATCTCCATCGTAAGGTGGGTGCGAAGCGGACAAACAGACCAGGCATCAGCACCACAGACCGCGGGTTCCCCAGGGCTCGGTTCAGGTCACGAGGAGGAAGCTTCTCATCGCGCGCTCGATACTACAGCGGATACACGCCCCCTAGAGGCAGAGGACGGGCCTTCAGGTGAGCCCCTCGCCACCAAGACCACACCCCCACCCACCTGCATGCACGAGACCACACCATTCACACTCACTGCAAACTGGCCTGCTCCGTATTGGACATGCTGGGGTAGGTAGACACGGTAGAATTGTAAGTCTGGGGTAAAACAGTATGGTGGATTTGGTTGATAGAAGTCCTGTGTGAGTGTAATTTTGCTGTTATTGAAATCCCATTCTCCTAGAAAATTTGTACTTCAGTAACTTCAGTAGAGACACTAGGGCCAAGTGACATTGTTGTTCTGAACTACAGTTTAATCATGATTTTGGATTGCAAAAAATGAAACCAATAACATCAATAAACCAGTTTTCAGTGTTGTTTGAATATAGCAGTTGTGAGTTGTTGTTTACTGTCAAAATAAATGCTTGAATATGGTAATGGTTATTACTTGGTAGTGAAGTAAATTGTTTCTGAAAATGGCTGGCAGTGGACAGTAGGCTGCAGCAGCTTTCTGGTTCTTCTCACGTGCGTAACGGGGCCGTGATGGTGTTGAAATCTGATGAATATGTCTTATAAACTGAGACTGGTGGCAATGGTCTTTTTTTTTATTATTTTATTTTTGGAATAAAATGTCACTTCTTGGCGTTAATATTCAAAACCTTCTTTTGATCTTGTGAGAAGATTGTATGCACATGTGGAAAAAGATCTTGTGAGATTTCTTTTCCCATGTGTTTACATTTGGCTAACTTTGCTGTAGTTCCAAAAAGCAGTGCTACAATTACAACAAAAGTATTAAATAAAATAAAAACTAGTGAAGCCAAAATGATATGTCATGATAACACATTTTGAAGTGTGATATTATGATGACGCAAATACAGATGATAAACGATAATACTGAAACTGAACTATGAAGCAGGATTTTCCCCCAAAAAGTATTATAAATGTACAGTACAGCTAAAAACATGAGCTGCTATAAATAATATGCGGAATGCAACACTTACCGTACACTTACCACTTAAACGTACCGTAATTAGATTGTATAATTTTAGTTCACAATTCTACCTTCTACAGCTCAAATATTTTAATTTGCAGAAAAAATAACCAAAAAATCCCCCTAATACAAATAAGAAAAAAGTCTTCATGATAAATATTGACCCACAAAAATTATTGCTTCATGTAACATATATTGAACGATAAGTCGATAGTAATAACTGTGACAAGCCTAAGTAAACAATTTATTCATATATCAAAATCTCGTCTCTTCTTCTCAATCTTGTATCTCATCTTAGGAATTGTGTGCCGTCAAACTCTTAGCGAGGACACAAAAGATATCGGAGAGGTTGGAGAGCCCTCTTTATATTGTCTGACACTGTCAAAGGAACAATGGTGCCATAAATCTCAGCATGCAAACTCCCAACTCCAAACACACATCAGCCCTTTAAACAGAGATTCTGATTTTAATCTTGTGTGATCATCGGCATCTGGAGCCCACTTTGCGAGCATTGCTTAAGACTTAATGCTCTGCTTATTTTCCAGTATATTCCTGAATAATTGGCTGTCTAAGAAACTCTAATGCAATTTACTATTAGCTTTGTTTTTATCTAATTTGGCTGCAACCGTTACCATGACCCTACGCTTAACTATTAGTGCTGCTGGTACTGTGTATCACTATGGGGAGGTTGTATTATGATTTAGCTGCATTTGTGTGCGATTGTGTCTGGACGTTAAGGTCAGAATCTCTTTTAATCACGTTGTGTACTCACCCAGCCACTCCCGCACATACCAAAGAGCCCTGAACTCTGCTGGACAAGGAACTACTATTCATCTGCATGTGAACTGTCCATATATGTAAGGAAGCAAATGCGTGATTCTGGTAGTCGGGGCCAAATAACTGGAAGTGTGGGAGTGTTTTTTTTTTTTTTTTTTTTTTTTTTTTTTTTTTTTTTTACAATTGTTGCAAGGTTACTGTATTAGCTTTTCCTACTCCTGCTTACTAACCATTTCCCAAGTAGCAGTTCATTTTATCAGAGGTCACTTAGTGCAGTTGCATCATCGAATACAAAGCGCTTGATGTTGAAATTTAATCTTGTAATTGCCTTAAAATCTATCGTATTCAAATACTAGAGACCATTTTGAGCAATAGTAAAATTTTCAAAATGTTATGTTAAACTAAGCGATTTCTGTTGTTTGGTTTCACATCTTTGATTAATACCACTGCTGTGAAAACAATACCAGATTTCCCTTGTTACATAGCACTCATATTTGATGTGATTCAATATTGATCGCTCCCAGTTTCACATAGACTGTAGTTAATATTCCCACTGTTGTATTATTGACAAACACATTACGTATTTGACCTGGAACACACAGGAAAAAAGCAGCAGAGCAGTGCTGCATTAGTCCTTACATTAGGGGTGGGAGATTTGCAAAAATATGATACTGTCACAATTTTTTTGGGAGCCAGAGCACAATTTTCTATCTTTTATATTGTCTTGTAGAGGTTACAAAGCTTGTATGTCGCTTTTCTGCATTTCTGAGGCTAACCAGTATTAGGTGTAGGTGAGAAGTCAGTTTTAGCCTTAGACGGTGAAGAGGTGGACTAAGGGAAGTGACACCAGCCATAGCGTTCAGTTCCTGTCAAATTAAACTCTCGAAAATGGCAAAATATAAACACCAGGATCAGTAGAGTAGGTTAAAATGAATATTTTAAGACCAAAGTGATGAGGCTTACTGCAGCAGTTACAGAGAGAGGGGAGACATATACAGATATTTCAATGTAAAGTCAGTTTGAGCTACAGTCGATGGAGCCAGAAGCGCCCCCATGCTCACTTCCTATTTGGAACGCTGCAGCTAGTGGGGTCTGTATGTCTGCTGTGTCTATGGTTTTAGCATAGAGCTGCATTTAGGAGAAAAACTAGTGAATCATGATATGGTAATTAAATAATAACAAATAACAACAAAATAACATATTGTCAAAGGAGTAGGTTCACAATTTTATTTAGATCATCACATTGCTCAGCCTTAACATAACCAAATTTTAACAGTTTATTAATCATCCGAAGTGGGTGTGGTCAATGTATCAGGTCTTAATATAAAACCAGTTCAGACCAGTGCTGTGTTGAAAAGTCAGACTCATGTTTTTAAACTCCTAATGGTTTTCACTGGTGCCTTGTCTCTCTGTGGGAGCATGTCCAAGAAAACTCAAAATCAATGCCTCTTTCCCCTGGACCGCTTGGGAAGACGAAAGCTTTTCCAAAAGTTATGCTCTATAAAACCTCTGGCACCAAATTCAGTCTCAACAAGGCCACAAAATGTTACACGTTATCATGGCTCAGATTACAAAGCATGACAGCTATTAACAGATAAGGTTATTGGCACACCACTATATCAGGCTTAAAGACTCTTTAACTCTTCTATGTAATGTGCCACTTACAAAGCTATTACCGCAATTAGAAAACTTGAAACAGCACACAAGTGGGAACCAACACTTGTACTACACTTTTAACTACTGACAAAAACATAAAGGAACTATATTACGCTCTTTTCTGATCTGTTGTAATGTTGTTTCCTCATTAAACATATGTGGGTTGTGTTTTGTTTCATTCACACATGATTAACACACACAACCTGCATATTCAGACACTTTGTTCTACTTTGTAATGTCAAGCAGTAATACACACAAACACACTTTCCATAGAATCATATGGATAATCCCATCGCTGGAATTGCCCATCTCTATTCAGCTAAAAATAAAAGGCAGCTCTTGAAACTTGATGTAACAGAGCATTTTGAGCTTTGGAAATGTGGACCACTCAATAAAGCATTGTGTGATATGAGATAAAAACACAACTCCAGGTATGTTTTTGATGAGGTAAAAACATTCTAACATGCTTTAAAGCTCACAAAAGTCAGTTTTACGTAATATAGGACCTTTAAACCAACATTTGAGTCAATTCAGGTCATGTTGAGCAAATTATTTGTAGTCTATTTTGGTTTGAACAAATAGTCAGATATCATAAAAGCAAAAAGCTACACATTTCATTGTTAATCATGTGTTTTGGCATAGTATTTTGTACATTTTTTTCCTGTAACTTTATGGGTAAATTGACTTAAAGTACTGGTAACTAGTAAAAATATAACAATGTTGCAAAAAGCCACAACCAAATTGATCTCAACCTCCACTGTCCTTGAGTTGGTTTTGGTAAAAGGCATTATAGATTTTGAACAGTTTTCTTGTCTAATTTTGTTTCAGTGTTTTGTTGTTGAGTCCTGCATGTCCATGACCATTACATTGCACCTCCTTTTCAGACGTCACTCCAGAAACGAGGGTTCATTTCTGCAGCCTGGTTCAGTCCCAGCTCCTTTTTGTTTGTTGCCACTGAACTGCGTTATGTGTGTGTGTGAATGTGCATTTGTGTGTGCGTTTTATGTAAGTGTAGGTATGTGTGTGTGTGTGTGTGTGCGCGCGTGCGTTTTTATGTGTTTGTCTGTGTCTCTGTGTGTGTGTGCCCGTCTGTGTCTGAGATGAGATGTGGAGATGTGCGCTTGGTTTCTGTGGCTGGTTCCTGTTTCACAAAACTTGCCTCCTCAAAGTGTCAACTCCTTCATTCCTCAGTTCGTACTCCCGCCCAAAAGAGCGATAAAGAGGGAGAGAGAGTGAAAGGGGGAGAAAAGGGAAAGAGGGGGGGGTCTCTTATGAGTGCCTGTCTGTTGTGGGTGGGACTCAAAGCAAAGGATTTGAAGAGGCGAATTGTGAGAAATGGGATTTGGCCCGTGTGTGTCTGAAAGCTAATAGAGCTCAACAGTGACTGCCCACCAGTCATTTTCCTATTAACTTTTCCAAATCCTGATATTAAGACTGTATTGCTTGAACTTCAAAATTTGGGATTATTAAAAATGACATAATCCTACTCCTATGTGTTACTCTATTAAACTTTGAAGTGTGCCAACAAAAAAAGGGGTTAGGTCACTGTTACACTCAAGTTTTATTGAAAAGAAATGGTGCTTAACTGAATTTTAAGTTAAGTCTATTGGTGAAAACCATCCTCAGTTTCAAGGATTGATGGAGGCTAATGGGCTTTATGCAATGGTAGAGTTGCTAATTTTAGATGTTTGTGATTCAAGTGAATCATGGATTTCCACATGGCTAGTGGCCTTCATCAAACCATTAAACAATAAATATGACCTTTAACTTGACTTGCCCTAGTCGAAAAAAATGAGAAGGAATTTTTTCCTCCTATGGGCAGTCATAATTGGAGAAACGATACAGGTCAAACAGTCACTTGTGTGTGCTTGTGTGTCTGTATATGATTGCGTGTTTGTGTGGATGTATATATATATATATATATATATATGATTTTGTGTGTGTGTGCTTGTGTGCATTGTCTATGCTGGGGATATAGATGTGGTGCTGTTTGTCCTCTAAGTTTCTCCCCACAGTGACCTCAGCAGCAGAGTCCCACAGAGAGAGAGAAAGAGGGAGAGAGTGCCTTTGCTGCCCCCTCACACGCACACAACAATCAGGATTTTAAGATTTGGAAATTTCCCTCTTCAAAGCTGCTCTTTCAGCTTCCTGTATCCTACTGTAGCCCTTTTTTCCCTTCACAACACTTTAGGATCTAAGGCACTGAATAAGATGCCTGCATAGCCTCAGTTTTACATTGCCAGTGACACTTGCACACTTAAACTATCATAAAACCTGACACCATGAAAATTGGTGTGTCTTCTTAAACCAAACAGAAAAAACTCACCCTCTTTTTCTCTCTCTCTTTTCCAGGGGCCGAGGGCGAACAACATCGTGGTATTCCCCTTACTAAACACCCATTCCCCAAATATACTATCTCTCCCCCTATCTGTTCCCATTAAAACACACACAATGACAAAGCCCACCCCCTTTCCCCTCGCCCAACATTAAAAGAAGAAATACCCAGAGGAAAGGAGGAAAAAAAAAAAGACAAAAAAAAAAAAAAAAAAAAAAAAAAAAAAAACTCCTTCTCCTGGACAGAGAGACTGGTGTGAGTGAGCATGCGTGTGCCCAATTTGGTGCGGCAGTCACCCCTGGTAAGGTATACATTGAGGGGACGTCAATGTGGCAAGTTTTTATTTTTATTTTGTTGGTTTTGGGGGCGGGATAAAGGGAGGGAATTAAAAAAAAAAAAACATGAAATACAAGGGGAAAATGTGAATATTTTTGGTACCTCAGGCTGCAGCTGTGTCTCCTTGGTCTGGCTGTGATCACCTGCTTTCACCATCACAGCCCACCCACTCACCTCCACTGCCACCCCAAAAAAAAAAGAAAAAAAAAAAAAAGAACAGAAAAAAGACAAACAAAAGGGGGGCAACAAAAAAAGGATGCCGTCTTCATATATATTTTTTTGTTTTTAATGCTCTGTACATCTGTGGACGTTGCAGATTGCTGTTTTAAGTTTGTGGTTGTAGTTTACCATTACCCCCTCTCACCCTTTTGTCCCTTGTGTCTCCTTGCATCGCCTATGTCATCCCCTCATCTTTATTGCTTTTTCTTGATCTTTTTTTTTTTGCTCCATTTTTCCTCCAGACAGTGATGGAGAGTCAGTATTCAGCTGTATATACCCCTCCTTATTTTTATGTATTTTATTCCATCCATTTTCGGGGTCTCATTGTGGTCATATTCTCCTGTCTTGCATGGCTACCACACATCTTCAGCAAGCATCAGTGTTTTTATTTTTGAGCTACACCTCCCTCGCCCTCCTCCTCCTCCTGTCTCCTACCGTGTCACCCCTCTCCCCCCCGTCCCCGGTCTGTCCCCCTCCTCTCTCTGTATATTAGACCACTTCTTGTCGTTTCAGGTTTCAGGACCAGTGGAGGCTGACGACCCCTCCCCAGGTGGCACCGGCGCCACCTACTGTCTCGGCGGCGTCTCTCTCACTCTCTGCTCCCGCTATGCACACTCACCCCATCCTGTCCGTGTGGGGGGCGGGGGAGGGGGGCAGGGCGACCACCGGCCAGCCGCGGGGGGTATTTACTACAATAGCAAGCGCTGATAACCCAACCTTTTTTTTTTTAAGATTTTGGTTTCTTTTTCCAATTTCGACACGCATCAGTGACAACATGCAGGCATATACACACTCAAGACACGTCACACAGGCACTTGAGAGGAAGGCAGAGGAGAAAATACACTTTGTTTTTTTACACAGTCAGCGGAGCTAAGAGCAGGCAGGCTAATGTAAGAGGACAGCAGGACCAGAGACTAGGGAGTTTTTGGGGTGTACAGTGCGGACCTTATAGCACCCCCTATCTCTGACTTGGCACAGTGTAGTCACGGCTGGTCTGAGGAGGGCATCAGAGCCAGTGGCAATGATTAATTTAACTAAAGAGTGGGCCGGAGCTGTTATTTTAGGGAGGGGAAAGTCAGGGGCTGGGTTTGTGTGGAGATTTTTTGTTTTTATTGAAAAAAAAGGGGGAGTGGGTTTGAAAAAATGTTTTGCATTTTTATTTTTATCCCATGAGTCTGTAATTAGAAAAAAAATAAAGACATTGTGTAAAAATTATGTTTTCTTGTGGTTATTGTGCAACTTATGAAGATAATGTTTAAAATCAATTACAAAACTGATCTATGGTTGCTATAAACTGCCCATAACTGAGTTATTAGACCAGGAGAGTCCAAACTCTTTTCAGCCATATTGAAATTGTAAACAGCGAAGAGCCACAGACTACAGGATAACTAAGTGAATCAGTCAAAATGTTGCATTTGATGTAGGTTTGAGTCACCACACCTAGGTTTGGAACGTTTATGTTAAAGCTGCACTATGCAACTTTTCTGGTGGAGGGTCTGTGAAATGCTTCTCTATGATGTCATTACTCCCCTGGAATCTTCCGTAATATGAAATGAAACAATTCTCCTTTACATTAATTCAATTATGGGTGATTTATAGCTCAAACACCTAGAAAAACATGCATTCTGCCTGAGTGGGGTTGCCTCTCCACAGATCTGACCTGCAGCTTGGACTGGGTTGATCTCTATGAAGATGGAAATGTTTAATTCCATACTGTGAAACCTTCCAGACAAAGCGATAACAGACATCTCCATGGAGAACACTATCTGATGAACCCTTGGATCAGGAAAATTATGCTGTGCACATTCAAGTGTGCTGCATCAAAATGTTTTTTTTAGTTGTGATTACAATTTTCCAGTGTTTGCAGTACTATTGTTCATTTGGGCCAATTCAGCAGGAAGTCTGAGGGCCGCATTGGGTCCCCAGGCCATAGTTTGTAAAGTCTATTACAGGGTGTCCAAAGATTTACTTCCATTGACAAATCACATTAAGCATTTACGCCATGAAAAAGTCAACTGAGTGTAATGTTGAGAGGGAGTGAACTACGTCTGTCCTCAAATGCCCTTGGTATTAAAAATTAAGAGAAAACCCATAAAGCCATTATGTTGTAACATGTAGCGTGACTGCCACCTATAGGTAATAAACTGCAAAACATCCAGAATCAACAACTTTATTCCAAAGGTTAAACTGTTGACAATATACAAGAAATTTACTGATGTCTTCACTGGTCAAAAGGACTCACTTACGCTTTTTGAATGCTGTAATGTAAAAAAGAAACATTAGATTTTGCCCAATGTGACAATGGCAATTATTGCACCATAATCATTTAAAAAATAAATTACTCACCCTTCCTTTTAGTTTTCTTTTTCATGAGCTTCTTCTTCTTCTTGGGTCTGGCATTGTCCCCGTCCTGCAACAGCAAAGCATCGTTAACACCGGGTTTATGTTTCCAGGGCACAGTTATAAAGGAGCAAATAAACCTCAAGCTTCAATGACTTTTCCGCAGCTTCCACCCACTTAATACAGACCCATTACTCTTGCACTCATTAGGAAGTCTTCTGGCAGTAAATTTAGACAGGAAACTGTACCGTGTCCAAGCCAGCCAAGTGTGAAAGTATTGTAGCCCTAGAGCCAATTACACGGCCAAAAATGAGTTACTAAATTATATGTGTGGAAGTACATAAAAGTTGCACATAGCATAACTACAGGAATTACAAGTGATAATCCAATATTTTTATGTGGTCAGCAAAGCAAACATAAAAATTAATGAATCTTCCACTGAGCTAATCGTCAAAACACCAAAATTCTCTTTGATAAGTTGGTACATTGTCTACTACAGTGGTTCTTAAATGTTTCCTGCCCAAGTAACACTGACGATAACATTCAGCAATCTAAGTATCACCACATCTAAACCTGGATTTTAGTCTTAAATTAGGGTTAAATTAGGATCTAAAATGAGACAAAACTAAATAAAACTAAACTAAACTAAAAAGGACCCTGCGTACCACTAAAGGAAGCTACCACACTCTGAGAAACACAAATTAGTAATAGAAGCTTAATTAAGAAGATTCATTTATTAATAAGCACCAAATGGATATCACGCCAAGGAAAGTCAGGCTTAAAACTACTTCAGTTGGTAGCTGGTTCAATTCTGGGACAGTATTTTGGACCATAGTCAGAGAGCAGTGTAACAGAGACAGATCTGTCTTAATTGTATTGTATTGCATTTGACAAAGTTGAATCTGATCGTTCACAAAGGCAAGTTGGTAAAATTGTCTTGCTCAAGGACATGACCAAAATGTAATGGTAGAAAGGATCAGCTAGTTATTCTTTATTTATTTGGGCTACTGTCTCTACTGAAGCATTGTTACATTTCCTTTGTGTATCGGACACTTACCAGGCCGGGCTCTCCTCCTGTTAGCGCTGAGATGTCACTAAAGTGGGTAATACCGCTGAGCTGTCCTGCCATTCCCATCATGCTCCTCTTTCTGGATTTTTTCTGACTCTTTGACACCTGCAGACGAACCATCATTGACTCCTCATAGTTTTTCCTACAAAGAGAAAGAATTCCATTATTTCAGTTCACAACAATCAGACACAACACATAGACTTACTGTATAATACTGTTGCTTTAGTCAAACAATGTAGGCTAATTGATAGGTAATGTAACAGCAACATTTCTTACATACAGTAACATTGTTATTGTTAATGACCCAACGTTCCTGTAGTAAATTATTTAGTGCTTTTATTTGCACTGCATTTTATTCAACAATACACTTGGAAAATACATGAAATATTTATCAGGAAGTCTCTTAACTCTATTGACTAATATAAAGACAAACTGTTGTTTACATAGATTGCAACACTACTGGTGATTGGATCATAACGATAAGACTTGTAGGTAAACAAATTAAGGGCTTGTTCATACACACCGCATCAAAACTGGTACTAAATTTGGACTAAATCCTAAAACTGGACAAGACCAGGACTAGCTTAATTACAAAAAAATCAAATAACTACAGAGTGGTTGGCAGCATTTGTGGATACCCGGCTCACAATTTTTGCAACTATTTTTTTTAAGCTCACTAAGAAGTGCAGCATCTGCAGTTCAAAGGACACAAGAAAGGAACTGTTGGATTTTGTGAAATGAGCTGTTTGTTTTTCCTGTATCCATGCAGACCGTGCAAGAGGCTAACTAGGGAGAAGCTAGCTGTGGACCTTTGAGATGCTACAGACTTTTTAGACCATATGTGGCAGCAAATGTGGCAGCCGACCTTCCAAAAGAAACCTCTCCTGATGATATACTGTATGAGCCGTAATAATTTTATCCAAATACCTGTGCATCTCCTCTCTGCTCTCCTTCTCGCTTTGAAAGTCCTGCCGGTCCCTGATCTCCTCGGGTGCGTCGCTGTATTGTTGTCTGAGTTCCTGGATCACTGAACTCCTCAGAGCCGCACGCTTCAAACGCTCCACCCGCTCTTGCTTCTTGTCCGCCTCCGTAATGTCTCCATCTGACAGAAACATGGCGATTATAAAAAAAAAAAAAACACAGAACATTTTCCTCCCACATTCAATTCGTCATGCTAGAGTTTGAGATTGAGTAATACCTTACAGAATTTTAAGTTAGCCTAATGTAAAACAATGGTGATCTTAAGATGAAATAGTTTTAGTTAAGGTTGGCTGGCACACTGAGCAGTTTTTGTTTTTTGAGCTCAGTTTTTAGCATCATATCATGGACTTTTAACCAACTAACAAGTGCAACATGTGTAATTCAAAGGACACGAGTAAAGGATTGTTGGATTTTGTGAAATAAGCTGTTTGTTTTTCCCCCTATCCATGGAGCAAGAGATAGCTATGGACACAGGAGATGCTACAGGCTTTTTACACCATATGTGGCAGCAAATGTGGTAGATGACCTTCAGAGGATCATCACCAACCGAAACAACAGAGCAGAGTAAGAAGGAGGCCTTTCCTGTTTCCAAGACACAGAGGACGAAGACTTTTGGCCCTTTTCTCTACGTGTTGTTCACATAGGTCCATAAACATGGATGATTTTGTTAATAATAGAGGATTAAATGACAAAAGATACTATTAATGTTACTAGTAATGTCTTACCATAATGCATAGGTGCGATTTTTGGTGGAACGTATTTCTTAGCAGTAGGTTGGCCGGCTTTTTTAGCTGTATCCTTGTCCTCCTCTTCAGATTCAGATTCACTCAGCTGAAATTGCCATGAAAACCGTTTTATCAGCTGTTACACAACTGTCTGTTATAATACAGATGTGAACAATGTAACAAAAAACATGCTTACCTTGCTCTGAAGATTCCCAGGATTAGGGCGTAGTTGTAGAGGATCGTTTTCAGCTATAGTATAAGTATAAATATTAGTGTTTAATGTCATCACACCTTCAGAGTTAAGAAAACCATTTTTAAAATTCTCACCTAGACTGCCAGTTACAGCCGTGCGCACCAATTTATCAATCTGGTATTTTAGTTTATGGTCCAGTGGTCTCATCTTCTCCAGGACCTTACCAAAATAGAAAATGACAAATTCAACAAATTGTCAACCACTAAAATAAAACAAAACCTATTTCAGAACCCTTTCTATTGTTACCGTTCTGACTGTCACTATCCGCTCCAGAGCTTCACTATCTTTGATTTGACCTCCTTCAGTCTTGATGCTGACGAGGTGGGTGAGGTCTTGCAAATAAAACAGCAGAAGGTGGTATCGGAGGTCCAAGAACGACAAACCCTGAATGAGACGAAAGACTTTTAATACTTTTAACAGTAGACAATATATTAGGTTTGACTTTTATTGAGTTTTTATGGTGATTACGCTGATTTAACACACTTGTAATAACACTGACAAACCTTTGAAGTCTTAAAAGATCCATCTTTCACTTTATTTAGAAGATCGCGTACATGACTTGTGACAGACACCACCTAAAGACAAACAGATACATCTATGGGATTAAATATAAAATTATTTGGGCCCTCGTATGCTGTTTATAAATAACGCTATACCTGCTCTGTGAGGTTGTTTAGCAGCTGCACAGCTTTAGGTAGATCACTTTCCACCAAGTCCTAGAAAATACACAAAATATAAAATTAAGAAGCAATGATGTAAGAAATACGAGCTTTAATATGGAGAATACAGATTAGCATGATAGCAAAAAAACTACTTTGTTACCACCTAACAGTCAATCGATAGTAATTATACTTTCATAGACCATTTAAAGCAAGTACCAAACCATAAATAAAACGTATGCAAGCTACGAAACAAAACAAGGAACAGGTTTCAAATCTGAGTAAAAGCTCACAAATCTAGACTCACGTTATCAACAGAGGCAGCCATTTTGACGGCAATGCTTTCAACGGAAGCCGATGTGGCGCAAACAGCCGATTTCGCCACTGCTGAAATAAAACGTCTTATTTTCATAATTAGTCACTTTTAATATGAGATTATAGATTTAAATTAATTTACTAGATAAGATTTTGGAACCGGGGCAGTACTTAAAAACTAAATCTTTCTAGCACGTGGATGGAGGAAATAGCTTGAATTTGGGGTCTTAACTTTTGTCGTTTTAGCAGCAAGGTAATTTTTTCTATCTTTTTTATTCATGTTTATGTTGAATATTTTCTTAGCTGTGTATATGGTGTGGTGCTTTCTCAGTTCCTGGATTTGATTATTACACAATTTGCGGGTCTGTGAAGATGTGAGAGGAGAGGGAGCGATGGGAGGAGAGACACTTGGAGGATGTGTCTGCAGATTACTTACACCTGACTGTCTCACTCAGGATTATTTATTTACACATACTCTTTCAGAGGAGAACAAGTCACGGTAAGACAAACTCTACTACAACTAACAAGACCGTTTTTAGTTGCTTTAGGCTTATATTAGGCTATAGTACACTGTATTGATGTTGTTGTTATTATTTATTTATTTATTTTTAATTGGCCTATGATCTTTACTTTTTACTTTATTTTCTCTCCGCTACAGAGAGCCTATGTTTGAAAAATAAAGACCAATAACCACATAATGGATTAATTAATGTATTTTTGTTTAACAGAAATTGTAAACTGGTTCAATATTCATGGGTTACAGGTTGCTGGTTTAGAAGTTTTGTTTGTTTATTTTCTGTGTTGCCAACAGTGCATGCTCATAGCAATAATGTCCATTAATCATTATTATAAAGAATAAAAAAAATAAAAAAAAGAAAGGTTAAAAAGTTCATTTTAAACATACCAAACAAAAAAGTAACTACCATTTTGAGTTGTTTTTTTGTTTTGTTTGTTTTTTTAACTGATAATTACTATAACAATGGTCTTAATATTTAATCTCACTGAAATCTGTGAATAATATATATAATTATATCTTATTGATGTTTAATTATAATGTAAATGTGTTTCTTCTTTGTCATTTTTAAATTGCTTACATCTTCATTTTGCAGTTTTATGTATTCCATCACAGAATTAGGCTTATGAAATACAACAACAGCAACAACAAAAAGTGACACAACACGCATGTTTTCAACAGAAGTCTGTACATTTTGTATTTGTGTATCTGATTCTAAGATTTACATCATCCCCATGTTTTCTTTGATTTTTTCTTATGTTTATTTTTCTTTAGATGTCCGATTCCAGGGTATCGTCTGTGATCCAGGAGTGGGTGAGCTCGTACCAGGGACCATCGGGGCAGTCTCAGATGGACCTGCTGTATTCCCAAGGGCTCAGGGCAGAGGACAGAATGGTGAATGAGCAGATGATGGGACTGTCCTACCTACCCTACACCTCCACCTGCATCAGTAACACCTCCAACTCTATAACAGGTTCCAGTGAACATCTCCACAGCCCTCAGCCGGTGGGTGCATCTATATATTCAGTTACATATTTAGAAAACATTGTGTTTCTTTCAGCAGATTAAAAAAATTCACCAAGTTAAAAACAATTCGTAATACCCTAAGATTATTGTATTAGCCTGCCTTCACACTCAAGAAAAACAAAATGTAATTTAAAATGTTGATAATTTCATAAAATCCTATGGTAGATGTATACTTTTTTTTAATTTATACTACTGAATATACAAGTAGAGCTTTCTGATTCTCTCTCTCAGGAAACCAAATATTGAAAACCTTGGTCACATTTTTACATTTATTTAAAATATCTTGTATGCTTTTGTGTTGGCAAGAATAAGATGAGTAATATTTTGTCTCAGATTCCAGTCTAAGTTATTGTATTGGCCTGCATATGCCATAGCATATGTATGAGAAAGCATTACTTGAGATTTAATCTTTTCCTTTGAATTTTATGCTAGTAGATTAATTTAGATCTGTATGAATAAATGAAATCTGCCTCTGCTTTTTCCTCACTTGTGTATATTTCCCTATTTATCCCTCTGAATAAGTAGTACATCACTAACTAGCAAGTCATATGAAAAAAGAAACAAGAACAATCTCATTCTCTCTGTTTCCAGGACTTCGCCCAGTTCCTGCACCCCTCACTGCGCCCCCCGATGACCAAGAGGAGCATCAGCAAGGACAGTCCTGAGTACCGACTGAGACGAGAGAGGAACAACATCGCCGTGCGGAAGAGTCGGGACAAAGCGCGGCGTAGGATCCTGATGACCCAACAGAGGGCCCTTCAACTGCAAGACGAGAACCAGAGACTGCAACTCAGGATAGGGCAGCTAACACAAGAGCTGGACACTTTAAAGCATATCCTCTCCCAAAGACACATGCAGGGGCCCGCGGAGGGGCCCGTGGAGACCTCCATCTGAATCTACTGCACCAAATGGACTTGTAAGAAAGAAGGGACAAAAAACAGACATCAGATACCAGACTTTGTGCAAGACTACTTCATCGACGATATAATTAAAACGTGTTTAAAGCCTGTCTATTGTAGCTACTACTAATTTTCATTGGAGGTGTATTGCTGAGTTTCAGTGGGGGCCAATACTGGGACTAGCTAAAATGTATATTGTTAAAGGTGCATTACGTAACTTTTCAGGAGGTAGGATCAGTTACCTGTTTGTCTCCATGGAGATGTTATTGCTTTGCCACTATATAGTATCTTGTATTTTTAAAAATGCCTTGAAAAACTCTCTTTACTCTCTTTTATCTCTTTACGAAGAAAGATAAGTATTTCAAGTAAAGCAATAATATCACCATGGAGACAAGCAGATGGCAAACCCTTCACCAAAAAAGTTACACGGTGCCATTTTTAAATTCATATTTTTATTGTTATATAATGAGTTCTAGTCCCTCAGGTTCTACATTTGTGAATTCACCTGCTGGATACTGTTACTGAGAATACAAAGTTATCAATAGAGAAAACTGTCTGTATGAAATATTGATGTATTTTCCTATCCCCACTACTTGAATGATAGCATCTGTGCAGGTCACCAGCGATTTGATTGAGACATTGCCTAATAATCTACCTTCAAACTTCACAACTTAACTTGGTTGTTTTGTTGCCCAACTCCGTTTCACAACAATGTTTACAGGCAGTCCAAGCCACTTTAACTAACTGTAAAGGGCACTCTTCATTTGTTCAGAAGTAGAATTATATCATCACCATTGTGTAAGTTTTATTATTGAACAAAAAAAAAAAAAAAAAGAAATGCTGGCACGAATTCACTCACAACCTGTTCTCATCTAATAAAAGACAGTCGATTTTTACATAGTACAAGAACATAATTCATCACATGCGTTTAAGTGACCTATAGAAAATGCTTCATGTAACAGTACAGTCTATTATTAAGACTCATTATTATTACTTGGGTTACTTTTACTTCACTGCATCCTTTCTTTGGAGATTCTGCCATTTACCATAAGCTGAAGCCACAGGAGCGGATGTCATACCGGAGACCGTTGTTCACCAGAATTTCCCTTTTGTGAGATGAGCGAGATTTCAACACATCAGGACGGAGATGGAGAGTGCACAGAAGATGGTATCAGTCGTTTTTGGGGCTGCCAGAGCTTTCCTGTGGCAATGATGGCAATGGAGGGACACAGAGATAGTGGACACGACAGGGAGGGGAAGGAGGGCTGAGGGGCAGACAGAGGAGAGGGGAGACTCCAAACCAAATTCAGTGATTATACAATTCAAACATCCTTTAGTTATGACATATGGGGCTTCTTTAGATACCACGACCAACAGACAAAAGTAGAAGACACTGTGCATACGTATGTAAAATGAACACCTCATTCAAAAATAAATCCTCTTTATAACAAGTAAAGTTTTTTGACTTATAAATTAACCAAGACATATGTATTTTGTCCTTTAAAATGTGTACCACTCTGACATTTGGATAATAAAGTTTGTTAAAGTGTTAAACTAGCCTCTTATGGTGTGGTATTGAAAGTAACAATTGTTATAGGAAGACTGAACAGCAATTTCTTTACAAAAATGTGTTTATTGTTAAAGACAATGAATTAGGAGATGTTATTATCTTGTGGATGTGTTTTCACTGCTACTCACTAGCTCATTGTATAGAGCAGTGTTAGAAATTGGCAGGTAAATGCACATAAATAATTTTCATCTTTTTTTAAGCATTAATTAAAAAAAATATATGAAGAAAAGACAACACAATTCTAAGTTAAAATATTTTCAAGAATGGTATAGCCTAGCAGATAATATTAATTTTATGTATGAATAAATTATGATTTGTCTAAGTTTTTCCCTCATGACTTGAATGTGAGAATGTGAGATTGCAGTGATGTAAATAACAATTTACTTAGTTTCACAGAACTTCACCAAACGTTATTTGAAAATACTATAATTATATGTAATTACCAATGCTTTGATCTGCTCCATTAAGCGTGCTTTGTATTACTGAGGCCGTCAAGCCCTGAGCGGCAGAGCTGGGTACTGCCGGTTTATTTTCAAGTACACACACAACTCTGTCCTTTTGAAAGAAAGCCAAAATTTTACTCCTATTATGAAATATTTAGATTGAAGTAACAGTAGAAAACGTTTTGGTTACTTCTCCCGCTGTGAGTCTTCTATATTAATAAAAACCTTTGTTGACAATATTAAATCATTTGAACATTTGTGTTTCCTGCACCTCTCATTCAGATACAATTTAGTTTTGTTCATTTTCATGATCCATCTTTTAAAATGCCTCCAAATACATGAACTTAATTATAAATCTTATGTTAACTTCAGACTCTTTGTTACTCTTTGTTAGAAACTCCATAATACTTCTGGGGTAACTTCTTGATCCACTACTTTGTACTTCTACTTGAGTAATATTATTTTTTGTAACAGTACTCTTACTTAAGTACTTTTGTTAGCTACTTTACTCTGCTCACCTCCGTTGAATCGGTTCTTGTGTGTGAAGGTGTCTGTTGAAATGTCCCAGCATCATGTGGGGCAATCTGTGGTCCTGGGACTGCAACATCTGAAGTGAAGAAAGACTGTATTTCACCCTAAAATCTATAGTTACTCAACAACAAACAAGAGACCGCAGAAAACCATAGAACCAATGATTATGTTATAAATGTTTTGTCAGAGGTACAGAGGGGCTGTGTCCACTCCTGAAATAGGGAAGTTCATCTCGACTTTCTTGCCAAAATGCCTCTTCTGTTCCCATGGTCATCACATATTAAAGATTCTACACAGATATTACACAAAATTGTCTCTTGTGAACTTAAAGTCATGTTATGATGTCGCTATCTCATCAAAAACATACCTGGAGCTTTGTTTTGTTTAATTTAGTAATCCTGTATTATTAGTGTGTCGACATCTCCAAAGCTCAACATGCTCTGTTCCAACTTGTGATGTCATGAAGCGATAATTTTCAGCTACCTTTTACCTTTAGTTGAGTAGAGATCGCCAGTTCCTGGGCTGGTCACCCAAATGATTCTAGTGAAGGCGTGTGGAGTTTAAAAACACAGTGGTGCACTTCCTGTACTTCCACATGGCATAACAAGGTGGAACAGTGTTTTCAGTTTGAGAGAAGAACTCTAAATTTGCAGGATTTTGTGTGTTAAACATGTGAGAATGAAACAAAACACAACTCCATGTATATATGTTTATGATGAGGAAACAACATTACAACATGGATCAGAAAAAAGTGTAATATGGGCCCATTAAATAGCCAGTTTTGTGTGTTTGTGTGTTTAAATGCTGTTTTTTTGTGTTCAAATAGCCAACAAAATTACTGTTTCGTTACACTTTGACAGTATCTGATTTAAGTTTCCACAATTGTATTCAAGTAGTGATGATTTTGTTTTGTTTCAGCTCATTTGTTTTGCTGTCATGTAATTCTTGTGAACCTGGAGGGCCACCGTATAAAGAAAAATCGAAGTAGAAATGCATTGGATGGGTTATTGGATTGAGTTGGGTAAGATTCTCTTCAGCCCTTTAACCTTGTATACGGCTGTGGTGCAAGATATCACAGTTGGCCATTTTAAATACACAGATTGAATCTTGATGCATAAAAGGGAAGTGACAGTTGATAGTAACGTATAGCCAACTCCCTATGTACCTATGTATGCAATCTGTATATGGGGAAGAAATTAAAAACTGACATTTAGCCATATATAGCACAGATGACGAAATGTTATTACCAAACAAAAGCATAAAACAGAAATACAGTTTACATTCACGGGCACTTCAACAGTTGTGTCTGTTTGCTTAAGCTGTATGCAATCATTTTTAAGATAAGTAAATGGAGCCAACTCTTTCTGAATCTGTTTGCAGCAGATGTCATCAATATTCCCTGAGGGTGTGATGCTACCTGATAGGACTGCTCTGTCTGAAGCTCTGTTACTCAAATTAGACTTTATCTGAGCTTTTTTTTTAACACAATCTGACCAGAAAGAGCTGACTTAGTTGGAGCTACAAGTGTTATGTTTGTGCGCTTAAACAATTCTCCCACCCCTAAAATTACAGTCACAAGCTAAAATCAAACTCCTTAAGGTTTGTTTTGATCACAGGTTCCCGAAAATGTGTTGTTTAACTTCATTTTTTTCCCCTTGAGTTTTCAGATTATATTAAAACATTTTTGGCAGTTTTTGCTAATGTGTGCATTGTGTCACCGTGGTAACTATTGAACATTCAGCCCATAGAGACACATTTAGAATACCCCAAGCATGACGTAACTACAAATTAGCAATAAAGTACCAAATTTTAAACCTTTACCCACATTGCTGGATCTTGCTCAAAGAAACTTACAGATCATAGTATCTTTTTTTTTTTTTAATAAACCACAGTTATATGTAATTAAAAATAATAATTCATAATAATTCATAAAGCACTGACAAGGGCCTAAGACAGATTTCTTCAGCCTACCTACCTAATCCCTAAACATGACAGTTTCCACAGTGCTGCACAGACAAATTATAACAATGAGTGGCAGTAAATGATAAATAAATAAATAAATAAATAAATAAGACACAGAGGACCACACAACTCACGCAGTGTTAAAAGCCAGAGAGTAAAAGTGGATCTTAAGCCAAGTTACACGTTAGATCTGTGAAGAGGAGACCCTGCTCATGGCTTTTTTTTTCTTTTTTCTCCAACACCCTTACAACACCTGTAATTTAATAAACACAAGATAGATACATTTGATGCTGTACTGTCTTTCAGGCAAAACAATCAAATCCACCAGAAAAGTTACACAATGCAGCTTTAAACTCGCCTGTCGCTCAGATTCAGGTTGCAGGAGCCTGTCTCTTGTGAACATTTGATTAATGGCTCCATCATGTGGCGCGAGGGCAGAACGAGAAAATGACCTAGAGAGATAGAAAAAAACTCAGATGTCTCACTCTGACTCTCATTACTAGAGTTAAACCTGTTTCAAATACCTTCTGGAAGTGTAAATTACTTTATAAAAAATAAATAAATAAATACACGTGACAAACTTAGGGTGACCAGATTTTCAACATAAAAACTGGGACACTCCTAGTTTGGATTGGTTGGTAATAATAAAATTGTGGAACGAGTGCGTAATTAAGGATAATTGTTCTGCACTTGGCACTAATGTGAGTCAGTATAGTCACATTTTCTCTGTGTTTTTATCATTTTTAAGCAGTTTTTCTGTATTTTACCTTAACAAATGACAATATATGCCTCTCTTTAATGTTGGTAGGAGTCAGATTGGTCAAACATAGGGACATTTCTTGTTTAAAACTGGGTCAAATCAGTGGTTTTGGATAAATGTGCTGGAGCAAGGGACACGGGCCTCAAAACTGGGACTGTCCCGGGTCAATATAGGGTCTGGTCACTCTACCTTTGACACACCTGAAGGATACGCATGAATAAGACAACTATATATATAAATAAAGTTATATAAGCAAAAAATCTAAAATAAAAGTGTTGAGTAAGAAAACCCTTTATTTATCATAACCATGGCGTCATTGTTCCGAAGACACATCCAGACACACCTCTCTTCTCCACAGACACGATCTTGGACTCGGTCGTGCTTTGACGGTGAGAGCCGATTCTTCTCGAAGTGAGACACCGGCGACAGTGTTGCTTTCTCTCCTCTTTTAACCCGCATTTCCCCGTCGCAGTTTTCCCCATCAGCTTTCGGACAGGCGACGCTTTCCCCTTTAAGGCCACGCTGGCGACTATCATGATTTATTTATGTATTCCGTGTGATGTCGGCGAGCAGAAACTTGGAGTCGACTGAACCGCTGGTGAGAACAGCAGAGGAGCATCCACCGTGTGACTGCCTCCCCTGGCTCTACCATCCTCTCATCTTTTGGCAGGGCGCTTGCTAATTCATACACGAGTACTTATCAGAGCTGGTACGATACTTCTTTGTGTCCGACATGTCTTTTTATAATGGAATAACATAAGGATAGCGACGCGCGCAAAGGACTAGAGCGCAAAAGGGAATGCAGCTAGACCACTTCGCACTACGCAATGTTTTGGATATTTAGCACCCAAAGCCAGCAGTAGGAGACTTCACGCTCAATTTAAGGGGTAAGTAACAGTTTGTGTAGCTGTGGTACGTGATCATTTGCGTGTGTTGTCGCTATTTGGGCAGGTGGATGAGGAGACTCTTCACTTTGTAGCCGCTCTCTACAATTTTCATCTGAGCTTTTGTGTCTGCTCCACGTTGGCTGGCAGATTGTTACGTCCCTTCCTCGCCCTTTACCCTCCTCGTGTATAAAAGCACTTCTTATGTAATCCCGTGGGACTCGTTTTTTCCAAGACTTCCTGACCATAGGAAAACACGCCGATCCAAGCTGCTGCTATAGGAAGAGCCATGTGCAGCCGACTCAGACAGGAGGGAGGGAGGCTGCTAAAGGCACAGCTTGTCCACATTCCTGCTCTCAGCTGTGAACAGCACTGGAGGAGGCTAGTTAAACAGGATCAGACTGCTTTTTGACATATTTTGTGTTATAATTTAAAGATCATAGTTCATTTTATTTTGCCAGTAGCCACGTGTCAGTTTCAAACACGTTTGTCACCCATCGACATAGGCCTCCTTGACCTATTATTAATTACTGTATTTTGTAATCATCTTTAGGAAATATGTAGTAGTGTCTATAATGCATTTTACAACGCCCAAAATATCTTCTTAGATCACCACAATTGTGATGTATAGCAAGTTGATATAGTTTTCTATTGTGAAACTAATGAAACTTTGTGAATGGGTAGCTTTCTTCCATGTGTAATAAGACATTTGATACAATAGATCTCTCTTTTAGAATCTTTATTACATTATAGCCTGTGTCTGTGTAAGTTGACCTTAGGGCCAACACTCATAAAATGCAAATTTTACACTTTAATGCGTAAAAAACCTTCACCAACCAGATGACCTGCCCTCAAAGCAGTGATACAGGGTGTTACAAATCACAGCCATAAGAACTCTTTATATAGGATTAACATGTGATAGGCTGTTTCATTGGGCTTACAAGGCTTTTAGTGTAATGAGCTATTTATACGGTTTATAAAATACCTTTTAAAAACATTTTGTCTCTTGTAGTACATAGTTGTCATTACTTCACAGTCAACTACTGCAAGTGGATACTAAATATAACAACTAAAGTAAGCTTATCTTTTATCTTCAGGTATTTGGTATCTTGAACAAGCAAAGTTGAAAAAACAAACATAAAAACCAAAACAGCCTGTTACTTTGTCCAAATCGATAAGAAGTGTTACTCAACTGTTCTTTAAACTTTGCACAGTTTTAAGATTGCTTAGTGACATCTTTGACACGTGTTCTTCTTGTCTTCCACAGAGCTCGCCCTCGCCTAGACCTACCTCACCTGTTGCCATGACATCACCAGACTCCCCTCCGCTGGTGTCCCCCTCACCATGCCCCCCTCCTCCCCCGTCTCTCCCCTCCTCTCCTGTCCCATCATCCCCAGCTCCATCCTCCTCGTCCCTGCCCCTCCCACCCGCTCTGCCCCCTACTGGCGAGGTCATGGTTCTCGCTTTAGGACGAAAAAAGCAGCGGGTTCTCATCGCTCTCTCCATTTTACCGAACTTGTTCCTGGCGTTTCTTCTCAATTCGGATGGGTTGATAACTCTCTCCCCTCCTCACCACTGTCGCCTGCCCATGTCCTCTTCTTCTCCGGAGATCCTGAACGCGTCTCTGCCCTGGGTGAAGGGGGACCGGCCCGGAGACAGCGGCGGGCCTTCACAGTGTAAACAGTTCACCAACAGTAGCCGCGCCGCCATCGTGGATTGTGAGAACGGATGGGACTACAACGTCACAGAAGGACTCAAGAACAATATAGTGACTGAGGTAAACACAACCCCATGTTTAGATATACATTTAGTAACTTTTAGTCCTGGTTTAGTCCGGCTGTAGATCTGATCGAGTGCGGGTTTGATGCAGTTTTATTTCATGTTAATGTTCTGGCTTTGTCACAGCTTAGTCCTGGTTTAGTTCAAAAGTAGACCTAGTTGGGTCATGGGTTAGTCTTACCTGGCCAGACAGAACCACATGCTTTGGCAAAATTTTACAAAGATGAGTGGATCTGGAGCTGTATCCTTTCTCCCTGATTTAAGAGGGAGTGATTGACACATGGATTTACTGAATAGATAAAAAACAAAACATGCAAGCTTACACATGAAAAAGCAGAAAAATCTACATAAAGGACTGAGAAACAGTGCTGTTTTTACAGAATCAACAATCAAAGCACCAAACTACTTCTTATCTCAGGGAAAAGTTATATATGAGAATTTTTCAACCGGAGATGTCTTCTACATTTGAGAGACACGTGCTGTAAATTAGCAGCTGTGGTTGGATTGTCTTATGTTAGGACGGAGGATTTTCAGCCTCTATTGTCCGGTTCTAGTCCCTTCTGGATGCAAACAAAAGGTAGAAAGGACTGGCTGGACAGGCACCTGGTTGAGTCTGACTGTAGACCTGAGTCCTGGTGTGATGCAGTTTTATTTCATGTTAAAGTTATGGCTTTGTCATAGCTTAGTCCTGGTTTGGTTCAAAAGTAGACCTGGTTGGGCCCTTGTTTTCTCCTGGTTTGCTCCTGATTTATAAAATTTTTGTCCTATGATTAGTTCTAGTTTAATCGTAGTTGGTTTAATCAGATTTTAGACCTGGTCAAGTCCTGATTATTGCAATTTTTGTCCATGTTTAAGTACTGGTATTGTCTCAGCGTGGTCCTGGTTTGGTCTATAGTTTTGCCTTGCTTTAGTCTTATATTTTTAATCACATATTTCTACCAATTTGCATCCGTCGCTTTGTTGAATTCACTTAGAAGTTTTCCTGAAATAGCACTGATTTTTGCATAACCAGCCTAAACCTAAACCTCATTTAACTTTATATAACACCCCAAGCACTATACACGTAAGTAATTGTTCTCAAACTATCCTTCAAGCTTTAGTTAATTCATAGTTTTGGTTGTAGTTGAAATCTCCAATAACAAAACTATTGTTCTGGTTGGGATCAACAAACACTGGCATTGTCAAGTAAACCCCATAACAACCTCTTATGTTTTTGATTCTTACCAGGTCTACTCTTTAAAACATGTCTAGATATGTTAAAATTACTTGAATTTAGAATAGTTTCTCTTTCTGGTAATGATAAAAATGTTGTGAACACAATTTTCAAAGTTCCTATTATGAAATTCTTTACTTTATGAAAAAAAAAACTGAACAAAACTGAACTAAACCTCTAAAAATATCCAAGCACTATTTACAAATCTACTAAAATAACCCGAGTCAGGTGTAAGGTGCAGATTTCTACCTTTAGGGAATTCTGCACAAGTTATTGAGATCTCCTAAAAATATTTTCTCTGGTGTTATTTTAAGCCAAACATTTGTCATCTGAGGAAGGTAGCTACAAAAAGACATAGACTGGGTTAATTGTGAATATGCCTGTAGTGCAATTTGTTGGAGTATTTGAGAATGGGAAGATTATTTTCCTGTCACTGATTAAGAAAATAATAATTGGAGAAGAACTTAAGTACAGAGCAGTGGGCGTACATGCCATTAGCGGATGAAAACTGGAGTTGATCAGCAATATGGCGTCTTGAAAATAAGCGATTAAAGATTGCTCAAACATGCACGAATTACTCCAAATACAACTCCGAGAGGTTAAATGAGAAGGGTATTATGCATAATAGGTCTGCTTTAAGGGTTTGAAGTAAAACAGGGCTTGGAGGGAGTTTGTAGTAAATTTATATTACCTAATTTGCGGAAAATAATCAGTCAGCCCAAAAATATCAGCAGTGTTTATCGGTAATCAGCTCCTCTGGAAAATATCAGTCAATCTCTATTTTTATCCTTCTGAGTTTACTAATTTCTTACCAAGGGGCAAAGTAAATTAGACTATAGAGCTCCACTGTACAATTTTGTATTAAAGGGCACATGTTACACTATAATGTTTCCTCATCAAAACCCTACCAGGACAGGAGTTGTGTTTTATTTCATTTACACATGTTTAACACACACGCCCTGCACATATAGGCTGAATTATCTCAAACAGAAAACACTGTACTAAGGCCCCGTCCACACTAGTACGTATTCAAATAGTTTTTTGCGGATGCAGTGTACTTCCACACTAATCCGAATGAAAATGGCTCCAGAGACAGAACAATCTGGTGCCGCGAACTCCCACGAATTCATCTGAGTAAGGATCTGATCTGACACTGTGTAGACGCCTGAAAACGCTGATACGCTAATGTAGGCCTATGCACCGCGAAGTAGCTAATTCACCACCAAAACGCTAAGAGCCTAGAATATATGTCCATTCATATATACAGTCTATGTGTATGACCTGCAGACGTATAATCTCTAAAAAGTTTAACATGAACCATTTCCAACGCGACAGAAGCACAGAACAGACTCACCACTAGAAGAACACCCCTCTGTGACAGAAAAAACACATATAACACATATAATCCACTGAGTCATGTCCTTTAGTCCGACAGAAGCTGAACCACATCAGCAGCACAATAGTGAGCTGTTTTGAGCGCTAAATTTATGCAAATTAGCCATGTGGTTTTGAGTTTCGTTTCTGTAAAACATAAACAAATATGCTCAAAGCTGTGTGGATAAGGAAGGATTGTGGACACAGAAACAATGTGTGTGGACGCAGATCGTTTCCTATATGGTGATACACGGATTCGTTTCAGTGTAAGCGGGATCTAAATGTAAAAGGTAGATATTAATCTGAAAACTACCTCCATATGACATCTCAAGGGAATTTTGAGCTTTGGAGATGTAGACAGACTAATAATAAAGGATTACTCAGACATGTGTGGATGAAACGAAACACATCTCCAGGTATGTTTTGTCAATTTGACATAATACAGAACTTTAAATGCAAGCACTGTCAACTTTGCGTGAGGTGTAATTTAAAAAGCAAAGCCAGTGAAACATCATTTTACCGAGACCAGCCCATGAAAATCTTTGGGTTGTCCCGGTAACAACCAACTTGTGCCAGTTTTTTTCCACTTGGTCTGGTGGTTGCCGTGGGAGACACACCCAGTGCTCCCAGCCCCAGCTGATGTCAGGCTTTTGGTTATCCACCCACCAATAAAATACAGTGTCTAGCTGCAACTGTACTTAGGCTAAAACAGGAGAAATCTAGAAATAATGAAGGATTTTGCTGTAGATTGGGTCCATTCCTTCATTACTGCTGTGCTGAGCGGGCAGGCTGTGTGCAGGAAGCAGGAAGCTCACTGATCAATAAATAGTCAACACCAGGTTTTAGTCAATGTCCTGATGCTGTGGCTAAGAACGCTAATAGCTAATCAAGCAACATCCATTCTGGCTTTAGCTGATCACACAATTTCCACAAATGCTCAGGATGAAGTGAGCCAATTTAAAATAGGGTTGAGAAAAAATCGATACCTGCATAATGATTCATATAAAATCAATTATTGAAACTAGATCCTCATTTGTAAAAGTATTGACAATGAAAAAAGAATGCATTTATATAATCTGGACCTTTCCTTTGTTGCTTTTGGTGGTCATGATCTTGAACTAGTGTAAGACTTGCCTGGGATACACACTACTTCAATACTATGAAGGTGTGAGTCTGTAAATCTCCCCGTTTTCAAATGGGTGTTATTTTTTTTTATTTATTTATTTATTTATTTATTTCATTCATAAAGCATAAAAAGACATCTACAGTGTCACAACATCAAACACACAAGAAATGAATGAAAAGGAGCAGAAAGAAGAAAAAAAATCTTATGTTATCTGCCCCCCTTTCCTTTTTCAAGACAAAACATCAACACTGATCGTCACTAAACATTCCTTATCAGTTCAGGCACAATTACTGATCAATTGCAAACAGTAAATCTTCATTATTATACACAACTTAGTTTTCTTTTTCATACAGACACAGTGCATTCGATTTTATATGTTTTTTAAATGTCATCATTGTACTTGATTCTTTTATTTCTTTGTCAAGACTATTCCATAAGTGAACTCCTTTCACAGCGACACTTCGCTCCATAACCTTGGTTCTGAATCTGGGTTTTTTAAACATGTAGGTTCCTTTTAAATTGTAGTGGCTTGTTCTCATCTCAAACAGTTTTTGAATATTTACAGGTAATAAATTACACTTTGCTTTATACATGACTTTGAGGAGACTTAAGTCAACAATATCCTGCATTTTCAACACTTTAAGTTGAACAAATATTGGGTTGGATGGCTCTCTACAATGACTGCTGGTGATAATTCTCAATTGACAGATGGATTAGCCAATCAGGGACATGCATTGTCTGTCTGTGTATAAAGTAATAAAGGAAGAAAATATCACAGGCGACTGAAAAACATCTCTGCAGGATTAATGAGCGAAGCACTATAATCTATTAATCTGAGGCGAGATAAATTAGATTTTATTTGTAAATCATGAGTGACCAATGAGCTTCTTTGTTTCATATGCATCACTGAAAAAAATACAAATCTGATTGCACGATCAAGATTGGCCGGGCGTGAGACGTGACAGAGGGCGTGGGGACCAGACTCATATCAATCTGCATAAAAATAAAGGAGATATCATTCTAGATTTGCCAAGTATAAGACCAAAATCCTAATTGAGTGCATTTTTATTTTAAATAATTGTCAAAATAGATGATATAGTGTGGTATTTTGCATGCTATTGAACTCAAGTTTAAAATTGTAGTCCTGTGAAAAGGCTAATTTATAATAATAAAACATAGTTGACTGTGCATTGTAATGCAATGGACCATGTCATTCTTGCCACTTCCAAAATGATTCTAAAAGTAGCATAATAATGTTTCACAGTCCTTAGTGTATAATGCTTAATGTTACCATGAGACCTAGTTTGGTGTAACCAAGAGGTTTTACCCAGTTCTACCAGAATTATAAGCTTTATTAGAGCATCTGTTGACAATTTAAAATGTTATAAATGCCTTATATTTATATTTACAAACAAGCTCCACACCACTAGATTGTAATTGCTTTTATGACAAATGAACCACCCTGTTACTCAGACGGGCAAAGGTCACAGAACATGTTTTCACCACAAAAACATTCAGACTGATAATAATTAACAATATAGTGGAGTGTAGTTGAGATATATTTGAGTATTGATTTCTTGAGAGATCTGGAGAGGGCCACACCTCTCCACCTTTGGGCAGGGTTTGGATTGCACCAGTAAACACACCTGCTGTTTGTCCACTTCGGTCGATTGGGTAATGAAATATTAAAGTGATATGACTGGGTCCAACTAGAGTGCCAGTATTATTCAGACAAAGCACGTACACCCCTAAAAAGACTATAGTTTATTGCAATTTATTACATACACAAGTTTGTAAAAGCAAGTAATGTATTAAATTATTTAGAATAGGACATTTTACAGTGGAAAGTGACATTTCAGTGAACTAATATTGAAGCTCATCACAGGAATATAATATAACAGATGACCAAAACACATCTATGGCAATCTAAAAGATAACTCAGACTAAACCAGTAATTTTATTTTTTAAACCAGATCAAAACCAAGACCAAATCAAATTTCCTGTAAGCTTAAATTAACTAATTATGGGAAAAGACTTTAGAGCACCACTGAGAAAGACCATTTATCACTGTTGGATCTTTAGTTATGTAAAACAGCTGTTGTGCGTCAAATCCTGTTTGTGAGTGTCTTGCTCAGAGGCCGATCTCCACTCACCAAACCAGTCTGTCCTGTAATGCTCTGTTTTGTACTTTGGCCTTTTCCTGCCTCTTTCCAGTGTTGTGGTTCTGCGAATGCATTAAGCAGAAGTGTCATAATTAAATGTTGCACTAAGAAACATTGCTCAAGGAAGATATTATTACCTTAACTAGAATTGTTCACATTATGGCATTAAATTCATCTAAATGTAGCGTTTATTAATTATAGATGTTTTTAATTGCTTAAAAATAGCAATAGCAAAGAGCATGCATGCATACTATGAGCAGGCTCACCTTTCCACAAACCTGACCTGGCATGGTAGCATCACCTACCTGTCTCCATGGAGAAAAGTTACATGGTGCATGTTTAAAATGTTGTGTTTCATGAAATATAAATGATTTTAATTTGAGTTAGATTAGATTAGTTGTTTCAATTAAGATGTTAGGACTAAATGTGTGTGTAAAAGTGTTCTTAAGTAAATAGTACTAAGTCCCTAAATCTGGGTATTGTTATTTGAATAGTTTAAAGGTGCACTGCGTAACATTTCTAGTGGAGGGTCTGCTACTTGCTCGTCTCCATAAAAATGTTATTGCTTTGTCCATAATGTTCCACAGATCAGATCTGTGAAGGGTCACCCCATTTAGTTAAGATTATGGTGGTATACATTATTTTAATGTGGATTTAATATGATTAACCGAGATTCAGGGGCAGGACCACACCTCAACCACACTCTTTTCCTCACCAGCGAACCACAGCTCACTTCAACCCACCTCTAATTTCCCAGAAGCCTATATGTAGCAGCCTTTCCCATTATCCCAGTTTGTCTTGGCTAACTCGACCCCACCCTCCCACCCTCTATCTTGTTCGTCTTTCAGACATAAGACGCCTGCGAGGGGGGTCCCGTTCCAGCTGGGCCAATTGAAGATCGAGATGGAGCCCCCATTCTCTGATTCTCAACCCAGCCATCTCTGCCCCGCCTCGCACATTCATCATCAAACTTCTTCTTCACACAATGTTGTTTTTGGCGTGGTACTACCTAGTGAACTGAATAATTTAGTCTCATTCAATTTACTGCCTATATTTAATCTTGAAGCAGTAATTTTTGACCAGTATAGCATCTTTTATATGATGATATATTGAGCAACAAAGTACTATTTTGTTGTGCAAATATATAGTCCAGGTTGTTTTTAGACTATGGGGGAGAATTTAAGACTATGGGGGGCCATTAGTCTGATTCATGAGACGGTTTCTATGATGTGAAACCCTTCTGACCTCGCAGTATTAGGATTTGTTCGCTCAACAGTAGACGGGTACTTTTTTTATTTAACCAGTCGCTGCTATTTGGTCGTGACGAATGTAATGCACCACTAATGGGGCTAACTGGTTTATTAAGCTTTTCCCAAATCCCGTAGGAAGAAGGGCAATAACGTCTTTCCCCTTGATAAAATTCACTGAACATTTTCTTTGTTCCGGCTTTAAATCCTCGATTTTGTGAAACGTTACCAACACTGAATGTGTGGCTCTTCGCTGATTGGCTGGTGCACGAAGTTGCACTTCTGGGGTTCTTGCGAACCGTCTAGTGTATTCCGATTCCTGATGCCATAGTCTCTTCTATCACTGGGGAAACACTGAATGTAATACCATGGAACATTCCAGGCAAAACAATAACATCTCCATGGAAGTGCAGGTGATGCACCCTTCACCCGAACAGCTACACAGTGCACCTTTAAGTGGCTTTATTCAGTGCTAATTTAGTACTTGTGTAGTCCTGGTTTGAGGTGGAGAATGTGAAATATGTGTTGGATAAATCGCAGCACATTTTTTTCATTCCTACCCGGGACCTCCCTGGAGTCTAGAGCAGCAGGACCAATGATGTCACCATTTCCCTCTCAGCGCTCCCATTAAACACTGTTCATTTCATTTGCGCGCCTAGTACTTCCTCATCTGCGTCACTAAAATAATTTTGCTGTGGGCAGTGGCAGACAGAGCAGTTCGCCCCCCTCAGCTCTTCAAACGCAGTGTCTGGGTTTGATGTGATTAAAACTCATGATTTGAACAGATGTACATGTCCCCAGTGCTCTCTCTGTTAGAGCAGTTAGCAGTTTGTTTATTCCCACAATAGAAAGGCATGTGACCTGGCTGTCTTTGTAGAGGAGTGAGAAGTCAAAGTAAGAGTAGTGATAGTGTTTGGTTAAAGGGCTGCTTTTTTCTGATCTATGTTATGATGTTGTTTGCGCATAAAAAGCTGGAGCTGTGTTTTGTTTCATTCACATGCTTTTAACACACAAACCCTGCATATTTATACTTTCTCTCAAACTGTAAACACTGGGCCCCACCTTCTGTTGTCATGTGGTGGAAGTGCTTCATTGTGTTTTTAAACCACGTACACCGTCACTAGAATAATTTGGATTATTTCAGCCCTGGAATTGCCATCTCTACTAAAGAAAAGGTAAAAAAGTAACTGTTAACTTGAAAAGTACCACGGCGTGACATCGCAAGGTGGAGCAGAGCATTTTAAGCTTTGGAAATGTAGACAGACTAATAATAAAGAGTTACTCAAACATATGAATGAAACAAAACACAACTCTGGGTATGTTTTTGAGGCGGTAACAGCATTATAACATGGCTTAGAACTCACACAAGAGTCATTTTTGTGCAACTTCGGCCCTTTAAATAAAATACATTCTCCAAATGATCTGATTTTAAGTTTGATGGGGCCATTTATCTTTCTTTACACTGCATTGCACTTCACAGTTGCTCCCACTCAGACTCAGAGATTTCTTGACCTACTTTTGATGTAAGTGGTATTGATTTTCCTGAGACAGCGTTTCAGAGTAATCCAATGGCACATGCCGCAGGTACAGTGCGTGGGTGGGCACAGAGTAGAGGAGGGGCTTTTTTTGCATAGGGACTACGGACACTTAAAATAGGATTCACAGTTTGGTGTGAATTGAGTTTGACCTCTCATCTGACCTTTAAGTGTGCCTGTCTTTTATTATTACCCCAAAGTGTGTTTAAGGAGACATTTAACAAGTATTTTGGCAGAAGTTAAACCTACTTCCATTAAGGCAGATTGAATTTTTGGACAGGCATTGCGATTGCATTTAGATTTATGCTTTATGTCTTTTTTTATTTTATCTTTTTAAAGGGCCCATATGAGAATATTTTCAATGCTATGTTATAATGTTTCTTTGTCACAAACATATTTGAAATTGTGTTTTGATTCATTCACGCATTTAACACACAAACCCTGCGTGATAAGATTGAGTTCTTCTCTCAAACTGTAAACATTTGTGATGTCATGTGGTAATACAAGAAATGCACCACTGTGTTTTTAAACTCCCCACACTTTCACTAGAATAATTTTGACAATTTTGACCGACCCTGGAATTAACTAAAGGTAAATGGTAGCTGTTAACTTGAAAACTACCGCTTCATGATCTCACAAAGGTGGAACAGAGCATTTTGAGGTTTGGAGATGTGAACAATAATAATAAGGGTTACTCAAACATGTGTGTATGAAACAATACACAACTGCAGGTATATTTTCGATGAGGTAACAGCATTATAACATGGCTTAAAGCTCACCAGAGGTAATTTTGCGTAATATAGGACCTTTAAGAATAAGCTCTTGTTCTATCCACATCTGGAAGCACATTTGGGTAAAGACTGAACTATGAATTGATAAACTAATAAAAGCTATGTTATCATACCAGAACATGTTTGTAGAGATCTAAACAGACAGATGAGAGGCAGTTCTCTGGAGAGGATCCCATAAATTGGCTGAATAAATGCAGCCTTTTGCAGTTTGCTAATTGTGACCTTCTAAATTGCAGTTTCAATGCTATTTTGTTGAATTTTGCAGCACTCATTTACATAATTATGTATTAATCAATATTGTCTTCTTGTGTGTGTTGTACAGTGGGACCTGGTGTGTGCGCAGTACTGGCTGGTTCCAGTGGAGGAGGTGTGCTTCATTCTGGGCGTCCTGACCGGGTGCCTTGGTCTCGGTTATACTGCAGACAGGTAAGGCAATGTCACCTGAGCTGTTCATGAAGTTTATAGATGGTAATACTAACCCTGTCACCTGAGGTCAATGTAAACATCTATGTTATATTTACATATCTAGTACACCACAACTTTTGTAATAGTCTACGTATCTTTAAAGGTTCTATATTGCACAAAAGTGACTCATGAGCTTTAAGCCATGTTAGAAAGTTGTTACATCATCAAAACTATACCTGGAGTTGTGTTTTGTTTCATCTGCACAGGTTTGAGTAATCATGTATTATTAGTCTGTCTACATCTCCAAAACTCAAAATGCTCTGCTCCACTTTGTGATGTCATGTAGTTGTAGTTTTCAAGTTAACAGCTACTTTTTGTCTTTTTATTATCCAAATGATTCTAGTGAACGTGTATGGACTTTAAAAACATAGTGGAGCACTTCCTGTATTACCACATGACATCACACAGTGTATTTTATGTTTGCCAGAATATGCAGGGTTTGTGTGTTGAAAATGAGTGAATGAAACAAAACAAAACAAAACTCTGGGTATGTTTAAATCACAGCTTCTTGTTATGACATTCAACTGTCAAATTTGTTGCATTTTGTTTTGGCCATCTGAACCCAACAAGACATTAGAATCAACAACTTTTAAAGGTGCACAGTGTAACTTTTCTGGTGGAGGGTCCATCACCTGCTTGTCTTCATGGAGATATTTCAGTTTTACCTTGAATCACAGTATAGATACATAGGTAAATGGTCAGGTCTTTGGAAAAGTAAGCCTGTGCATGTTTAAGAATGAATGTTTTTAAGGTTGTTAAGGCATGGGAGATGTGTCTAATGTCATAATGTGGAAAATTCCAGGCAAATAAATAACATCTCCAAGTAGAAGACCCTCCACATTACATAGTGCACCTTTAAGATAACTAATCTAGAAATTCTTAGGTCTGTTTTGTTAATATATAAAGTGGAGAGATCATACTGTACCATACAAAATAAATTAACCAAAACTAGATTCTGTATTTCCTCATATGAACATAGTAAGTTGTTTTATATTCTCAGCACTTGCCTTATGTCAGATGACCATGAGAAGTGAGCGATCTTGTTACACGGTGGACAGATATAGCTCACAGCACGTGGCATTCAGTCTTCAGCATCATATCACTTTGTTGTTCATTCATATCCTGTCATTAACATGCTGCTCCACTGAATGAAACCACACCACAAAGAGAGAAAGAGAGAGGGAGGCTGCTGATATACAAATGAAATTATCCTCAGATTTACTGCGCCTGTCTGCAGTTAAAGCCGTTAGTGAAGCTGGAGATTAACTATGTAGTGGTGGAAGTGACATGTGGGGAGGCTGTATTTCAACAGGTATAAATTAATTCAAGGGAAAGGACAGCAAATCTTACACAACGGAGATTTGTTATTATTTATGTTGTCAGACAGGGCAGGTAATGAACATACAAAAGTCCCACAAAGTAAACACACTAAATCGTAACCATGGGAAAGCTTCCATCTGTCATCCGGGGTACATTTCCAGGCTTTTTGGGAACATTACACTGACTTTCCTGGATTTTGTGGATTTCCTGGAGACCAATTCTAACCTTTACTGCTACTAATTACTGCTTGTCTATTCTTCACCTAAACCCATAACTATTTTAATCCATATTTGAGCTTTAAATCTTCTTGTTATTCTAATAATAATTTAGATTTTTGTTCCCATAATTTTGGCAGGTCCCCATGGTGTGAATGTGTTCACATTTCAGTCCATGCAATGTCCTAAATAGCTGCCCATTTGTTCATTCATACATACATGCATACACTGGATGCAAGGGAAGAATGAACTGCCCAAAAGCTTTTGGGCAGTTCACTCTTCACTTGCAATTCCTCTGGGTTAGTTGGCCTATCAACCACTGTTCCTTCAGCCTCTACAGTGCTGTGATGAACATCTCAATAAACTTAAAGGTTTTTGGTTGCATAGTACATAACATCTCCATGAAGAAAAGCATTTGCCCACAATCTATGTGTCATTTGTTCATTTGTTTTTCAAAATAAAACCAAAAATAAGAAAACAAAAAAGCAACTATTTTCTTCATTATTTGTCTCCAAACCCAAAATGAAAAAAAAAGATAATTTGTTTTTTCAGTTTTCGATTTTGTGTTTAAATGAAGAATGGAAAAAATGGATAACCACCATTTTCCGTTTCTGTGACTTAAACTGCGATCTGGACTAAAGAAGGACTGAGTGTTGGGACGGACCCGGAGGTGCACCCACATGGACTGTCGGGTTATCAGGACTGAGACCAGGACTGAGATCAGGACCAGACCCGGGAACAGACTGGGACCAAATCAGGACTGAACCAGGACTAAACCAGGACTAAACCAGGACTGAACCAGGACTGAACCAGGACTGAACCAGGACTAAACCAGGACTAAACCAGGACTAAACCAAGTCCCAGTCTCAGTCGCGGTCTAGTCCCAGTCTGGTCCTGGTCTCAGTGCTGGTCTCAGTCCTGATCACCCGACAGTCAGTTTTTTCCATTATTCATTTAATCACAAAATCGAAAACTGAAAAAAAAAAAAACAAAAAAAAAAAAAAAATCGTTATCCGTTTTTTCATTTTGGTTTTGAAGACAAAAAAATTATTATTATTATTATTTTTTTTAATTTTCTTATTTTTGGTTTTATTTTGAAAAACAAATTAACAAATGATATACGGATTGCCCACAACTATGCAAATTAGTTAGTTTATTTATTTATATGAAACTGAACCAAAACCTTCCCTGTAGTGTATATGTAATCCCCTATTCAGTTCTCATGTTTATGCTTCATTAGCTCAAAACTAGGTCTGAATTCCTCCAGTGCGTTATTTAGGTTCTCTTCTGATTGTGTTTACAGGTCGGGTCTGTGGAGCTGTGAGGGTGAGAAGGGCTCAGGGGGGAGCTGTAGTTTGGGAGAAACACTGGGGTCTGATGCCAGTTTAATTAGACTAACAGCTTTAATTCATCTGGAGAGAAACTGAGTGAGGGCACAGTTTATTCTAACAGCATACACACCAGAGAAAGGGAAAGGAACAAGGGAAAGGAAAGGGAACAAAGCTTATCCAAGGATATTTTTCCTATTTTATTTTTTCTATTATTAACTTTAGTTCAAATAATACATCTATAAATAAACAGCCAAATATACACAAATACTAAAACAGAGAGGCTTGCAACTTTGAGAAGCAGTGTTCCCACAAGTTCATACTGAGAAAACTAATGTCAACAAAACCATTAAGAAATTAAATGAGCAGAAAGAACGTGAAAAAAGAAAAACATAAAGACTGTAACCAAAATTTTACTTGGCTCCAACAATAATACTCAAGTAAACATACAAAACATTACTCCAAGAAATGACTCAAGAAGTATTTGGGGGAAACTTACTAACTATTCAAATAATAATATTTGTAAAAGTAACTCTCTGGGCATAACATCTAATTTGTAATTCATTTGTGTAATTGGAAGGGAAAAACATGAAATAATGCACAATGTCTGGTATTTTCAAAGCATGCTGACCACACGAAAGGGAAAAAAAACAGTAAACTCTGAAAGAGCAATGCAATAAACACAAATGTTCAAATCATTTCATTTTGTCAACACAAAGTTTTGTTACTTGTAAACTCACAGTGGGAGAAGTAACCACAACTTTCCCCCAAGTGACACTGTGAGTAAATATTGGTGATACAAATGATATCAAAATCATACCAAACACAGGTAACTATATTTAATTTATTATCAGTGCTCTTTTAATCAGTGGAGGAGTGACATTTATACTCCAAAAATTTGATTAAATTATTCAAATGTGGATCAATTGTGCCACCATAGTCTTTTGGAAACGCTGTATGTCACTTAAGTAGGAGTAAAAATATAAGCCTGAAAACGACTCCATTATGAACTAAAGACAATGACGCTATACTTTTTAATTAACTTTATGGACTAATTTGGTTGCCTTGTATATTTTTTGTATCCTGTTTTTCTTTGTAACTATGGACCGAATAATATTTGTGTCTGAAATAAAGAATAAATAAATACTCCAAGAAGTACACAAAGTTACCCAAGTAAATCTCCTTCCTTCCTTCTTCCTCCACCTACACTGAAGGGTCAAATACAGAGGACAATTTTCCCTACAGGCTCATTAAAGTATACCATAACCTTACATATTGAATCATTGTACAACAGGAAATGATACGATGTAATTTTATACTATCATTGTACATTTATATCCTCTCTGGAACTTTGTCCTACTTTCTATTTCCTCTCTATAAATACACTCAGATCAAAACACAGCACATTTCTCTATAATATGGGATTTATATTTCTTCTCTCTCTTCTCTAATCGTGTCTCTGTGGTTGTGTCTGTCCTCAGGTTGGGCAGGTCCAAGTCTCTCCTGATCTCGCTCACCCTGTCTGTGGTTTTTGGAGTGCTGGTGTGTGTCTCTCCGTACCCCTCCGTCTTCATCGTGATGCGTTTCTGTTTGGCCGCTGCCAGTGCCGGAGTCTACCTCACACTGTACATCGCACGTAAGTATCACTCTGGGGGCGTTTAATGTTTATCTTTATGAGGGGAATGTTCAGCAATGACCATAGTGACACAATCTACACATCAGCAAACACTGCCAAAAATGTTTTAAGATAGTAGAAAAAAAAATACAGCCTGTGATAAATATGCGTGTTCATGGTCCTGTTTAAGTGTTTGATTTTCAACAAAAAGATGAGAGTGACCAATGGAAAAACTAATGCTAACTAGCTTGTTTAGATGTGAGAAACTTTTTTAAGCGCACAAATCAGCTCATCTGTTGTAGTTCGAACTAAGTCAGATCTTTTTGGTCAGAATGTGTTTGATTGAGGAACAGAGCTTCTAACAGAATTGTTCTTTCAGTTAGCTTGACACCTAGGAGTGTGCAAAAATATCAAAAATATTGCTGATATGTGCTGATACAGTATTGACATCATGGGCTGCTGTATCGATATATCACCAAGAATATTTTTTGGTATTGCTTGTTTAGGTGAAAGAAACTCATTCATGCAACAGATTTGACATTTTCACTGTTTTGATGATTTTAATGGGCATATTTCATATTAACTTGGTTTAACTAAGACTTTTAGTATCACAGCCATCATTTAGCCATTATTTTTATTGAATCGTTTCGAATTAAAAGCTCAGTGTATCGATATATTTATCATATTGTGGCCCATGTATCAAGATATGTATCGCATTGTGGAACATGTATCGAGGAATGTGTCGTATCGGCAACTTCTTAATGACACGCAGCCTTATTTATACCCCCAGGAAATGCTACTGACACCAGCTGCAAAGTGTCAGAAGGGATGATATGAAATTGACAATATGAGCAGATGAGGTTAATTAATGTGTTATAATAAAGCTTAGATTCCCGCTGTATTATTGATCATCTGATAGTTGTGATCGTGTACGTTTCAGGTCTGGAGCTGTGTGAGCCCTCCCTCAGGCTGGTGGTTACCATGGCAGCGGGTCTGATCACAGTGTGTGGAGAGCTGCTGCTGCTGGCCGTGGCCCTGGGCTGTCAGTCCTGGAGGGGGCTGCTGGGGGCCGGAGCCGCTCCTCTCACTCTCTTCCTCAGTTATGGGTAAATATTAGCATTTAATCACGCTGCGATTTGATGTGTGTGTGTGTTTTTTCAATTATTTAAGCTCATAGACTTTTCTCAACAGAACAGTAAGTAGTGAAGAGTGGGGAGAGACATTCAGAAAATATGCTTGGGGTTAGCATCGAGGCAGGTCACAAGAAAATTTGTTGGCACAGATTTTGATGTTTTAGTTGATAAATCGTACAAAAATATGTATATATATATATATATATATATATATAAGTAAATTGGATGCTTTCACTTCTCAGAGGAAGCCACTAACAAATACTATTTAAAGGGAAGAACTACACAGAGTTGTATTTCAAGTAGGGATGTAATGATATCCAAATCTCTCGGTATGATGTTATCACAATATGCATCTCATGGTAAGATATTTATTGCAATATTTTGGAGAGGCTGATATAATTGTAGATAGGACACTTTTTTGCTTTTAAAATACCCTGCAAGATTTTGGTGTGAATTATTACTGTCATAATCCCAAGAATTCAACTAGAAAACATAACTTCATGTTGTCTGCACTGCAATGAATCATGGGATATGCAGTTCCTGATGTTTATTAGCTATTGCTACTATAAAACAATGCATTTAAGCAGAGAAACTTGAAATTAGATTATATTGTGACAGCCCACGATAATTATTGTGAGACTTCTGATGATACGATATCACGATATTTAAATTATTGTTACATCCCTAACTTTGACTGATTTTTGTATGTTTGAGATATGAGATATGACACATAAAACAATCAGTTTTGGGGGTAAATATTTATTATTGTGGGGACTTTCTTTGCGCTAGTTTTTTTTTGTGCTATGATTTGAACTGTAGAGGGTTGAATTATGAATTTCTATGAACCATTATTGACACAAACAAGTTACATAAGTGTTACATTCTGTTATTTAATAATTGCAGTCTGTGTTTTTTTTACAGTATTACACATTAAGTATACTTTTTGGGGGATAATTTTGCTTTATGGTTTGGTTTCAGTATTATTATATTACTTCAGCAATATCACGCATTTAACAGGCCTAGGCTTGAGTGCTCAGAAAATTTCAGTTTTCACCTACCCCCGATCCCCAGCTATTATTCCTCACATTAGTGGCGCACTGAGCTCCTGTCCCCGGTGGTGTATAGATCGTGCAGTATTGACCTGTATCACGTCTGATAAAATGTCTCCATGCCGACAGACTTGCTGAAAGCTTTGTTTGATCGCATTGATCGCTCGTCACCTAAAGCCTTCAGCTCCTGTCAGGAGGAATTAGGCCATTGAAAAGTCCCTGGACACATTCAGTTCTTTGTTTCAAAATGAAGCTTTATTGAACTTTCATTATTGAGACTTTGCAGCCGATGTCATCAGCATTCGTTGGGGGTGTGATTCTTACTGTAGGCACAGCTCTGTCTGAGACTTTATTAGACTAGACTAGAGATTAATGTTGGATTACAGGCAATATAATGTCTGTTTGTGGCCCAATTAGAAACAAAATCTGATGATGCCTATCCATTGGTTTTACAGTGATACAAAAAAAAGCACTGTTGCCGTGGGAATTAACAATTAGAAACAAAATACACTATATTTTTAATGGTGACAAGTCCTCAAAATACACATCAAACTGATACCCATGATTAATTTATCTTGATTTGTGAGTGCCTATTTTATGCTCTTGCTTTACTTAAATGATGCGTCGCAACACTGGAATTTCCCCATTGTAGGACAAATAAAGGTTCTTTCTTCTCATGCTTTATTTAGTTGGAGGTTAAAGGTGGTCCACAGTATGACATTAAACAGCTCTACCTTACATTTACTGTGAGCAGAGTCGCCTCTCCACAGATCTGACCTGTAACTTGGTCTGGTTTGGTCTCCATGCAGATAGAAACGTTTAATACCATACTGTGAAACATTTCAGACAAAGCAATAACATTTCTACTGACGAAAGCATTTGACGGACCTTCCACCAGAAAAGTTACACAATGCACCTTTAAAAGATTCATATGTTTACTATGCTGTCTGTTTTGCAGCATTCCTGGGGTCTTTCCAGAGTCCCCAAGATGGCTCCTACTGTCAGAAAGATCTTCCGACATGAACTCCTTCAGCGAGAGACGAAACTCGACCCGAGAAGGAAGAGACGATGAGAGCTTTACAGGTTTGCACACAATCACAGTCTGTTTAGCGTTGAAAATAACTAAGCTTTGTGATATAGAGGTTTAATAAGCGTTCACTGGATCAATTATTCATGTAATTTACAGTGTATTTGAAATCATTGTTACCTTTCATTCAGCAGTTCTAAGAGCAGAAAATTGCACTTGGTTACATCATAATTTATTAAAACTCATTGGACATAGCAGAGCACAATGATAAGCCTGTTCTGTATTGGAAAATTAGCTCAGATTGCTTTATGCTAATGTGGTTCCCAGACTGTGAAAGAATAGCTGCTATCATAATGTTTAGTGTCTAATAACCTCACTACATTGGCACCTTTTGTGATTTAAGTTCACACAAGTTTACACATTACAAGAATACTTATCAAACTAAAGTGATGTGTGCTCATTTCTCATCTTAAAATGTGACATTGTATAAATTATTCAGACAGATTCTCTATAAATTTGCACTGCCTTTTCTTCTGAGATAAGAGTTCATCTAATACAGGTCAGACAAGTGCTTTATAAATAGTTTTCCAAGCCAAGTTCACATCTTTGACTAAAAATTCATTCAGTTGAAAGGAACTCCAACCAAGATTTCTTTTACAACAAGTAGCTCTCAGCGGTTTTCTAACATGGAAGTTAGCAGACTTGTTTCTTTATTAAGTCACTTTAACCTAATTTTACAATTTAGAAAGTGTAAATTATAACACAATGATATGGTTGGAGCACCAAACACAGGGCAGCATTGAGGTTTGTGCAGAAGCCAAAGCCTATTTTAGTACCAATACAGGCTGTTTTGTTTGTGAAAAACGTGCATAGGGACAAATAGGTGGTGGACCATGTTTCGTAGTCTACCTTTTAAAGACAAAAGATCCTGATCAAAAGTTTAAATTGCAGTAAACTGTCTTAAATTTGTAGTCTGATTCATCAGCCGGTTTCACTTCATGGAAATCGTCTGACCTTGCACTGTTAAGATCCATTCGCTCGATTGTAGGCGGGTACTTTTTTTAATTTAACCAATCGATGCTATTTAGTTGTGATGTAAGTAATGCACCAAATCCGATAGGAAGAAGGGCAATAACGTCTTTCCCCTTGATAAAATTCACCAAACATTCACACTTTGTTCCGGCTTTAAATCCTCAATCACGGGAATCATTGCCAACACAGAATATATGGCTCTTCGCTGATTGGCTGGTGCCTGGAATCTTACTTCCAGGGTTCTTGCAAACCGTCTAGTGTAATTTGATTCTTGACCTAGTCGCTGGAGAAAAATGAAACTTAGCGGAGGCACTAGGTGGCGCCAGCCTGCTTAATCAAATTGTGCCTAACATATATAAATTTCCCATTATAGTACTTAAGTATCAGTACAGAATTCCTTCCATTTGTCACTCCTACATTTGTTCATAATTGATGAAATAAAACCTGAGTCCTTGTTTTGTTTGCTTCAGAGCTGGACTCAGAGCCGCCTCTTTCGACTCGCCCACATCTGTCCTTCCCTGAGCTCGTCCACAGCAGAAACATCTGGAAAAACCTTTGCGTGCTCGGATTCACCTCGTAAGTCACCACACACTGCCCAAAATAACATGGGCTAAATCAGATTCAGAGTACAGAGTAAACATATAAGTGGGCTATGTTTTGATGGCTAGACGTAAGTATTGAATATACAATTTCATCATTTCATTTCCTGGACAAATCCATGGGGAGGGGCAGGAGGAAGTGTTAGGGCGAAGGGAAGTCTAGTAGTCCCTGCTTAAACTACTGCCTAAGAGGAATACAATGGATGCACTGCAAAAAGAAATATCTAGGTAAGTTAAAATGACTTAAATTAAGAACATTTTAGTTGATTTGAGTAGATTCAACTTGACAAGTAAAATGATCTACCAATGGAATAAGTGTGTTTTTCTTAATTCAAGCAATGTTAGATTTTGTTTCTTATTTTCAGTTCAAATAGTATTTTTTTTATATTAACTGTAGCAAGATGTATTTTCATATTTTAAATACAAAAAGTCTTATTCCATTGGTAGATCATTTTACTTGTCAAGTGAAATCTACTCAAATTATGATAAAATTTCTTAATTCAAGTCATCTTAACTTGGCTAGATTTGAGTTTTTGCAGTGTGGATGGAAATGTCATCGTATTAATGCCTGGTTTAAAAGCACATATATGGAGATCTAATAGCTAGGAATTTTAAATAAAGTTAACCTAAAAAAACCCAAAGTGGTATAACATTATATAGGATGGTGGGGGTGATTCAGGTTCACTGAGTGTTGCTTAATGTGATTTTATATATATCTGCAACGGCTCTGTCAATAACACACACAGTCCTTATTTTACCTCCCAGGGGTAAAATTAGTATTTCTCCATTTAGTCATCAGGTTATTTCAGACCTGTGTCATATTACACCTGGGTCATGTTACTATAGACACTTTAACTCGTCACTGTTTAACACACCTTTAAACTCTCTTCCTCTCATTTTCACCTTCCTCTCTTTCTCTCTTTGCCTGTCTCTCTCGCTCTCTCTTTTTCTCACCCACCTTCCTCATTCCTCTTCTTTCTCATTCACATTTGTTTCCCTCTTCCCCTCCCACTGTCTCTGCTCTTCTCTCTCTCCATTCCTCTATTCTTCTCTCTCTCTCTCTGTGGCTCTGTGTCTCTCCCTTCCTCTATCTCTCCCTCTTTCTCTACCCCATTCTCTCTACGCCTTTCTCTCTCACCCCCCCTCTCTCTCTCTTTCCCCTCTCCCTTCTCCCACTCTCTTTCTGTCTCTCTTGTTCTCTCTCTCCTCTCTCTTTTTCCCTGTCACCTCTCTCTCTTTCTCTCTCCCTCTCCCTTTCTCTCTCTATCTCTCTCCCTCTCCTTTCTGTCCCTTTCTCTCCTTCCTCTCTTCATCCTCTCCCTCTGTCTGTCTGTCTTCCTCTTTCCTCTCTCCCTCCTTCTCTTTCTCCATCTCTCTCTCTTTCCCTCTCTCTCACTTTCTCTCTCTCCCCCTCTCCCTCTCTCTCTTTCTCCTCTCTTCCACTCTCTCCTCTCCCTCTCTCTCGCCGTCTCTCTCTCTCTTCCTCCCTCTCCCTCCTCTCCCTCTCTCTCTGTCTCACTCTTTCCCTCTCTCTCTCCATCTCTCCCCATTCCCCTCTCCCTCTCTCTCTCCTCCTGTCTCTCTTTCTCCTCTCTCCCGCTCTCTCACCCCTCTTCCTGTCTCCCTCTCTCCCTTCCTCTCCCTCTCTCCTTGTCTCTTCCTCCTCTTTCTCTCACCCACTCCCCCTCTCTCTCCCTCCTCTCTTTCTCTCCCCCACTCCCTCTCTCCCCCGCTCTCTTTCCCTCTCTCTCCCTCTCTCTTTCTCTCTCCTCAGGTTCATCTCTCACGGCATCAGTCATTGCTACAGCTCGTTCCGCGGTGACGTCAGAGGCACGGCGCCCAGTTTCTATTGGACGTACCTGCTGTCCGTCTGTGCGGGAGGCGGGGCTTGGCTGTTGCTGTGGGCGACGGTGGACAGGTGCGGTCGCCGTGGCATCCTGCTCCTGTTCATGACGATGACAGGGCTCGCCTCTCTGATCCTCCTCGGCCTCATGGAGTGTAAGTGAAGTGGGGTTGGGCTGGGACACTGAGTCGTGACTAATATTTACGGTAAACCGTTACTCATGGGTTACAGAATTATGAACATCTTGGATCGTTGCCGTAGCAATTAACAACATAAAACAAAATATTATATCTTTTCAATTAGAAGTCCTTCAGATGTAGCAGATAAAAGTAAACTAAAACCCATGTAGAATATAATATAAAAATAGATAATAAATAACTTAAAGATGCTCTGTTCCTGCTGTTTCCATGGAGATATTAGCTCAGTGAATGTTCCACAGTACGCCATTAAAATGATCCACCATGCATTGATTCAATTAAGAGGTTTTTATTCCTAAAAATACATTGGAACTTGTCTCTTGTCTCTTGGCACTTGTCTCCCTGAAGGTAAATAAGTTTAATGCCATACTGATTCAAGGAAAAGCAATAACATCTCCACGGTGATAAGCAGATGGCTGATGCTCTACCATAAAAGTTACATATTGCTTTTGGATGGGATTTTTGAGCAGAGTCCTAGTTCCTGATGAAAGCTCGGTACTTACCCCAAACTCAGGTGTTTAGTTGTGATGAGCATGAAGAAAGTCGAAGATTGCAGATCAAATTTTCTGAAGCGTAGGATGCTGTAGAAGAGTAGTGTTTGTAGGATTTGGTTTAAAGCCTTTTTACTGTTTAATTCATGATGTACTTGAAAATCAGTCTCCTAAAGAGCTGACAGTGTGAAGCTGAATATGCAAAACGATGCACTGCCCCTGACATGCTGATTCGCCTCGTTGACTGTATAAATTGTAGATGGAACACATTTTTAACACTTGTTTTACTGAAGCAAATAACAATTAATTTCATAATATTTCTTCCATGATAATATGACTAATGCTAACAGTTACATTTTCATTCTCACGTATTTGAGTAATTTATTATTAATCACTCTACATCTCCAAAACTCGAAATGCTCTATTGCACCTTGTGATGTTTTGAAGTGTTAGTTCTCAAGTTTTGAAGTTAACAGTGAATGTTTACCTTTAGTTCAGCAGAGACTGGCGATTCCAGCGCTAAAATTATCCAAATGAAGGTATATGGAGTTAAAATACATTTATTACAGCACATAATATTTTCAAAACATTTTATGAATCAACCTATTTGGACAATTCTGAATGCACTCTTTACTAGAAATCCAAAATGTCCTAAATACAATTCATTCAATATAGACATTTTGTACACAATCTATTTACTAATCTTTCTTTACAGTATAGTCTTATTTATTAACTTCATAACACAATGATCCAGACAGCCTTGTTTATGGAAAAGTACCTCCTGAGTTCCTTTGTTTGTCCTCAGCGTGATGTCAAAGGAGCATATGCCTGTTGTGTTTGCTTGGTATCCGGCTCCCCCTAGCGGCTGAAACAGTCCCATGACCTCACAGTTTTATGTAGGACACTGCAGTAGCGCCAAAGTCAAAGCCTGGTCAGGTGCATTGCTTTAATCATGCTCCAGTGACTGTGTGTGGCCCAATAACAAGGAGGTATGGTTCAGGTCACCTCCTCTCACTCTGATAAGAACAGCCTGTGGGAGTGTGAAGTGCAGCAGTATTAAAGGAGAGGGGTATCCAGGGTCTGCATTAAATAAACAGAGCAGAGTTTACAGTGTTTTCTATGTGATATGGACTATAGGGGTGGGAAGTACTGACTTAAAAGAATATCTATAAGTTTTTTTCTGGAACATCTCTCAGTAATATTCAGATAAATTAATACTACAAAAAGCTGCATTATGTAACGTTTCTAGTGGAGGGTACGTAAACACAGGGTGGCATTATCTGTCTCCATTAAGACAAGTATGTGTATATTTCTGAGGTATTTTTGAGCAATTAAAGGGCCCATATTACACTATTTTCTGATCTATGTTATAATGTTTCATCAAAAATAAATCTCCAGTTGTGTTTTGTTTCATTCACACATGTTTAACACACAAACCAATCCAATCCACAAATACAGAATAATAACAACAATATTAATATAATGATAAAATAAATGCTCAGATTTAATCATACTAGTCTTAAACCAATAAAACCAGTAAAATAAAATAAGCAAAACCTCAGAATAGCAGTAAATAAATAAATAAAACTAATAAAATAATTTTAAAATAAATAAAAGCAAATGAGGACCACACAACTCATGCGGTGCTAAAAGCCGGAGAATAAAAGTGGGTCTTAAGACGAGACTTAAAACACTCCACTGTGGGGGCGGTTTGGGCATGGTGAAGCAAAGTGTTCCAGAGCTTTCAGCCGGCCACAGAGAATTCCCAGTCCCCTTAGTTTTAAATCTCGTCTTAGGCGCCACAAAACAGAAAATATGTTCCACCTTGTGATGTCAGGAGGTAATACAAGAAGTGCTGCACTGTGTTTTTAAACCATACATGCTCACTCACTAGAATCATTTGGATGATTTCAGGTCTGGAATTGCAGGTCTCTACTGAACTAAAGGTAAAAAGGTAGCTGTTAACTTGAAAACTACCACTTCATGACATCACAAGGTGGAACTGAGGAATTTGAGCTTTAGACAAACTAATTAACCAGGATTACTCAGACATGTGTGAATGAAACAAAACACAACTCCAGTTATGTTTTTGAGGAGGTAACAACATTATAACATGGCTAAAATTTGTGTAATAAAGGACCCTTTACAAAAACAAAATTTCTGCAGTGTCCCTTAAATTTGAGAAAAACAAACCAATATATGGCACGCTATTTTCTGAGTTGAAGTTGAGTAACAATGCAAATCCAAAATCTCTTTCATCTTTCAGATTTGAGTGAGACGGCCATCACAGTGTTTTCAGTCTTGGGACTCTTCTCATCTCAAGCCACTGCGTCTCTGTGCATCCTCTTCACCGCAGAGATCATGCCCACCATCATCAGGTAAAACTAACCAGCTTCACTAAAACTAAAAACTAAAACTAAGTCAACTTCTCCACAGACTATTATAAGAACAATGTTACTAAATGACTTATATATAAACATCTTTCTCCACCCCAGTAATGAACAATGAAAGATTAACCACAGTGTACAAATGAAACAAGAACATTAAAACCCACTGAATGTATTAGTAATGAACAGAAGTGAGTTTATGCAGAACTCAGTGCTCCCACTCTCCACCTCCACACAGCACTCTCAAAACTGGGTTAGCCATTATAAAACAGAAAAATGGTTTATCACTCATGAAGCTGTAACTAGTGGGATGAAGCAAGTTTAGTTCAGTTGATGATTACTGTTTTTATCATTAGACTATCTGAAATTATAATTTTTTCCACTACAAGGATACAAATTACCTTGAAGCGCTTTGATCCAATGAGTAAAAAACCCATAGATAATCTATAACAATAACAGACTGCATCCCATGTATTATTCAAGCATAAAAAATGAACTACTTTGGTACAATTTGCTGTTAAACTATATTATGTATATTGATATGTTTGTGCTTAAAGGGACAGTCTGGAATTTTGGACATAGGACCTCATTTCCTAGTTAGCCAGAGTGTTGGAGATGTGTGCAGACACTTTGTTAAATTTTCCATCCAGTCCTTGTAGTTGTAGAGGTGACTGGTGCTAGGCTAGTGCATGTCAATGGCCATAGTTAGCCTGCCACTAAAAACAGTCTTGCCGGGGAAGGAATATTTTAAAAACACTCTGGCTCACTAGGAAATGCGGCCTCATGTTCAAAATTCTGAATTGTTCCTTTAAAAATATTAGAAAATTTATTTTTTTTTTCTTACAAGTAACGAATTTTAGTTATGACCATAGACTGTGTTAAGAAGTGGCCCCATAGTATTCACCTCCAGTCAAATGAAACTCACGAGAACAGTTATAGGGGCAAATTTGAAGATGAAATCCATATTTACGGACAAAATTGCGAAATAAAAACACCAGGATCATGTAGAGTGGGTTAATGTGAACCTGACAGCTGCAGTTAGGGAGAGAGAGAGGGGCGACGTTTTCTCAACACAAAGTGAATTGGAGCCAGACTCGATGGAGCCGTAAGCTTGCCCATGGTCACTTCATATTTTAATGGACTTTACATTGACCTGACAGCTGCAAGCTCTCTGGTGTAATAATTTATTAACATTAAAATCTTGGCTGATGTTTGAGAAATTAATAGCGCTCTGCTTAATTATTCATGTGGGTATAAAACAATCCCTTGTGCTGTCTGGACACTGGGTCAGAGCCTCTCGTGTGGGCTGCTGTAATTAGCGCCTACTAAAACTGTGCTATTGTATAATGAAATATGTGTGTGTGTAACTGGTACAATACATTACATAACAGAAACACATCTAAAACACAAATATAGATATAACGATTTGTTTTAGATCCAAAATACACATGGTTTTCGAAAGTAGAGTTGTAATGCATTTTTCATGTGCTTAAATCAATTTTCTTTTCAAGCATGCTAGTTTTTTGGAGTTTTTTTTTAGCATTAAGCGTGACTCAAAACTCCTCTCTAGCCTCTGAAAGTTGTGAAACAGTAATTAATTAGGATGCTAGTAATGTGTTAGGAAAAGTGTTTGATTTGCAATAAAATTAACAAATTCTTTTTTTTCACACAATTTTAATTAGGTACAGCGCCTTTAATATATAATTAAAGTTTTTGATACTATATGACTTTAAACATGCTGTGTGCTCTGAAATCCTGTGCAGGGGCAGTGGTGTGGGTGCAGTTCTCGCCCTGGGCTGCGTGGGGCGCCTCAGCTCTCCTCTCATGGACTTAAGGAACCACTACGGCTACTTCCTGCACCACGTGGTCTACTCCTCCCTCGCTCTTTTGGCCGTTCTGTCCATTCTGCTGCTGCCCGAGAGCAAAAGGAAGCCCCTGCCCCAAACGCTCGCCGACGGAGAGCAGTACCGGCGCCCCCCACTGGGGCGGAGGAGACGGGACAATGTGCCTCTACTGGCCACGCCCAACCCAGAGACCTAAACACACACACGACTGTCGCGTTCACAGGATCGATTAGGCAATATAAGACTAATATTACAAAAAAGGGATGACGAGAAAAGGGCTTAACAGACATGAAGCTTCCTAACATTGTCATATCCTGCCACACTGACCCCCCTCCGTATGACCTTTTGACCTTTGACCTTCACAAATGGGGCATCATTGATAACAGACAGCTTGTATTTCCTCGTCACCAGCATTCATCATGATTCACCAACGTCCCAGATCATTTTCTAGAGTCTGCTGCCTACCACATCTGAGAAACTACGCACTTGAACCAGTCAGGCATAACATTGTGAATCAGTTTATTTATTTCGTATTAGTCGATGACCAAAGAGGTGTTACTTGGATTGCACAGATTGCTTTTAATTATAGCGCTTGATAGTGGCTTGGAAAATACGACATAGCAAAGGGAATTTTTTATCATGCAAAGTTGAAAAATGTGTTGGAAGATTTTGATGAACAGCGACGCATGAAACCTTTGTTTTCTCAATATAGAAGCTACTCTTGCTGAAAAAGTTACTGCTGATTTTGAATTCTTATAAATATGCATTATAATAAGAAGATGAAATTTTCACTCTGTTTTCTATTGGGAATATTGTGACACTTAAAGGTGCACCACAGTATGTAACTTTTCTGGTAGAGGGTCCTGGAAAGATCTACAGTATGGCATTTAATTTAGCTATCTCCATGGAGACGAATCGGCTGCATCACCAATCCAAGTTAGTGGCCAGATCTGTGGAGAAGTGGGCCCGCTCAGAGTAAGAGTGCATGTTTTTGCGGTACTTTTGAGAAATAAAAACACCTGGAAATGAATAAATACAAGATACACTGTATGTGTTTAATGCTGTGCTGTAGAACATTCCAGACAAAGCAATGACATCACCTTGAGACAAGCAAATGGTGGACCCTCCACTAGAAAAGTTACACAGTGCACCTTTACACCCTTATTTCGACCCTCAATTTTGCGATAGTGTTACTTATTCCCTTTGTGTAGACTTTAAGCAGTCCTTTTTGAATAGTATGGCAGTTTTATATGATTTTATACGCTGGTACAAGTTTTTTATACAGACATGTTAATCAGCTCGGAGAATGAACATTACAGTATCAGGGGCAACCATAGTCTCCTCTATTATGGGAGTGGTCACAATGTTATGCCTGATTATTTGTGTACGTCCCTGTGTTTGTTAGGTCTTCATGTGTTACTATGGAGCATATGGACAGGCTGTGCCACTGTCCACTGATGAAGATGTGGGTCTGTTTGCCTTGTAAATACACTCTAGTCTCTTTAACTTGATGTGGGATACAGGGGGAGTGGGGTCATGCACTTTGAGTCAGTTTTTCTTAACATTGTGACAAACTTTGGCCCAAGTCTTTAGAGGCAAGTAGCTAAACAAACACTACCGGACAACACTTAATATTAACTTAAAACACTACAAAAAATTATATTGTTACTAAATCTGGCCTGGAGTCAGTGATCTCTAATATTTATTGTATTATATTAGTCAGATATGACAGACAAATGGCTAAAATAATAGAAAGCCTGGGGATATTAAAGCAGAAGTAAGTTATATTTTGTTGACATTGGGCTGAAGTTGAACTTTGCTTTTAAATAGACTTTGCTGTACTTTAAGTTTTTGTTAGAAATGTTTCGACAAAAGCAAAGGCATTTATATAATAATGGGAATCTCTTCTTTTTATAGTTTATTCTGATCATGAGTTTGAATTGTAAAGTTCTTTTTGTTCTATTTTTTTCTGTAAACGATTGCCTTTTAAACATGCTTTCTTTGCTTGTAGATTTTGTTTATGTGGCTCAAAACATCTGTAATGAAGCATTGCCTTTCTTTAACTCTTTACTAAATTATTAATAACTTCATTTCCAGTTTGGGCATTCACTTTATATTCTTAGTTCTTAGGGATGCACCGATCCTGCTTTTTCAGTTTCGATACCAATTTTGATTCTATAAGTATCTGCCAGTACCAGAAATCAAGCAATGTCAGTGCGTAGACTAAAAATAGCATTTATTTCCATTAAACTAAATAAAATAAGACAGAACTGATCCAAATGTGTTATGTAGCTGATATTTATCTCTCAAGGAACTACAGAATAACTTAAATAACTTGTAACATATGAATAAAAGTTGAAACATTGTGAGACTTTCTTTTACCTCAACTGAACCGATATTTGGAATTTCGATATCTGATCCAGCTAAATTTTCAGTATCTATGATCATACCCAGTACCAGTATTAGATCGGTGCATCTTTAACTCAATCTAATCTTGTGCTTTAGAGTTATGTTGCTAACTAACAGACCAACTTAAATTGTAGTCTTTCTAAATAGGCTGTAGTCGTTAGCACATAGGCTGTATTCTTCTTTTATGGTGATTGCTCGTATTAGGATCTGTTTGTTTTAGCTGGAATATTCTCCTTTCGTATTAATTTATTTCTACTACAATGAGACTTACTTCTCCTTTAAAGCAGCCCATGTTACAGTAACGGTATTGAGTGAATTATGGAGTTTAGCCTTTTCACGTGTCTGTGTTTAAACTGGTCTCTTGTCTCTTACATTCCTGTCTGCATGAAGCACTCAAAGGGCTTGTCTAATGTCTATGTATTTCTCAGATGCTTCTAGTATCTTATTACCTCTTTAGACTCTTCTCTTTTTAGCAGGACAAACAATTTATGGCAGAAGTAGTGACGATAGCTCTTGTATTTTCAGGTTTTGAACAATTTAATGATGTCACTTCCTGTTGTTGTTGTTGTTGTTGTTTTTTTGTTTAATTTTGTACCAGAGGATGGCCCGGTGATAAGGTGCCGCTGTTGGACATGGCAGCTCAAGAGGGCCATAGGAGTCATTATAACTTTACCACACAATGTCAGTCTTCAATGTTATTACTGTACAAGTCCTAGATTTGAATTTGCTCAGGCTGTTATTATTGTTATAGTTATTATATTATAAACGCTGTGTCATTTTTGTTGGGATTAGACAGTGCTGTGCAAAGGTTTAGATTTCATACTGAAAGCAGGTACAAACTGTACACTGCGGAGAAGATCTAACCTAAAGGTACATTGTGTAACTTTTATAGTGGATGGCACGCAGCCTGCTTGACTCCATGTAGATGTTATTGCTTTTCCGAGAATGTTCCACAGTTTGGCATTAAAATTATTTATCTCCATGGAGACAATCATGCGACAAACAGTGGCAGACTCCAACCAGAAAACTTACATAGTGCATCTTTAATAGACTTATATATAACAGTTATTGTGTAGTGATCATAGTTTACTGATTACTTGTTGCAGCCTTATTGATACTTTGCATTGACATCGTGCTGTGGGTGACCAGAATGTCAAAAAAATAATAATAATAATGAATAAAACTGGGACACCCTTAGTTTGTGGTGGTTGGTAATAATAAAATTGTGAATCCAGGGCATAATTAAGGAAAATAGTTTTGTACTTGGCCCATTCACGACTAACATGAATCAGTATAGTCACATTTTCTTAGTTTTTTTGGTCATTTTTAAGCAGCTTTTCTATATTTACCTAAACAAATGCCTCTCTTTACTGTTGGCAGGTATAAGATTGGTCAAAAATAGAGTCACCTGGGGCAATTCTTGTATACAAATCACTGGTTTTGGATAAATCTGCTGGGACAGGGGACTCAAAACTGGGACTATCCTGAGTAAATAGGGACGTCTGGTCACCCTAATCATGCTATGGGTGTTCTACATGTAGCTCAATGGTGGAATTTTCAGCTGTTATCATAGTGACACAATGCACACATTAGCAAAAACTGACAAAAAAGATTTAAGATCATTTGAAAACTCTAGAAAAACTGTTGGCAATGAGAGATTGTGACTATAATTTTATGTGCAAGAGATTTTTTTATTTTTATTTTTTTTTTTTGCAGCACAAATCAAATCGCATGTTGTAGTTAGTAGTAGCAAGTAAATCAACACTTTCTTGTCAGATTATGCTAAAATGAAGCTCAGATTAAAGTCTAACAAGCCTCAGACAGAGCAGTGCTTACAGTTAGCATCACACCCGAGGATTGTTGATGGTATGAGCTGCAAAGTGTCAATAATCTGAAACATTTCTTTTACTTAGTTGCTGTGGTTAATGCTTATCAACATGGTACAGAATCCCTTTAAATATTCCTTAATTTGAATCGTCATCTCACCAAGTTACTATCGTTACTTTATTCAACTTTATACTTGTCAGTTTTCACCAGCATTTTCCACACTTCACCAAAACCTTTGCAGAGTGCTGTGTTTAGATTGGACAGTGAAATTATGTCTGTTTGACCTGATAACTTCTTCCTTCAGACTTAGGTATTTTTTAATTTTGTGTATGTTGCACTTGGAAACTCTTATACTCAGAAAACTACTATCACTACTTTTACTGAGGTATCTGACAACACTGACGTCTGTTTAATGAGTGAGCAACACTATAGCCTGATTTACTGTACAATAAAACTGATTCAACAGACTGGCTTTTCAGATTAAATGTGTTTATTTGATTTTGTTGTGTCTATAATAATCCGACAATTAAAAACATTATTAGTTCTCTGGCATGAGAATCTTGTTAGTACGCTTTAATCTGTGTAATTAAAGATAACTACTGGGTGGTAATGTTTTAATTTGGTTTTGTAACGCCAAAGGACGAATGCTGTTACATAAAGTGACCACTAGATGGAGACATTGTAGCGACGCGTTTATCACGGTTTAGTGGCGAATACTTCAGATGCTGTAACACTGCAGTGAAAAGTGCCAGAGGTCCTGAGTAAACAAACTTGAATGTCACTGTAAAATTATACCACTTGAACACAGATGTTAAAACAGCTTGTATTGTTAAGAGACACAGGCTTTATGGGACGGCTGTCATCTGCCTACATTTGGTATTGGTGGTTTTCTAGACTGTAAAGATCAAAGGGATGTCAAAAGTATCGAAAATCAGATACTTATATATAAAAAATAAATAAATAAATAAATAAAAAATAAATCAAACTAGATACTCATCAGGCTTCGATATTTATATAAAAAAATATAATAAAAATCACATAAACAGAACAAAATGTGAGGTTTCCTAGATAGTTTTAGTTTCACTTTGAGCTTCATCAGAACTTCTAGTAAATGAGATCAAGGCAAGAAAAAGAAAGTATTATTTTGGTTATGAAAATGACATTGTATTTCTAAAATAGGAGCACGTTTGTGATATCATAATTGATATTGAGTATTGAGTCAATTCATTAGTATCAAAATCAGATTTGAAATTTGAGTATCGCAACACACTAGTCATACATATTCCCAAACAGCGAGCAAGCACCATTTTCCTTATTTAGTACATGCAAATTCATAACAAATATCCAAAGGGAAAATCCACAAATGTTGAATCTGATCAGTTCTGTTAATAAAAATATCCTTGAACCTGCTACTTGACCAAAAATCTTCATTTTACTAACTTGACCTTTACTTGCTCTGCCCGTCACCGGTGGCCTAAACATAATACGTGTTTGATAATAGACCATTAGTCCAGAATACAGTTGACGTGAATATCCATGGATTTCAGAGTGATGTATCTAACAATGTTGCCATAGCGATTAGCAATTCAAAATATTACGTCTTTTAAACTGACAAAAGGCCTATAAGCAGGAAGCTAAAAGCCATGAATAGGCCCATAGAATGTCGTGATGTCATTGGAAAACCATACATTTATATCTGTCAAACTAAACAAAAGCAGTCTAGTCCACAAAATGAATGGTCATTTACTACAATGAGTTTAGATTTTTTAAACTTGAACTTGTTTTTCTGTTTGTTCTGCTCAGTGGCCTTGAGGTTAGGTTGCAACGCATCACTATTTTCTGATCTGTTTTATATTTATTTTATAGTTTTGCTCATCACAAACATACCTGGAGTTGTGTTTTGTTTCATTCACACATGTTTAACACAAACCCTGCAGATTTAGACTGAGTTCTTCTCTCAAACAGAAAACACTCTGTTCTACCTTGTGATGCCATGTTGTAAAACAGGATGTGCTCCACTGTGTTTTAAAACTCAAGGCGTGTTTTTGAGGAGGTAACAACATTATAACGTGACTAAAAGCTCACAAGAGTTGATTTTGCATAATATATGACCTTTAATGTCTCTCTCTCCCTCCTTTCACTTCTTGCGCACAGCCCTGCCCAACACAGCTTTCCAAAATAGCTTTAAACCTCATAATTACAAACCATCTGTGAAATAACTTACCTGGAGTATATTATTTAGGCTACATATGTTTTCCTCTGTTTTTTCCAGTCTAGACCAGTCCCTCCTAGAGTGAAGACAATGCGTATTATGAAAAACTTAGCAACACCCTTAGCAACCCAGTGAATCTGACAAAGGCACTCTAAATATGAGGCGTGGAGTTAGGCGCAGGTCACAGTCTCCACTCCGTCGGACGTTAACTGCCTATAGGAGCTTGCCGTGGAGCTGCCCTTTTGACCTTTAGTTGTTGAGGTTGCAATTTAACCCCTGTAAAGTGAGCTGTGAGATTTATGGTGCAGAGAAGGACACAGGAAGAAAGACAAAGAGAAAAGCAATAGGCTATTCATTTGTTCTATCTATATTTGACTGTTTTATGTGGCCTCCAGGTTGCTATAGGTGTGAAAGTTGTGATAAAAGTCGAGATAAGTGAATTCTAGCAACTTTTAAAGCCAACAAAGCAAAGTAATAATTCAGTTTACATAATATCTTCAAAAGTCAGAATTAAAGGCCAAATTTCAAACTATTTAAGATGAAAAGAAAGCATGTTTTGAACATAACCTACATACTTTAGCTTTGAGTAAATATTTCACAAGAGTATGGGGAGTATTTCTGTTGCACTTCTCTAAGCATTTTTGACCTAAATGGGCAGCCATGCAGGCGCTGCTCTTAACCATTAACTGTTGACATGTTAATTACAAGTACAGTGTGTGGTCCTATTACATGAAAGTACAAATATGCCTTTTTTTTTGTTTTTTGTTTTGCGTGTGTTTTGTTTTGGATATCAGTGCAGAGAATCAATGAAATAGGTGAATTTAAAGGTGCAATATGTATGTTTGTCTCCATGGCAATATAATAAATCAGAACTGTGGAATTTTCTAGGCAAATAAATAACACCTCTAATGAGTCCCTTCACCAGAAAAGTTACACAGTGCACCACACAATGACCAGATCCTGATCATTTAGGATTTTTAAAAGTTGCAGTATAAAGTAATTGAACCAAAAAACAAAAGTTAGAAATCTGTTGTATCTTGTAACATTTTATTTTATTTTATTTAAATTTCTTTTCTCAAATCTGTTGGACAAGAAATCATTCTCAGTTCACCACTGCACTATATTAGACAAATACAACTTGCTTAATTTTAATAATTTAGTTCATTTTAAAAATGAATGTTTTATATATAAAGTTCTGTATGGAGGATTTTATTAAAACAAAGACTGTCAGTGGGATGGGAACTAGGGCCATAGCCCATGGAAACTGTGAGGTCACAGTTCCCTGTCACTGTGAGGTGACATTTGGACAAAGTGTGTCTCAGTCAGAGTCACTAAGTTCTCAAATAGTCTCCCATTATCAGTAAGAGAGACTCCAACACTGACCACTTTCAAATCACATTTGAAAAAGTGGCTAAAGGAAAACAAGACTCATGGACACTTTTAGTGTTTAACTGTCACTTGTTTTGTCACTTATTATTTTTGCTGTTAAATTTGTGGTGTCACCTGCCTAGACAGACAGATGGAAATTAGCATTTTTGCTATAATCTGTCATATTTACACTGCAGTGTTGTAAATGTTCATTAATACGCACTGTCCCTAATGAATAAATAAATAAATAAAATTAAACAATACTCCTACTTTGACCAGTTGTCTTTATACAAAAAACCTGTAACAGAAGCATCTGACACCAACAACAGCAGTGGGAGAGGAACACAACCCAAGATGGTTCTGAACATACTGCTCCACTGGCCCCATTAAACCCGCTATTTTATTTCATTTTCATCGTTGACCTTTCTGCAAACAATTTCTGCAACCCAAGAAGGAATCTCCAGTTACAATAGAAAGTATGTGAGTGTACAAAAGGCCCTGGCCCGGTCAGAGGATGTACTGATACTGATAACACTAAACTGATACAAGATCTACAGAAGATTAGACTCATGCTTTCTTATGTAACTGTGATTTACGATAATATGATCTCACTTTGTCAAGAGATGCAACATTTTAAGACACTGAGAGAGTTCACACATTAGTTAGACCTATAAGTTTGATTTAAGGTCGCATCCTCTCACGCTGTAGACTTTTATCATTAATGTGTGACTCTTGGAGGGTCCAGAGGCAACGTGAGGTCATTTAAGGTCACATTACATTACATTACAATAAAGGTGCATTATGTAACTCTATGCTTGTCTTCATGGAGATCTTCAGAAAAAACAAAAATGTGTGAGAACAGGTAGAGGGTGCTCTTGAAAAACAGATTTTTATTTTTTTTTTAGACAAAAGGAAACCCAGGCAGTCCATAAAAGTAAAAGTTGCACAAGGAAGTATAGTTAAAAGGCCTTTACTTAATGTAGATGTTATTGCTTTGTCTCCATGTTCCTGAGTATGGCATTAAACCATCTCTATGGAAACAAGCAGGTGATGCCTCAGTTACAAGAAGGTTAAGTTACAGGTCAGATCTGTGGAAAGGTGTCAAAGCTCATAAGGTTTTTGAAGGTGTTTTTGAGTCCTAAAAACACTTGTAATTGAATAAAAAAGAAGCTAGACAGTTACATACCAGACAAAGCAATAACACCCCATTACAGACTAGCAGGTGGCAGACCCTTCACTAAAAAAGTTACATAATGTGTCTTTAACTAGACTCTGGAAAAAATGGGTTGCGGTTGTGCACAAAATAATGAAAGATTTGATTCTTGAGCAATCTGCCACCCAAGAAGAATAACAATTTTATGATTTATTATTACCACTACAACTGTAAATTTAATTCCAGGAGTGAACATTAAAGTCAATGAAAACATAATGCCCTTTGCTTATGCTTTGGGGTAACAAGTGTCAAGTTAACACTAAACATCCCCGTGTAAGCTCACAGCACCCAGAGGCACTGAATGAAGTAGTCTACAGTGTCTTATGTCTGGGCTTGACTGTCCAATGTGCTTTGAAGTTTCAGGAAAAAAGAGACTCAATGAAAAAGACACATGTCAGAGCCTGAACTGCTTCAATTCACAGTGCTCAGGTGAGCTTTCTCATTCTTTCCAAGATTATTTATATTATACTGCATGTTTGGATACTCATAGTCTTTTCCAAACTGAAGCCTTATAGGGCCAATGTGTCTGGAGCTTTTTGCATTTCTTAAAGTTTAGCATTCATCTTTGCTTTGGCTGCATGATACAAAATATTAATACACATTCCACTTGTCTAAACTATGCCAAATGTATTTATTTATTTAAAGGTCCTATATTACACAAAAATTGACAGTTTTGTTTCATTCACACCTGTTTGAGTAATCCTTTATTATTAAGCTCAAAATGCTCTGTTCCATGAAGCGGTAGTTTTCAAGTTAGCAGCTATATTTTACCTTTTGTGTGGTAGAAATTGGCAATTCCAGGGCTGAAATTATCCAAATGATTCCAGTGAAGGTGTGTAGAGTTATTATAGGGTCTCAGTTGCTTAGTTTTTGTCAGTGTTTGTCCATTGATCTGAAGGTTGATGGTTAAAATCACACTCTGAACATGAACATCAAGACACTTAACCCTCCTTGCCCTCTTGTGTCTGTGTATGGATATGTATTTTTGAATGGGTGAGTAGTTCAGATTTTGGAGCACTGATTAAAAGTATACTAGTGAAAGCCTTTTTTCCTTTCCTTTTTTTTTTTTTTTTTTTTTTTACATAACAGACAAAACACAATTGAAAGTTGAAATTCGACGAAGGTTACCACATTCTTTCCCAGGAGTATGAGTAGGACCATAACAGACATAACAATCCTGTCCTGCTCTGGGCCACATGACGCCACCTGCCCCACTGCCCCCTCCTAATGCCCCCTCTCCACCTGCCCCCTCCTCCAGGGAAAAGCCGGGCTATTGTTTGGGGAAAGGTGATACTTGGTTCATGTGAAATAAGCGTTTGTACTGTAAACCTCATCGAGCACAACAGACAGGATCATGACAGGAACAGGATTTGTGCCTCAGCCTCAGCGTCTCTGATCATGTTACGCGTTACACAAACAGAGCCTGGTGTTGAAATACATACATTTTCACTGTCATTACAAAAGCTCTGAGTAGTGGTTTGCATAATGTATAAAACAAAAGCAAAAAAAAAAAAGCCCAATTATCCATGGGTTTTACAATTCATGAGAAAATAAAACCATTGACACAATGAATAATAATTCAGAGGGTTTATATGACACTGATCTTTGTTGTAATAATGCTTTTTTCTCGCCAAAAATGTTTCTGCAGTTGGATTGTTTCTTCAGACATGTTTAACACTCAGTTAAGTTCTTGTTTTCTCTTCTCTTCTTCTTCTCAGAAAACACTTTGCGATGTCATGCGGTGTCAGTCACTGTTGTGTGCCGGTGAAAAGATTAAAGTGAAGTTTAACAGGAGAACTGGTCAGGGTTAGCCTGATTCATCAGCCGATTTCACTTTGTGGAAACTGTCTGACCTCGCAGCATTATGATTTATATCCTCAATCCTCAAGAGAACTATGGCTTTGTCTACATCCATCTCGACTGCTTTGTTTACTGTTGTTCTGTACCACAAAAGGGACTCAGTGATGGCTTCACAGCTCTTCGCTGATTGGCCGGCGTGCGGTCTACAACTTCGGGGTTCTTGCAAACCGTCTAGTGTATTCCAATTCCTGACCTAGTTGCTGGAGAGAAATGAAATTGAGTGGAGGCACTAGGTGGCGTCAGCTTGGCTAGGTCAGGGCAGCTTGAGGAGAGGAAGAGCCAAAAGTGTCCCTCCTTTGTGTCCTGCAGCATCACCATGGTTGCTCATAAAGACAAAAACAAAAAAAAAGATAAAAACATCACTTATAAGTTGAACAGTTGGCAGACATAAAGCCTACATCTGTGTAAAAATTCTAGCCATCTCACTACTGCCAATAAATAAAAAACTACACATTGTTTTCTGTATGTTTTTGTCTCATCTGAATGGGAAACGGCAGACTTCCCAGCACTCTGAGCCATGCACCATGACACATAATGGAAATACAAAGTGGTGTCTCCACTCTGTTGAAGTCATGGTTTATTTCACTCCCTCAGTCCACTGTCTGTGTGAATGTCCCTGTGAACGTCTCCAGTGCATATTTTCTCTAACCATCCGCCCATAATGAATACTTTATCTAACTACTGCCACAACACTTCACCTGTCTCTCAAACAAAGGCCCCACCCATGACAATAATGTTTAAATGAGCTCCACCTTCAGAGATGATGAGAAGAAGACGACAGTGTTGCGATTCACGTGGTCAATTTAACCCCAGGCTTCTATAATTGTGATTGCGATATTAATATGCCTTTTAAAATACCTTTCACTTGTTACGTAGTTTGTTAATAAGTTTTTTGTGCAAAGTCATTTAGAGATGCCATCCTTGTATTGAATGATTGTTTGGTGTGTCTAGTAACGCCCTACATAAGATTCAATTTCAGAGTTCAAAGTACAGCGATCCAGGACTATAAAATTTTATTGACAGGGGAAAGTATACAGCAGAAACAGGAGAGCTCTATTCTGCAAATAGCTATAAGTCTACTTAATCTGCTTTTACTTTGCAGTGACATCACGCTGGGGGAGTCCTATCTTTATGGTGGGATGTTCAGCAGTTACCATGGAGACACAATACACACATTAGCAAACACTGATAAAGAGTTTTAAGAAAACTTTGTCTGAAAACTGAATAAAAAGTACAAACTGACATTTTCAGGAGCCTCAGCGAGCGTTCTTGGTTTTGTTTAGGTGTTTGATTTTCAACAAAAAGGTGAGAGTAACTAAAAAAAAAAACTAAAAAAAAACTGTGAGAAACTTGTTTAACAGCACAAACCATCTCACCTCATGTAGTTCCAAGTAAACTGGCTCTTTCTGTTCACATTGTGATCTAAATGCTCTCCATTATATTATTACATTCACTGTATTATGGAACTGGACAATTTAAAGGTATGCTTGTGCTAAGGCATGTTTTCTGTGAAAGGGTCCACTATCTGCCCATGTCTATTAAAGATGCACTGTGTAACTTTTCTGGTGGAGGGGTCACCTTACTACCTGTCTCCATGGAGATGTTATTGCTTTGCCTGGAATGTGCCACAATATGGTAGTAGACTTGGCCATTTCCATAAAACCAAGCATGTGACACCACCAAGCACCAAGTTACGGGCCTGATCTATGGAGAGGCAGCCAGGCTGGCGCCACTTAGTGTCTCCACTCAATTTAATTTCTCTCCAGCAACTAGGTCAGGAATCAGAATTCACTAGACGGTTCACAAAAACCCTGGAAGTGTGAGTTCAGGCACTGGCCAATCAGCGAAGAGCCATACATTTTATGTTGCCAGCGATTCCCGAGATTGAGGATTTAAAGCCGGAACAAAGAGAATGTTTGGTAAATTTTATCAAGGGGAAAGACGTTATTGCCTTTCTTCCTGCGTGATTTGGGAAAAGCTTAATCTACCAGTTATCTCCGTTAGCGGTGCATTACGTGCGTCATGATCAAATAAAGAAAGTACCCGCCTACCGTCAAGCGAACAAAATCTGAAGCTGCAAGGTCAGACGGTTTCTACAAAGTGAAAATGGCTGATGAATCAGGCTAATGGAGAAGTGACCCCCACAGTAAGAATGCATTCAAGATAATTTTGAGCAATTAAAACTACTTTAATGAATGAATACAAAATGAATATGTTTAATGGTGTACTGTGGAACATTCTAGGCAAAGCAATAATGCCTCAGGTGTGCGTGTTTGCATAAAAATGGATAGAATAGGACTGCAATTATTTTAGACTGATATAATTTTTCTGGAGTTATGGTCATATCAGATAAGAGGGTTTTATAACTGTCAGGTCACATACCTCACACAGATAGTGCACTGAATTACACTGTATACTGCTCTATTAAGGAGGGCAATAGGGAAACACTCAGTTTTTATATTGTGTAACTGATATGATTACTGGGGGTTTTCAGGTTGTAGAATGTGATCTTGCCATACTCCCAGATAAGGGACAGAGGCATTTTTTTTTCCTATTTCCTGTTTTTCTTTCCCATGAAAAATCCAAAAAGTAAATACACAAACGCAAGTTTATAAGGGTCTAGACCCAAGAAGTCACCTGCTTTTTGACGTTTTAGCTGCCCCCGTCTGCATAAAATATGATTGTCCTACAGAATGATGTGATTTATTTAGTATAATACCAAATCCAGATATTTCATATCTTTGCTCCATCTCTTTCAGTTTATTGTATTGACTTTAATAAACAAAGTGTCGCTACTGATACTTTGCATCTGATGTCCATGGGAGTGTGAGGCTAACTTAAGGAACTACACTGTTAGACTTTAATCTGATCTTTATTTAACACAAACGAACCAGAAAAAGTCAACTACAACAGGTAAGATGATTTGCACGGTTAAAAAGTCTCTTGCACATAAAATTACAGTCACAAGTTAGTGAGCATTAGCCAAGTTTTTCAGTTAGCTACTCTCATCTTTTAGTTGAAAATCAAACACCCAAAGAGGAACATGAATGCTCATAGATCACAGGCTATCTTTTAACTTTTTTTTGTCAGTGTTTGTTAATGTGGTTTTTCATTGTGTCTTCACACTCCACCATAGAGATACATGTAGAACACCCCAGCATGATGCCACTGCAAAGTATCAATAATGTAACTCGGATACTTAGTGCTGGCCTAACTTCTCTTGAACTAATGTTAAAGCATATATACACTGTTGAAAGGGTTCAAATTTATGATACGTTTTAATCAAATAACTGACATTTGCTATTGGAAATTCCTGCAGAAACACTTTAAAAAGATCCTTTTTGGCTGTTGGAAATAGCCTTAGGTTGTGTGTAACTGTTACCTAATGCTTATGCAATACATGTCTCTTTTGATTGATGAGATAATAATATAAAACAAACAAAAAAAGATGGATTTTGACAAAACGTTTATTTATAAAACAGATATATTAAGACTTAAGAATCTCTCTGTGCAAATAGTTAGTCAGCAAAAGATCAAAACCTGTACAGAGCAATTTAAACATTCTCATTTAAACATGTTTTAAATCTATTATATAAATACAACTATATTATTATTATTATTATTATTATTATTATTATTATTATTATTATCCCTTGCTCAAAATCAACATTCTGCCTGTTTAAATGGTGGTCATCAATTCAGCTTATGCATTTTAAAAACATTCAATCTTCAAACACAAAGTACATTCAAACTGTAAATTAGCACAATGCCTCAGTAGCAGATGCACACATCACACACACACATTTATATTTAGCGCCATTTTCAGCTTAATCTTACAACAGTTTCATCATTAAAATATATTCTCTCACAACAACCATGCAAATCTATGTAGAACAGTGAGCGTATTGGCTAAGCCTAGATCAACTTTGTACACCCCACCATACGAAACCAACCAGCAGTACTGTGCAAAAGTGTTAGGGAGCTATGAATACAGTTACATACTGTAAGTGTGTATAGAAAGTGTAAAAAAGCAATTGTTCAAATGCTATTTTTGCTATAAATTATTATATTTATCTTTAAGAGACCAAAACAAACTTCACTAAAGGTTCATTATGTAAGTTTGTTGGAGGGTCCACTCCTGTCTTTTCTTTATGGAGACATTATTGCTTTGAAATATGCATCTCTAATCAGGTGGCACCACCAACTTACAGGTCAGATCTGTGGAGAGGGGACCCCGCTCACAGTAAAAATGCAGGTTATTTGAACAATAAAAAAATTCCAGGTAATTCAATAAGATAAGACAAGCAGGTGGTGAACCCTCCATCAAAAAAGTTACACAGTACATCTTTTTTATACTAGATTTTTATACTAGGTTGAAAAGACTTGTGCACAGTACATGGCCCTATTTAATGTCTCAAAGACAACAGTAACCCACACTTTAAACAACAAAATTAACATCTTTGACATTCTTTACAAATTAACTTGATGCATTGCTCAAATGTCCCTCTCCTCTCATCCAAAATCACAGAGACTTTCAAATACAACTATTTTACAATTCTGTCTCCTTTTCTTCATCTTCACCTGTTTCTAAATAGTATTCATCGTCTGTGGTAGTGTCTGAGCTGCTGTCAGAGGACTCTTCAAAGGTGCTGAGGCTGGACATGTACCCCCGGGAGGGTCGATGTCCTCTGGGAGACAGGTTGTCTTGTGGTGGGTCAGATTGTCCAGGGAAAGAAGGGGGAGAGAGACTTGGTGGTTTGGACATGCGTGGCATTATGGGGGACAGGGGAGGAGTTGGAGGAGGTGTGGGGGGTCCCTCTGTATCCCATGGAAAATCAACAGTATCCATGCCTTGTGCCCATGATGGATTTGAAGAAGACTGTCCCATACTCAGATATTGTGGGAAAGATCTCGGCAGTGACCTTGATCGGACTTTACCGTCACTTGGGTTACGTCCAGTTTGGGTATTTGCCTCATAGTCATATTGTCTGTTCCAGTTATCTGAATCGCTGGCTGTATGTCCGCATGAAAAAGGAGTACCTTTCGTCAAATCGCCAACACTCATGAACCTTGACCCCGTTGAGATCCGTCCGGGGCCAGAGGGGCGACTAGATGAAACCGAACTTACAGAGAAAGACCTCCCAGGCTCAATACCATGCTTTAAATCCGCATAAGAACTGGACATGCGCTCTTTATCAGTTACAGGTCCCACACTTGGAGGTCCTGTTGAGGCTTTGTTCCTTCTTGTCGCCACTAAACTTATCTCACCAAGTTCACAAGGCGAGGATGAAGAGTTTTGTCTTGGTGGTTTTGGGCTGTAGAAGACATTATCACTAAGGATCTCCGAAGGCGAAAACGGAGAAACAGGGGATAGAGAAGGGAAGGGGGAAAAGGGAGACCTCGGACTAGAGGGGGATTTTCTAAAACCATTTGATGAATTTGGGCTATATCCTGAATTGAGATCATTGGCAGACAAAAACTGGTTTTGTTTGAAATCAAAAGCGACGTGGTCTTGACTTGGGCTGTGTGTTTTCAAATGAGGTGAACTCCTTTTATCAGGTATCTCTTCATTGTCATCATTCATTGTCATCACTTCTTCAGTCCACACTGGAAACTGGTCCTCCACCTTGTTTTTCTCAACTGGCACTTGGACAAGAGTGTATCTACTATTTGCCCATCTATGCATGTCCTCCACACCTTTTTCATTATTATTTAGCTCCATTGTCATGTCCTCCTCTCGCTCTAGTGTTTTGTTACTTTCTACTGTAACATCACTTCTACTGCTATCACTAACCCCACTTAAAGATGGTGCCTGGGATGTCTTCTGACATTTTTTGGGTAAAGACTCCTCATCATTGTTTGGTCTTATTTGGCTGAAAGTCTGTTTGATTTTACTGATCATTTGGTCCATCTTGCTAGTTTTCTCTGAGTCAGACCTGGTCAAACTAGCATTGGGTGTACTTGAACTCTTCTTCAAACCCAAACGGCTTCTTTTTGGGCTTTGTTCGCTGTTCCCTTCGATTGAATAAAACTTGCTCTTACCAACCTCTTTTATTTTTCTTTTCGAGCTGTCATCATCAACGTTGTGGCTTTCTATGGAACTATTGGAGCTGAGATTTGACATATTGCCCTGTTCTTTCAATACCTCCTTTCTCTGCACTTTTTCGGGTAACTGCGTCTCCTTTGGAACTGGTATGTTAGGAGTGGTATTCTTCAGCCCTTCAGTAGGTCTATCTAATTTCCCCCTTAAGCTATAAACCAAAGTCTCAGTTACACATGAAGATATCCGTGGAGATCTCTCACCAGGCAGAGATTGAGAGATTTGGACTCTGTTATGAACGAGCTGAATTTGTCCATTAGCAAGAACCTCCCCAACAGGCTTTATGGAATTATTGTTGATTTGATCTAAGTTTAAGCCGTTTAAACAGTTTTTCAAGTCTATTTGCACTGGTCGCAGAGACAGTGGCCCACTTGTCAACAGAGGATTCTTAACTGTTGCAGGAGTTGAATTTGCAGTAGCAGCAGAGGTATTTAGAAGATTAGTTTGAGTGGATTGGCGTGGAAAAAGTGGTGAACGTGGTGGCTTGGTTTTAGTTTCCAGTTTGGATGTTCTACTTGACACAAGAGTAGAGTAGGGAGGGGAACTATAGCGGTTCTTATAACCATTGGAAAAATCAGGGGGTAGTGACAGAGCGGCAGAGGAGCGATATTGAGCAGTAGCTGATTCTGCCGATAGTGTCCTCTCTTGTCTCGGCAAGTTCAAACCGTGGTTTTTATGATCAAAAGTTTCAGCTGACAGTTGTTTGTACATTTCTCTTGATTTCAACTCCGCAGAATCAGATGACAGAGACCTATACTTTGTCCCCACACCTACTTGAATACTTGAAGACTTTGGCGAGGTCGAAAACGTATGCGGCTGGTTGAGAGTTCTCAACGCAGTAAAAATAGATGGTCCTTTAACGTTCCTTGATGGCAGTTGGTTTAGTGATTCTTGCTTCTCTTCTTTTTTTGAATCAGCCGACTTATCAAATGTGACTCTCTTAGCCATTTTTGTCTCTCCCTTGGAATTTTGCTTTTTGGGCTCTAAGTCAATGCTATTGCTTAATGTTCTGTTAGATTTCGGGCTAGGAGTTTGTGGGGAGCTGGGGCTGTTGTAGTTAGGAGTAGAGGGTGGAGTTATCAAGGAGGAGATAGTAACAGGAGGAGTATGTGGACTAAGATATGAAGGGCTGGAAGCTGTTGGGATATTATTGGTCAGATTGTAGTTTGATTTTGAATAAAGACTAAGTGTTGGACTTAGGTTTGTTTTGGCTTGGTAGGGTTTGGGGGCATAGCTGCGCTCAAAGCCAAGGGGAAATTTAGGCGACAATGTTTCTTCTTTCTGAGACACTGAGCCAGAAAAATTAGAAGAACTTGACGTGGATTGAAAAGAAGCTTTGTTGTTTTGACCCAAATCTAAGCTTGATTTATAGTTCGCATTAGTCACTGCGTTGGTGATGTCATTTAAGTGGGATTTCTTGGTCAGCCTGTCTTTATTTTGTGACGTAGCAGAAGCAGTCTTTGGTGCACTGTACATGTTTTGGTATTTGCTGCTGTTATCCGTGGGATTATAGGTGCTTTTTGGGCTTAGCAAAGGAGTAGGAGTGAACTCGGGTACTTTTGGTGTAAACAAATCACTGCTTGCATCATGGTTAGCTGGTTTCGCTTGATTCATTTCATGTGTCCCTGCTATGCTAAATTTAGAGTTGGCACCAGACAAACTCATGGGTTTTGGTGGATCCCTGTTTAAACATTCAACCTGGGCTTTGAACTGGGATGACTGACGGTTTGGTGAATTCTGTGTGCTTGATAGTCCTTCTTGTAGCGTTGCAAGATTACCACCTAGCTCTGCCATGTTTTTGTTGCTATAATTAGGGATTTGCCCATTGACTGCTGTATTATCTGACTGCATAGTATTGCTATGAAAAGGTGTGGTTAAATGAGAATTAGATTTGTTATTTATGTTTAATCTGTCTTCCTTTTCTGGGGACATCCAATTTAAAGAGGAGAGCAGGGGTCTTCTTGGAGTTGGATGAGGTTTTAACAAGGCATTGGGGTCATAAGGTATGCGCTTAGGCAAGGTTAGCGGCTTTTTTGTGAGCTTAATACTTTGTGGGAGGTCTCTGCTAAAAGATCTTTGTGGGGTGGTAGCTTCTTGGCTTGCATTCGCTTGGGAATAGGGTGATTCTGAATGCTTACTTGGCACCGTTGAGTAGTTATAAGCTTTTGACAATCTTTCTCTCTGTGTAGGCGATGAAGAAAGAGGAGTATTGCCGTTATTTGAAATGGAAGTTGGAGAAAGCTGATTTTTATGTTGAAAAGTTTGACTGAGATGCGTTGAGAATTGCCGATTGCTGTCAAAATGATCTGGACTCTGCGTTTGATTTTCGGTAGGACTAATTGGACTGTTGGCCCCGCGGAGGGACAAAAGCATGCTGCTCGTAGTTGGCTTCGAGTTTAGAGGTGAGTGACCCCTTTGCGGAGATCTCTGTGGTTCATTTGTGTCTATGGCCATGGGCGAGGCAGGAGAGAGAGGAGAGAGGGGGGGAGAGAGGTGAAAGAGGCGACGGAATTGGTCTATCTGTTCTTTTATCATCCACTCTCATATCCAAAGAGGCCGACTGCTGAATTTTCCTGTCATTGTCCAAACTTATAGGCCCACTCCGAGTAGACCATCCCACTGTGTTGCTCCTCGTAAACTGGCTTTGTAGTCCACTTGACAGCATCCTTTCAACACTAGAGGAGCTCTGTAAGTTCCCCTGATAGTCTGATACCCCTGTCCCCTCCCTCTTGCTCTTGCGCAGTCGTCCGCTCCACTGAGGGGGGGGCCAGGACAGTTACAGTAGAAGATAACATTGCAGAGTGTCCCAAAAGTTCCTTAGCCCTTGTCTTATCCACGTTTAAATCCACAGAATTCGGTCTTTTCGCTGGTATCCCACTTTGAGATGCGTTTTCTTTAAGTAATCCGCGGCGGCCATTGGGGAAGCTCTGGATGTCACCGCTGCTGGTCTCGATGCTGATGCAGTTCTGTGTTTGTTTGACTTCTCTCAAATGAAGAGGTATCTTGTCCACAGCATGCAATGTTAGATCGTGAACCTGCACCAAAAAGAAATAAGCAATAAGCAAATTAGACTTAAAATAAATAGAATAGGCCAGCAACAAAGAAGAAAAAAAGACGAAAACAACCCAAAAACATGGTGAGTGTTTAATTGGACAGATGAAGTAAAATAAAAATAAACAAAAATCTTAAAGTGCAAACAAGAATAACTTAAAAAAGCGAAGGTTTGAAGAAATTTTCAGAAGCTACTGTGACCTGCTGCCACTGTCTCAGGCGCTCAGGTCATAAATATTAGAGATTGACTCACATGTTTGTTTAGTTTTTTTTCATGGCCGATGCTGAATTATTTTAGAATACAACAAATTGCATATTTTTGGGTTGATATTTTGGGTTTTGATTATTTTTCACAAATTATGTAATTGAAATGTATTATAAACTCTCCCCATGCTCTTTTTTTACTACATACCATAAGAGCAAATCTCACAAATATATGACTATCAGTAGGAAATAGATTTAGTTTTATCAGTCGCTAAATGCAAAAAAGAATTTCCAGAGAATATATACAGTAATTACAGTTGATGTTTTTCCATCAACAGCACTGGTAAGATTTGTAGATAGGAGTTGAACTGATGAAACCTTTTAGAAACCCAGAGAAAGTAGTTGGAAGGTTAAATATGTAGGACACATTTACTTACATGGAAAATTAAATATGCAAGTAACAATTATAACAAAATAACAATAAATAAAGTGGTTGTAGGCAATTTCTTATTAATTTGTTTTGTTTTCCTTTTCATGTTGCCAATTTTTTTAGAGCTGGTTTAAACTTGTCAAGTTAACCTGTCGTGTTATCAAAGATCTGACACTGTGGCCAGGGAGTGTACGATGGAAAGCTCTCGCCTGTGCAGTTAAAATGAGAGGCATTTAATCTCTATGCAAAAATATGCAAAACACTCAAATCTGCAGGATCCCATGTAACTTTTCAAAGTACATGCTGTGCAGTGTCACTGAAGTCTGCGTTCCCATGGTGTGGCTATTTAAGCCTCGACAAACTGGTTATTTTGAAAGACAAGAGAGATTTCCAAAGCACGCTGTACACACACCCTATCTTTTAACCGCTAAAATAATAATCAGCCAGTGATGTTTGTGGCAGTTATAATGTTTTGGCTAATTATCTCCAACAGGTAACACTATAAAAACAATAACAAAAAGTAAATATGAAATTTGCTTTTATAATTTGGCAGTTGTGACTTACCCGGTAAAATATTTCCTTGCCACAAACTGGAGATGCATCAAAACTAGAAAAAGAAGAGAGAGAGAGAAATTATTAGTCATAATTAAAATATTATTCAACTGACCATATGTGACATTTGAACACATTCAGTATTCCCAATTAAGTATTTTACACATGAAAGCTAATTACAAATAACTAAAAGAAGACTACTGCTGTTCAGCGGTTTTCATGGTGACACAAGGCGCACGCACTGGCAAACATAGACAAAAAAACGTTTTAAGATCATCTGAAAACTCAAGAAAAAATGCTAAATAGATTTAAACAATACATTTAAAAACTGGGACTAAGTCATGGGCCAAACTAAATATTTACTGAAAAATTTCAAGAAAATCTGCATGTTTTCACTTCTTTCGAGATAGGTAATGTTAAACCGGGCCTGAGTTTGGCATGTCTGTTCTGGAGGCTGTGGTCAGTACAAGCCTTCATGGTCCTGTTTAGGTGTTTGATTTTCAACAAAAAAGGCGAGAGTGACAAACTGAGAAAGTGTTGGCTACACTAGCTCTCCTCTGATTGTAATTTTGTGAGTGAGAGACTTGTTTAACAGCACAAATCATCTCACCTATTGTAGTTCCAACCAAGTCAGCTCTTCCTGGTCAGATTGTGTTAAAATAAAGCTCAGATTAAAGTCTAACTTGAGTAACAGAGCTTCCAACAGCACAGTGCTTTCATTTACCTTCACACCCACAGATCAGCTGCAAAGTATCAGCTGTTTTTATTAGTTGACAAAACTGAGCTCAAAATTATAAATAAATACCTTTACTATTTGAAAGTAGTAGTTGAGTCATTCTTTTCTATTGTAAACAAATACAAATATGCAGTTTTTTTTTGCTTTGGGGTAACTCCATTGTCATGACCACACCTTGTTCTGTACTGTAATGTTTTATCCTTGACATTTGAGGCGTTGGATTTGCCACAGAAATGCAGACAAACTGAACATTCAACATTTCAATGCTCTCTCTTTCCCCTTTTCTTTTAGTAAACAGTTTTCTCAGCTACAACCGTCACACCTCAGAAGAAACTATGCGGCGATTTGCTAGGTAAACTCCCGACTCAAGTGACTATATAAGGAAACAACCCAGCCTTTGAACTGGGACATGTGATTGGGACAGAGAGGTGTGTCCCGTTTTGCACAGCTCAATCAGTCCACCTGGTATTACTTTTACTTCAGGCATGTAAGATTTGCCCAACCTTTAATACAACTACGTTTCCTTATCTGATGCTGAAGTTTATTTACAAGTGCCTAGATACTGCCGCTGCCAGGAGAAAAGGAGTTACCACAGAAGCAGCTATTGTTCATTCACACGATGTAGAAGGACATTAACAAAGCTTGTAGACTGATTTATTGTTCATCTTTAATGTGGTATGCAATGTGGAGCACGCCTAAAATTTGACCATGGGAATAAGCAAAAAAAACAAGCAAAAAAAAAGTACTGTAAAAGAGTTTAAATTTGTCCGTGAATATTATTGTTGGGTGCACTACAGTGGTCTAGTGGACGGTCTTTCACCAATTTGTCTCAAGAAAATGTTATTGCTTTATCTGAAATATTCTTTATTAAGGTATAATCGCATACATCTTTAATTTACCCAGGAAAAATCTTAAGTAAAGGTGCAGTGTGTAACTTTCAACCGCCTGCTTGTCTCTGTGAAAATGTTATTGTTTTGTTTTGGTTATTGTTTAATCGTCACATGCTTGTTTTCATGGAAATAGCCACTTCTAATACAATACTGTGGCACATTCCAGGAAAAAACAATAACATCTCCATGGAGACAATTACTGAGCAGACCCTCCACCAGAAAAGTTACACAGTGCACCTTTAAGTTGAGTCACCAGCTTGTTTCCATGGGGATTCCTTTGATTTATGCTTTTTCAGGCACAATAACATCTCCACGGCAAATAGGTTTCAGATCCACAACCTAAAAACTTACATAATGTCTCTTTAAAAATCAGCACCAGAATCGACCTTAGTGGTTTCTGTTCTTGAGTAATATGAGTCAGATTATTTAGTAAATAGTTTGGTAAATTGTTTTGACAAGTTGCAAATTATTAAGGCTGAACGAACTTGTAACATTTGGCATGCAAAAGGTTTAAGCTCAACCTCCACCTGTTCTGAGTCTGTTTCTTATCTGATAATAATATTTGTTTACAATCACAGGCTTGCTACTTAAGACTACTTTAAGACTACTTTAAATTCTTTGGCTACCGCTACCTCTTGATAACATTTATATCTGAAAATAGCAAGAGCTAAAACTGATACATTTGACATAATACTCAATAATCAGGCACTCTAAATTATTATAATCTAAATAAGTATGATAAATAGACTGATTAGAATTACTAGAAAGCATGTTATAGCATGTCTAACAATTAGCCTATTTCAACACTTTCTTGTTTTGTCGCTCATTTCTAAACCTTCAAAAATATTTTCAGATAATGTTTCAGGAAGTACCGGTATTCATTTTCTACCTTGTTATCAAGATCAAGGCTAATTAATTTACTTACTCGTTACCAGCCAGTTTATATTTAACATATTAACTGTGAGAAACTTCCTTAAATAACTAAATGGCATTTCAAAGGCATGACACATAATATAGATAAGTGAAGGAAATGAAAATACAGTGCATGCCATTACAGTCATATCAGGTCAGCTTTACTCCACTAATGTCTCTGTAATATTTCCAGACGTTTTGTTACACAATGAAGTACGCAGACAATTGATTCAGATACTGTTTAAACCAAACAGTTGAACCAGCCCTGTACAAAAGAACAGAGTTTGACCTGTGAGCAGGCGCTGTTACTGCCAGGTGTCACGAAATTACAGGGCTTAAAAACACATCACGCAACCCTGGTATGCACCTTAGTGTGTGAACGAAATCGTAACTTCATTCACAAACGCTACTGTGTACGTTAAGTATATGCAAATTTTCTGGGGATGTTTCTAGTTCACCTAAAATGTTCATAGTATGGCATTAAACATCCATCTAGTATTGATTCAATTATAGGTGTTTGGTTATGTGAAAATAATCCTTCTTCTGACGTGTAACTTGGCTTGTTTCCTTGTAGATAAACTTAATGCTATACTGGGGACATTCTAGGTAAAGCAATGACATCTCCATGGAGACAAGCGAGAGGTGGACCAAAATGCCAATTTAATGTAATATACAATGCACACATAGGTTATAGAGCAGGGGTCTTCAACTTGTAGCAGGAGCCACCAGTAGCTCTCCACTTCCTTCCAAGCAGCTCGCCAAAGAATTTCTGAATTATAAATTTTGTGCTGAATAACAAAAATTAGATGAATACAATTACTATTAAAATTGTAAATGTATAATTTTCATGCCTAACTTTACTTTCTGCACTAATAAATGGATGATATGTATGTTTTATAGGCTTCTAACTGTTCCTATCTAAGACAGTGGCTCTTATATTTACTCAATTTGTTGCCACTGCTAAAATAAGTAGCTCTCTGGCATTTTCATTTTGTAAAATCGCTCACTGGAGGAAAAAAAGTTTGGAGACCCATGTTATAGAGGCTGCAAGATTAATCAGAGCGGTCACAATTAGCAAATTAGCTAAATCTTCTCATTTAGTGCATGTATAAAATATGCACTACAATCTGAATATTGATTTTAAATGCTAAAGCCATAAATCAAAACTAGTCCAGCTCCAGTTGCTACTCCAAAAATGTCAAAAACTTTTGGAGACGCGATACTAAACTTAAAAAAAGAGTGTGAAGTTCAAAGTTATGTAATCTTAAAGGGCATATAATGGTAAACGATTCATAAAATAGTTATAAAATAGGCCAACGTGTCAGGGCAATATATGTGTCACGTAACCAGACAGGCAGGTGTGCTATAGGCGATTTAGTGTGATGTAAGTGAATAAAATGACACAAGGTACAAATCAAGTGTACCTACTTACTTTCTGCCTCCTGATTTTATTATTAGGTTATGTATAGTTTCTAAATGTACTTTTTACACTGGAACATCTTTTAAACAAATATCAAAAAATAATAATTGAAAAACTAAAAGAACTAACTAATTTTGTTTTAAATTGTTAAATGTTATGGTGATGGTGTTTTTTTCATGACTCTAAAAGTTATGGATAGGTACTGCCTTATAATAACAGATTTGCTCAGATTTATACTTTGCAGTGATGTCATTCTGGGGATGTACATGTATGTCTGTGGTGGAATATTCAGCAGTTACCACGGGTAAAATACAAAATGCATTTAAACAACACATTTTCATCAAATATGATCAAAATACGAGCATTCATGGTTTTGTTTAGATGTTTAATTATCAGTAAAAAAGGTGAAAGTGAAAGAAAAACTGTTCACTAATGAGTGTAATGTCATTTGAGCCGGCTCACCTGTTGCAGAGCCGGCTAAGTCAGTACTTTATGGTTTGATTGTGGTAAAACAAAAACACAGATTAAAGTCTAAATTGAGTCACAGAGCTTCAGACAGAGTAGAGCCTCCAGTTAACATCACCCCCTCGAGGGAATGAGGATGACGTCAGCTGCAGAGTATCAATAGTCTAAAGCCATCTGTAGTACACACTGTCCCCCTATAATGACTAACTCTCATGAAATGTTTTGTTTTGTAAAGGCATTGTTGTCTGTATTCAGTATTCTCTTACCTATCTGTGGAAGTCTCTTTGTTGTGTAGGTCCGGCTCTGATCCGCTCCGACCTGGTTTGGAGCCGAATTTTAAAAAGAAATGTGATGTGAATTTGGGTCTCTTTGTCTGGCCTGTGTGATCCTTGGTGGACTTTGAGGAAAATGTCAGTGCTGAAAGAAAATTACAACCAAGGTTACATAAACAGCCTACAGGCCTGTATAGTCACTAGTGTTGGTGTTATATAAATGCATTAACGCTCATTTACCTGTGGAAGTTTCTTTTGTGGTGTTGAGTGGATGACTGGATTTAGACTCAGTGACAAAGCTGCTGTGAAGTGTCTCACCTTGTTCTCTGAAATAATAGGAAATAAATAACAGGACTTTAATTAATTGAATTTAATACGCTACATGTAACAATATCCAAATCTCTCAAGTATGATATTTTCTTGATATGCATCTTACTGTACGATATTTATAGCAATAACTTGTATATGCCAACAGAATCCTACTTTTTCCTTTTATAATGCCTGAACAAGCTTTGACAAGTCATAAGAAGAACAATAATTTTAGGTGCTTAATAACAGTTATTTCTTAGTGTAGTCTGACTCTGCACTGAAACAGAGCAAAGGTTTATGTCTATGTGGTTCCATCTACTTTTTAGCAATTACTGCATCTTCATGTAGTCTGCTCAAAGAATTTAAGCAAAGAGACTTGTAATCCAATATTGTGATGGCCCACGATATTACTGTGAGACTTTTGATGATACAGTATTACAATATGTCATTTATTGTTACTTATCTACACATGATTAGGTAAACTAAACAGGGCAAATCAAACAAAACAGTTTATTTTTTTGGCTGAAAAACAACAACAACAACAACGGAATAACCCTGCGTTCGATTATCCTTCTGAATTGGTTTTCCGAGGAAGTTGCCTAGCAACACACGTGACACGCCCCTTTTCCTGGGAGAGAGTGACTCGGACCTCGGTGGCGGAAAAAGTAGACTGAGCAAGGATTCCGAGTCAGAATCCAAAATGGCTACGCCCACTGTGACGTGTAAATGTGAACTGTTTTTATTGTGTTCGGACACTTTGGTGGTTTAAATGTCAATTTCAGTCACTCATTTTACTGTAATACCTTACCGCGTCCGCATCACTGCCTATGGGTTTTGGTAGTTGGTGTTGTGGTGAGGCCAATATTGAACAAAAACTTGATTTAATGAGTGTTATCGTCCCTAAGGTTGTAACCGACGAGAAATCATAACATAATATGAAGTGCAAATTTCAAAAGTTAAATTAATTCAAGTGGTAGTGTTTTCATAAGATGAGGGAATAATCATAATCATAATCCACGTAGTCCGACACGCGAAACATAATACGTTTCAAACTCGGACGTGACTTCAAATCCAAGGTCCAAGTGGGAGCCAGAAGACAACTGAACACAAGGTAAGATCTTCCCTTGTTTTTTATGTAATCTAAAGCTCAATAGCCAACATTTAACCATATTAAAAATAAATAAATAAAACTCTTAAAATAAATGTAATATTTACGACTCCCACAACATTTTAGAGATCTGCCCAAAGTATCTATCTGTTGGTTTCAGACTGATGAAAAATGAGGACCGTTGCCACAGCAGAAATCAATGTAAACAAAATAGAAATATCCTACCTTTTGAATAGTGAAAAGTCCTCAAAATGTCACCAATAACAGAAAGCTGAAACCCGTGAATATTGTCAGATCCAAACCTGGACAAATATTACCAGTGTGTTGCTATAGTTACCACCTCTATTATTGAATACTTGAATGCCTAAGGGGTTGTTGAGTAAGCGTTTTTCCAATAGTAGGACCAAACCAGCGGCAGTGCTCTTCCCACAAGTCAGAAAAATATTATAGACTCAAGGTGCACTGCGCAACTTTTCAGGTGGAGGGTCCGCTACCTGCTTGTCTCCATGGAGATGTTATTGTTTTGCCAGGAATGTAAACAAATCCATTTCGCATGTATTCTCTACGGGTGTTTCTGTTGCTCAAAAATACAATAATTCCTTCTATGAATAGACAAATATATCTAGAAAAACCAACCACATTTCCATGGAGAGAACCAGGTGGAGGACCATCTACTAGAAAGGTTACACAGTGCAACTTAAACTGTAACACAATGCAGTGTACCAGCATGCAAACTTGAAACATGTCTCTTCTTATCCTGTCCACATTACCGAGGTGCAAAGCTATAGTTATGCAACAGCACTGAGTCCACACACTTTCCTTTTACAACCACCAGAACAGCTCACACACCCACTCACCCACTCCAAACATGAAGCTCCACTTTACTGAAGCTCTGCCAAAAACAATGTGTGGAGAGGAGGACAGAAGGGCTCAGAATTTGGCGTTAAAAAAACGTGACCGAGCATGTCAGCATCACCATTTTGGACAGACTGATAAAAGAGTTAGTAATAATTGAATAAAAGAACTAAGGTGTGTGTTAGAACTGATCAGATATGATACTACAATGGACAAACAATTGGAGACATGTTTTTAATGTGAAAGAGCCTGTTCTGTTATAATGTTTCCTTATGAAAAACATACCTCGAGTTGTATTTTAGTTCATTCATACACACATTTAACACACAGACCCTGCATATTTAGACTCTAGAGTTCTCACTTGAAACAGAAAACACTCTTTTCCACCTTGTGATGTCATGAGGGAATACAAGAAGTACTCCACTGTGTTTTTAAAATCCATACACTTACACGAGAATCATTTGGACCATTTCAGCCCTGGAATTGCCCATCTTTGTTGAACTATGGGTAAAAGGATGTGTTAAATGCAGAGGACAATTTCCCTACAGGGACAATAAAATACTACTACAAAAAAGAAGGTAGCTGCTAATTTGAAGACTACTACTTCATGACATCACAAGGTGTATCAGAGCATTTTGGATTACTCAAACATGTGTGAATGAAACAACACACAACTCCACGTAATATAGACCCTATATTAGGCATGATATTATATTATTATATTATGTTATCGTTTGAGTGTGGGGCACATGTCCTAGTTAAGAATTTCCCAAACTTTTATCAACTAAGAATTTCAACAATTTCAACTAAGAATTTCAACTTCAAAAACATATGCTCTAGTGGTGTGTTCCCAGTCTGCAGTGGTCCAAGGAAAAGGAACTCTAAATGCATTTAAGTGTGTCATTCTGGACACTTCACTATGTCTATGTACTAGTATACATCTACTGCACTTGATTAATGGTGCACTGTGTTATTTTTCTGGTGTAACTTTACTTGTCTTCCCTGAGAAGTTAATGCTTTTCTGTAGAAGGTTCCACAATATGGCATTAAACTTATTCATGTCTGTGGAAGGAAACAACCACCAGGCAAAATCACAGGTCAGATCTGTGGAAAACTGACCCTGCAAGAATGCACATTTTCAAGATAATTTTGAGCAAGGAAACACCTGCAATTGTATAAAAGCAAGATAGATAAGTATTATGCCATACAGTGGAACATTTCTGGCAGCATCTCCATAGAGACATGATGCACTTTATCAAAACAATCTGCATAAACAAAATTGTTGGATCAAACATCTTTTCATGACGACATATTGCAGTACAGTCTTGGCTGAAGTCTGCAGACTTCTCCACCTTTTTCCTTTAGGCCTGACTCATTGGCCTCATTAGAGTCTGTTCTTTTGGGCTTTTACAGCAGCAGCAGCTGCAGCAGCGTGACAAGACAGGACCAGAGAGAGATCCCAAATATTAAATATGAGGCGTGATCTGGTACCAACCCGAACACACCTCCCATGTGGACTTTTCTGTGTATGTTTTCATCCCAACCTTTGCCCCGGGACAAAGATGAAACATTACATTACATTGCATTGAGTCTCTTGTAAAACTTGTTAGTAAACTGTGGCTAAATGGTGTTAGCCTGTAAATGATCTGTAAAAACAAATGCCTGTTTGAACCACATTCTCACAAACTAAAACTGCATAGTTCACATTTCAAAGGTCGGAAGCCATTTCTGTCATAGTTAGCTGTCTGTAACAAGCTAATATCTTTTCATGTCAGTCAACAGTTCAACAGGATGTGGTAAAACTAGACAATTGCATTCCCCAGACACTTAGTGTAGGATTTATATTCAAATAGCAGCTAACTGAGTGAAGACACTAATGAAATAATGCTTAGTATGCAGAGAGTCCAGTAGATCACATTCTTATGATGTCAGCGCATTACTCTGACCCATAGTGAGAGACAGAGGAATACAGTACTTTGATTGTTGGAACTTTCTCAGCAGATTCAGAGCTCAGATATCTTGGTATTGGTTGACTGTATTATGTGTAATCATGGGTGTATTTATTAAGCCAGACAGGGCGATATGGTGATTTCATAGGGCTGGGCAATTTTGCGTGACAACACAATTGTTGATTTTTCTCAAAAAAAAAAAAGTCTATGTTCAATTCAATTAGATTTTTTCATCCCTCTCCACCAAAATGTTCTGCAAACTACAGAAAATGGTCAAAACTGAAAAGATTGCATTCATTACCATATTTAACCCATTGGGCAATGATGAAATATTTTATGAATGAGCTAAAACAAACTATTGCATTAAACATGCATCCCTCAGGTGAGGGGAACATGCGAAGGCAAGGACTGTAAGTCAGAACTGTTTTATCTGGTTTAGTTATCTCTCTATCATACAGACATGTCAGAAATCCACATGGCAAAGCAAGAAGTAATATTATAAAGTAGGATACTAAATGAACTCATCTCTGTGCAAAACTAAAATGAAAACTTTAACACATATTTTTGGTCTGTTTTTGGTATTAATAAATGTTGAATGCATTGACTTGATCTTTTCATTAATTTGAATGAAAAGCTGCTAAATACTCCTCTTCTTTGAATAAGGAGTAGTTGTAGAAATGAGGGCTTACTCAAGAGGAGTCCCCAAAGCACAGATTCTTGATTTACAGTCAGAAGTTACATAAGCACTAAGAGATTAAATGAAAACCAGAACAGGCTAGGAGGCAGAATACATCAAATTAGCTTTGCAACATCTACAGGTTCCAAGTTGTTACTAAAGACAAACTCTCAAAACAAGTCACTAATTATAGGGCTGTAGGTTTTTAGTCATTTAGTCGATCAGCTGTGTCTTAGTCAAACACATTTTCTCTTATCTCCATGAAAATAGAAAGGTTTAATGACATACTGTGAAACATTCTAGAACGGGGTGGGCAAACTATGGCCCGGGGTCCATATGTGGCCCTTTAATCCTTTTAATTCGGTAAACTTGAATAATAATAATAAAGATTTTAAGTGTTTTAAAAGTCATTTCAGTAAACAGTAAATACCGTGGGACTTGAAAGACAGATATTTTGTTGTAATGCTTTGTAATGATTTTCAAGTATGGGATATTTCAATATTGTAATATTGTAACATGTCATTTTTTTCTTACCAAAAAACTCCATCCATCTGCTTTTGGAATCCTTTGTGGCCCACGAGTCAAAAAGTTTGCCCACCCCTGTTCTAGACAAAGCAATAACATCTCATGGAGAAAAGTATTTGACGGAGTCTCCACCAGAAAAGTTACACAATGCACCTTTAAGGATTTATACAGGACAACAGCAGAGAGTGAGGGAGTTAGCTGAATATTTGATATGTTTTAGTATCTTTATATGTAACAGGCAGATTCAACTCATGACTCACAAGTTTAATTTGTTGTTATATAAATGCAGTGTTTCCTAGTACTTTACTGTATAAATAGTAGTTTTTTTCATGATTTCCTGTGCAGGTGAGTCAGTTTGGGACAGATATACACAGAGATACATAACAGTTTTGAGATCTTTGCCCCGCCCCCTCTTTCCGTAGACTAATCATCCAGCAGGACATGTCTTTTGTCTACCAAGAAGTTTCCTACAGCTTTACTAATTAGAATTCACAGTAGCATAATTTAAGTTCAAGGCTCAAAATGCCGAGGGCAAACTCCAGAGAGACTTTAAGTGGTCATTATTATCACACTTTGAATCACTATCTGACCACGATCTCAGTTTAAAAGTGTGAAAACTCTCATTGTGGTAGTCCCTGTGTGGGTAATTGTTCATTTGCAGATGGCCTAGAGCTTTCTCATCCATCTGGCCCTTTTTACTTTTGAAGAAAATAGCTCAATCTGGGCTAATGTGATGCTGGTTTCACACATGAAGCTCGTACTCTTCTTAGAAATCACACCTCCTCAAACATTTCTGCCTCTTTGTACACACTGCTCACTAGCCTTCAGATTATTTTTACTATTTTGTTTCAGGGGACTATTTATTTTTATGGCAATTTTATTTTTTGTGTTTAATGAAAAGCTTAGTTAAAATGAATTTGTTTAATGTTCTAAAAAATGTATTCCTTCAAGTGTATTAGCTATGGTGATGTCTGATTGAGCTGAAATAAATAAACTACAAACAGACCTCCACCAAAGTGCAACATTTCTATGATAAACACATCATAACACACTATGCCCTTGAGTAAAAGTTGTTAAATTTGAGCTGTGTTCTCAAAATAGTTATCAAGATATATATGTTGAAAAGTTTCTTCCTCTGTCTGTAACGTTTTCTGACAGTATTATAAACATTACGAGTTGATTTAACCTATATTCTAGTAGAAATAGACATAGGCCAGATCACGATAACAAAGAAACAACAGAGATGTATTGTAATAAACGATAATATTGAAACTACTTTATGCCACTGACACATTGACAATAAAACAAGATAATCCAAGTAAACCTGTTATCATGAACGGCAACAAATAAAGAGCAGAATGAAGGAAAAATTGCCATTATTCAATGTTTTGCAGCTCAAATCTTATTGTATTACACCAAAACTATCCAAATATTACACCAAAACTATCCAAATATCCAATACTGAGCCCCAAAACATATAGTTCCAGCTTTCATATACTGATCACTAAATCGATACAGAAATTATTGTGACAGGATTAGAGGCACAGCTGATAAACCAGGAAACACAAACCTTCACATTCCTTCATATAAAAGTAATATCTAAGAATAACACACTGCCCTACTAAAGCTCAAATCCATCAATGCTGTCTACATTGCTGTGTCAAACATGATTTCATTCTAAACCAACTATAACGATATTAACTATCTATGAAGCATGACAGCTTTTAAGTCAGGCCTCTGTATCCACGGAAACCGCATTGTTCTATTTCCTTCCTTCCGTTTAATAAAATCCATTTAATCTGCCCGTTTGTTTTTGTTCAGTACACTCACCCGCAGCTCTTCCGATGGTTGCATTAGCAGACTATATCTTGTTATTGTAGCTGTGAGTACATGTACTAGAATATCCAATACAGTGGACACAGTGTTTATGTTTTGATCCCCTGGCAAACCTCTATGACTAATTGTTGTGCTTGCATGTCTCTCCTCTTGGCATCTGCAGCATAGTGTGTCTTATAAAAGTATGCTGTGACTTAGTTTAGGTCAATTTCTCTGTGGGTGTGTGGCTGCTGCATCTGCCAATAGGATTCTTACATAACCACAAGCATCGATGTTGAGATCATTCTGGGTGCGGACTCACTGCCATTGTAACTCATGTACTATTCCAACACCTTTAAGTCATTTGCACTGCTTAAGAGACAAATACAAGGCAAATTTAACGATGATTTTCCAATGGGTGCGAAGATACAAAGTGAAGACAGAACTGGGCTTGTACGACACACCTCTATAATCTGTTCCTTTTAAAAGATTATTCTGAGCTAATATTCCAAAACAAATGCGTCTTGGAAAAAATAATTACTGGTAATACCATGAACAACATGCTAATTATTATTAAATAATAATAATCTTTTAGGATGGCCTATGTTTCTCTATTGTATTTTTCTTGTATAATACTTAAGCCTTACTTGGCACCAGACTCTTGCTATTTTATACTATACTGATTTTGAAATTATTATTACAATTTTTTGTTTTTTTTTGTTTTTTTTTGTCTTTGCTCTTTGTTATTATATTTTATTGTGATGTGTGAACTACTATGTCCAAATAGTTCCCCTAGTGAATCATTACAGTTTGTCTAATGCCTTTCATAAAATGTGATGTGGCATAGATTTTAAACCAGATGCCCAAACTGCCTAAACTACTGAGCTTAGAGCCATCATAATGAGGAGACTACTTAAAAAAGCATTATGTAACATTTCTGCTGCAGGGTCTGCCAGCTGCTTGTCTGCATGAGGATTAATTAAAGATTAATGAAAGAAATGCTACAGATAAGTTTAATATCATATTGTGGAACCTGCAGGCAAAGCAACAGCATCTCCATGGAGACAGGCAGGTGGCAAACCCCACACCAGAAAACTTACACAGTGCACCATTAATACAAGATGTAGACCAGAACATCCAATATTGCATCGTTAAATTAGTTCAGACAAAGCTTGGGATATGATAAATCAAACCATCTTAAGCTAGCCAAAAGGACAGTGTAACAGCAGGAAGGGCATCTGGTTTAATATAAGCAAAATCAACATTAACCACTGCATATAAGGCTGATAATTAAAAGGATAATCAGAAGGAGAACCAGAGATTACACAAGGTTTTGCATTAACCAAGCAAACAGCGCGCTATCCTGCCATCTCATATTCCAGTTTGGGACGTAATAACTCATCTTTATGCGTTGTATGTGTATAGACAGGCTGCAGATCACAGTTGTAAACATTGAAGTACACTGAACTGAACAGGATTGATTATGTGTTTATATAATGAGTGTTTGAAGAAATGCAGGCGCACAGACACAAGACAGCTTTGTGTGTCTGTGGGGGCACTTTTTAAAAGACTGAAAGGACACTTGTATGAGCTTGTCTGATGACATACAAGGCTAAAATATACGAGTGTAAACATTAAAGGTGCATTGTGTAGCTTTTCCGGTAGAGGGTCTCCGCCTGGAATGTTCCACAGTATAGTACAGGTATTAAATGGCAGTACAACACAGGGCGAAGTTATATGTCAGGTGTGTGGAGAGGCGAGCCCACTCACAGTAAGAATGCAAGTTTTTAGATTAAAAAAAAAATGTTATTGTGTAAATGTAAGATGGATAAATGCAATGCCATACCGGGACATTTCAGACAAAACAGTAGCATCTCCATGGAGACAAGCAGGTAGCGGACCCCCCATCAAAATATGCACCTTTGATACACATCTTTACAGTGATAATAATAACAATAACAATAAGGCCTAGGATTTGCTTAGACTTAGAGCGAAGGCTATAAACAGCTCTTCATTGTCTTAAGAGGGGTTACTACAGATTAAACCTGCTCCAGCATGCCACAATAGTGATTTCCATTAACCCAAGAGCGATATTCCAGATGCATTCTAGGTCAAATATGTAATCCCAAATGCAAAATGTCAAAATAAATAAATCAGCAACTAAACTGGCTGTAGTTTGAATGACAGTGTAGCCTACAGCCTATGCTCCTAGCGGTATATGACACTTAACTACTGTATACACGCATTTTTGTTGCTTTAAAATGTGGCTGATTTGACTAGACTCTAGCAAGCTTCTGTATTTCACAATGGCAACATCTAAAGCTTACTGCGCACAAAGCTCGTGTCACTGTCCGCGCAGATCCCCAGTACATCCACGTACCCCCGGGCTCCATGTGCTGTCATGCGCCGCTGCTCCTCGAGTCGTGTTAAATAACGCTCACCTGGGCACGCTGACACTTGTACAAAGAGTTGTCCGACACATAGAGACAAATGTTGAGGTCTGTGTGAGTTTTGTGCGAATTAAAGTGACCAGAAGTTGGATAGCCACTCGCGCAAGCCATAAAAGCAAACTTCAATCGCACTTTTGTCTTCGGGAATTTTCTGCGTAAAATGAGCCCGTGCGTCAAATCCCAACAATAATGAAGAACAGGCTGAGCAAAAGCAGTATTTCAGAGACAAATAGCATTAGAAACGATCGAAATCTGATAAAAATCCCCGGGAAGAGGCTGGGACTTACCTCTCTGTGTGAGTCCGCGTTTGTGGCGAGCTCAGAGGCGTAGCTGCGTGTGTCTCTCCTCCTCCACCTCCAATTCTCGGCTTTCCTGCGTCACTTGTTGACATCCTTTCTTAACCGGTTCGTCCCGGACTGACTAAGAGCGGCATCCTAAAAATGTGTGAAATGTGTCGCCCGAGTCCGAGACCCCGCGCGGCCGCTGCAGGTCTGCTGTAGTCCCGCTGTAGTCCCGCTGTAGTCCCTTGTGCCACTGCCACTGCGGAGGGCAAAGTTCACCTCCGTCTAGCCCGCAGGCCAGCACCACCAGCGCAAACACTGCGCCTCCGAGCCACGTCCATGTTTACTGAAGGTCACAGGGCACTTCTGCACAGGACACTTCAGTCCATTCATAATTCAGTCTGTGACAGTTTGTGTCCAGACAAAGTTGCGAAAAGTAAATATTTTCCTAATAAATATGCTAAGGCTATCTCCCTCCTATGACCTAAGAGAGCTATTTGACACCTGACTGCTACAGCAAATAGCCAATTAAATGCCGTAGAGTTACATAAGAATGCTGAATAAACACTGAACAAATTAAAAAGAAACCCATTCTGTTCTTCTAATAGACATCAATGAGTGGGCAGCCTGGTGCTTTATACTTTATAACCACCTAAAGGATAAAGTGAATTTGGTTGATCTGTCCCTTTCAGAGCGTTAACAATGACATGAGGACTTTTATTACTGTATTCCACCTGTTAATTATTGTCCATGTCCAATATTGACGGTTTTATTAATTTAATAAAGAGTAGATCCTTATACAAACTGCATTGTCCCCTCCAGGGTACACAGGTGAGCAGACACTTTCATGTGGACCAAATACCTCCACACCCAACCCTCACAAGCACACGCACCGAGGACAAAGGAGGAGAAGCTCTAACTGTTTAATGCACTTTCAGTTTTAATGTTTTGTTTAGTTCAAGGAAATGTGTGCTGGGCTGGTTCAACCAAGGTCACGGAAATCTGATGCTATATCAGAAATCAGAAAAAAATGATATAAATAATATAATTAGGCAATTAGGCATGGGGTTTATTAAATTCAGCCTTTATTAATTTCTCTCATTAATTTTGTTAATATGGCATTTGTTGCTTGGCTAGACATCTCCAAACTCATATAATCGAGTTGAAACAATTTTATTTTAGGACATCTTTTATATAAATAAGTATATTTATTTAATTATTTAAATGTAGAGATTGTAGAACAGCTGGATATATAGTTTATTTTGGATACATGCATGTATTTCTATGCCTTATTTCATATTCAAAGTATATTTTATTTGTTTTATGTTTTATACATCACAAAACTGCTCTAAGGTACAGTACATATTTGTAGCCTATATTTATTTTCAGTTTTAAAGTTTTGTGTAAATCAGTAGCAAAGTGTTTTTTTGTTGTTGTTTTTTTGTTTTGGTTATTTTTGAGAGAGAGAAATGCTGAATAAGTGCACTGTGTAACTAAAAAATAATTGTTTGTATAATTGTGATTTCAATATTGACCATAATAATCGCGATGATGATTTTTTCCATAATCGAGCAACCCTACACATAGCCTATATATAATTCTCAAAAAAATTTAAACAAAACATTGTGCACCTGATATGCACCTGAGCATTTTCATATATTAAGAAAACAGAGTTCAAAACAACTGGCTTTAAACTATTTTAAAAATCCCTTCACACCCAAATTCCTTCACCTTCAAAACAGTTGGCCTAATAAATCACTGAAGTAGAAAATATAGTTCTTCTTTTTGTGGTTGGTTTAAATGTTTTAAATGCAGGTGGTTAATTAAAGTTAGTAGGCCAGGACGTCCATTTGCAAATATTGTGAAACCTTTCAGGACAAAGAGACACAATTTGAAACACCAAATCTTACCATTCAAGGACTCAAACTGTTTTCTGATCTATGTTATAATGTTTCCTCGTCAAAAACAGACCTGGAGTTTTGTTTCGTTCCACTCACACATGTTTATTACACAAACCCTGCATATTTAGGCCACGTTCTTTTCTCAAACCAAAAACACTCTGCTTCACCTTGTGATGTCACATGGAAGTACAGGAAGTGCTCCACTGTGTTTTTAAACACCATGCACCCAGACGTGGCACTACCATTAGACAAATTTAGGTGGCTGTCTAGCCCCAACCAGTGCTCTTAGTGCCACTAATGGCCAAGGCCTCAATTTGATTTTCTCTCAATAAGACACTAATTGAGTGTAGTTTACTTTTAAACAATAATCATGAGAAAAATAATAAATAATAATAATAATTTGTAATGGATGTAAGGAGTGTAGGGGGCTACCTAACTAATAGAACAAGTTTCCAACCCACCATAATTCAAATAAATAGAGATGTGCATGTCTAAAGAACAAGGGGGAAAAACAGACAATAAATATATTAAAAACAAAAAAACAAAGCAAAACAAAACAAAACAAACAAACAAACAAACAAACAGTACATTATAGTGAGTGCCCCAAACTCAAGTTATCCCCCAAAATATTAACTCCACCACTCCATGCACCATCACTAGAATCACGTGGATAATGTCAGTGCTGGAATTGCCGATCTCTACTTAACTAAAGGTAAAAAGTCGCCTTTAACTGAAAACTTGAAAACTACCACTTCATAACATCACAAGGTGGAATGCAACAACATTTTGATATTTGGAGATGTGGACAGACTAATAATAAGATAGTCAAACTTGTGAATGAAACAAAACACGACTGCAGGTATGTTTGGTATGTTTTTGATGAGGTAACAACATTATAACACGGCAAGAGTCCATTTTGCGTAATATGTAGTCGTGGATGTAAACAAGGCCCATTTATTTTTGGATTGTCTGATTGAATAATAAGTTCTTAATCAGGCCTTAGTTACTCAACAGAGACTTCTTGAGACTAAACTTGCATGTAATGTAAAATGTAACCACTAGAGGGAGGCGTTACTCAACCAATAACATCCAGATTTCAGAGCGCGAGGCGAGGGTCAGGCGTTCAATTCAATCAGCGGACACTGTAAGTAAATAAGCAGGTCTGTTTTATTCATGTTGCACTTTATGTTGGAAAACAATATCAAAGAGCTCATGTCTGTTAAAATCCGACACCACAAAGCAATTAAACACAATAGTAGGCTTACACACAACTGTATACGATTTCAGAGACCACACAAAGACGATTTTCGGTTAATTAGTAATATGATGCGTTATAAAACAAATAAATTCAGTTCTAATATATGAATGTGTCCATATGGTTGTATTTCCAGGACAGTCCCGGTGGTTGTAGGACCCTTCCCCCTCCTCTTTCTCCCTCTCCTCGCGCTCCCCCTCCTCCCTCTGTAAAGATGCAGCGGGACAGTGGTAGTGGTCCTGACTCCTGACGCACACGAGGAGACGCGCTCATCACGAGAGCACGCCGGGAATCTCTCTCTCCCTCTCTCTCCATCTTTTTCTCTTTTTGTTTTTCTTACTGGGACCCTGCGATTTTTTTTTCCTTTTGTTTGTTTGTTTTTCAACATTTGGCGGCTTCTTTCCCATCAGATGAGCGTGGACTGTTTTGGCAGCATGACGGAACCCGCGCCGTTCGTTTGTGGATAACAATGATGATGGCACGATTCAAACGCACATTGTCGCGGAGTTGCAGCTGAGGATTTCACTCAAAACTCGGACTGGACCTCTCCTCAGTGATGGAAACAAATGAGATCGTGCTGCTCAAACTTTTCGTTGTTGGGATTTTGGGTAAGTTTGTGCGTAATTATTGCATTTCACTCATTGTGATAGTGTCATAGTGTTTCTTAACGGGCCCTTGTTACGCTATTTTATGATTTAAGTTGCTTATGTTGCTTCATCATCAAGGCACCTGGAGTTGTATTTTGTATCATTCACACATGTTTAACACACAAATCCTGCATATTTATGAGTTCTTTTCACAAACAAAAAGTGCTCCACTATGTTTTTAAACTCCATACACCTTCAGTAAGATCATTTGGATAATTTCAGCCATAGAAAAGGCAGTTTCTACTCAGATAAAGGAAACAGGTAGCTGTTAACTTGAAAATTACCTCTACATGACATCACAAAGTGAAACAGAGCATTTTGAGCTTTGGAGATGCAGACAGATTAATAATGCAGGATTACTGAAACATGTGTGAATGAAACAAAACACAACTCCAGGTCTGTTTTGAGGAGGAAACAGCATTATACCCTCACTGTTTTGCATAATATAAAACCTTTAAACATTGGAATGACGTGACAAGACAGTAGGCTGTACTTACAAGCACTTCAGAGCAGGTGCGTGTCATTTCAGTGTGTAGGGCGTTACACACAGAATATAGAGCAACATAATTATGAAACAGTTCACTTGGCATCCATCACTAAATAGAACTACTACATTATTCTTGTTTTTGAATGGGGCACTGGCAGAATACAATTGTTTCCATGTATTTGTTTACACCGGTTCTAAAGTACTTTTGAATGCAATACAATAAACAAAGGACTGTCTTTTCAAATTCTGAAAGCAATTTTTTTTCAAGAAGAAATTTGAACCATATTTAAACAAAAATGCCTAACAGAAATGAGATGATAATTGTGTTCGATCATTTTAAACCTACAATATTGTGTTTTAATTAAATTATTAGGTTAATTTTGTGAGCTTTAAAGATTCCTTGTGTTGAAAATGAATAATATGGGACCGACACATATTCTTGTAATGCTCTTATAGCGACAATGGCAAGAACTTGGAGAGTGCAGATGCTTTTTTTTTAGTCTTTGTGCAGTCAGAGTCTTGCTGCCAGAGAAAATGTAATATTTTCTTCTTAAATCAATACAAAATTAGATGTGATTTTTACAATTCACAGCACAGTTTGAGCCTTAAAGGTGCTATGTTACGTGAAGCTGACTCTTGAGAGCTTTAGGCCACATTGTTACCTCATCATAATCATACCTGGAGTTGTGTTTTGTTTTATTCACACATGTTTGAGAAATCCTTTATTATTAGTCTGTCTATATCTCCAAAAATGAAAAGGCTCCAATGCACCTTGTGTTTTCAAGTTAAGAGCGTCCTTTTACCTTCTGTTCAGTAGAGATTGGCAGTGCCGGGGCTGAATTGATCCAAATGCTTCTAGTGAAGGTGTATGGACAAACAAACAAAATACAACTCTATGTACGATTGTAATAAGGAAACAACATTATAACACAGATCAGGAAAAAGCGTAATATGGGTCCTTTAATAATTTGGACCCTGCTTATGATTGTATTACATAATGGACCCTACTGTAAGTGAACTGTACAATTTCAGCCTTAAGCAAGTAAGCTAATAGACATGGACGAATCATCAATTTTGCTTCTTTAAACTCTCCTTGCGTCGAACTCCCGTCTATAATCCAATCCTTTACATTTACACTTACTTAATCAGCACTTATAGCCTGAGTATCACCAGCGCTCATGGACCACTGGACATACCTGACCTATATCTCTAACCAGTGTGTGCCTCGTTAACCCGCAGAACAGAGACCAAGTCATGGATGAAATCATATTACATGTGAATCGTGGAAGTGAGAGGTGGTGATTCTATTCGCACCAGTCCACAAAGGAGCTGTCAACACGAAAGCCTCTGTTTTGGTGTTGGGCTGACGCTTTATTGACCTGTATTAATTATAATGGCTGTTCAACGCTGCGGATCAGTGTCAGTCTGGTGTAAGATTGTTTATTCATTTTTAAAGGGCCTACATGAAGCCAAATTTACTCTTATGAGCTGTGTTATAATGTTGCCCCATCAAAAACAGAGCTGAACTTGTGTTTTGTTTCATACACGCATTTTTGAGTAACGTTTTATTAGTCTGTCTACATTTTCAAAGTTCAAAATGCTCGTTTCCACCTTGTGATGCCATGACACTGTAGTTTTCAAGTTAACGGCTGCCTTTTACCTTTTATTCAGTAGAGATCGTCAATTCCAGGGCTGAAATTATCAAACATTTTCTAGTGAAGGTGTGTGGAGTTTATAAGGTGGAACAAAGTGTTTTCAGTTTGAGAAAATAACACAATTTCAGGTGTGTTTTTGATAAGGAAACAACATTATAACATACATAACATTAAACTGTATGTGATTGAGTTTTTTGCGATTAAGTGATTTTTTTTTGGATCCTTGGGAAATTATCCACTATGTATGATTATCACAAAATAAACAAACAAAGCTGCAATAGTGTTTTCCACATGAACTTTTGATTCAGGTTTTTTATTCCAATAAATTTTTGCATGTATGACTGATCCCAAATAATCCCACATTGCATTATCGAATATCTAATGGTTGTATTTCCTATTTTGGACTCGTTAGATTTGAAGTAAACAAAACAGATAATGGTTTTGCTTTATCACTTTCCACAAGAAACTTTCCACAAATGTTTAATATGTTTTAAGTTTTTTGCCTTTATTTTGGTTCCAAAGCCGACACTGCCAATGATTCATTCATCTAATCAGAAAAGAGGCTGTGTTTTTGAAGTTTTATTATCTTTGTTTTCCAAAATTTCTCATGATTTTAGTTTTGTTTCTCATGTGTTTTGAGTGTATCAGCTACATTTCTGAAATCATTGCCTGGCTTGTCTCTGGAGGTCAGTAAACGCACCATAGGGACTATTGATTTTTTGTCATTATAATCTTGAACACAGAGATCTCTGCTCTGAAAGCACCTCTGGTTTGAAAGAAAACTTTAGAGACCTCGGTTTTTTATTTTGTTTTTGTGAATGAACGCGGGTGTATTGATTGGTTGTGTTAGATGATACCAAATTGCTCTGTATTGTGCTGAGATTTGAAATGACCATTAGATTGCTTTTCTTAAAAATACAAAATGAGCCACTTGGGAGCTGTTAGGCTGAAATAACACTTGTCTCTCTGTATTTGACTCCTTTTAAAAGATAATTCTTCACTGTTTAGACTTGATTTGACAGGATGACTCAAAAGTCCCTATAGAAAAGACAACAAGAGGCATCCAGCAAATCTTGTCTAATCTTCAAAGGTTTCAGCTCCATGTTATCTGACATTTTGAGGCCATTTCACCATTCAAAAGTTAAAATTTCACTATGTAACTTTTTGGTTTGGGTCCATCACCTGCTTGTTTCTATGGACATGTCATTGCTCTGCCTGGAATGCTCCACAGTATGACATTAAACAGCTACTTTACATTTATTAAATTACAGGTGGTTTAATTGTTCAAAAATACCTAGAAAAACAGGCATTCTGACTGTGAACGGCGTCGCCTCTCCACAAATCTGACCTGTAACTTGATATGATTTGGTCTCCAGGAAGAAGAAAGGTGTAATACCATAGTGTGAAATATTTCAGACAAAGGAATAACATGTCCATGGAGACAAGCAGTTAATGGACCCTCCACAAGAAAAAGTTTTTGTAGATATTTTTGACGAATAAAACCACCTACAATTGAATAAATGTAAGGTGGATATGTTATGTCATATTGTGGAACATTCTAAGCCAAGGGTCACCAAACGTTTTTCTCTGGGGGCCACATTTTCGCTCTTGACTGTGATGGGGGGCCAGGGTCAGGTCGGCCGTATAACAGAATTGTATGACCCTGACGACACAGATTCTTTGAAAACCACCACACTTTCATATCAGACAAACTGCACAGTCCTTACACTGAACAAAAATAATCCTTCGTTCCACTGTTGTTTGAAAACTCTGCACTCTCTGTCAATTTTTCCTACTTTAACATGAGCCATTTTGCTGTCTTTAACTGCACTACAGAACTCTGCGTGTGCGTCGACTGTCACTGTTTGATCTCGAGCTTGTCAGGTGACAAAAATTCGGCAGCAAATGTAAATAAGTCATATAAATATTTAAATATAAATATAAATTCTACATATAAATATATTTTTTTAATTGAAAAAAATTAACCAATACAAGATGCAGATGTGTTATTATTTGCTAAAAAGTAATAATAATAATAATTAAATCCTTTTGAGGATTGCCTCATAGGGCCAGTTCAAGTGGTGGGGGCAAAGGGGCTGGGGGGCGGTCAAAGGGGCGTGGCAGCCCGGAGTCGGCTGGCGGGCCTTAGTTTGATGAACCCTGTTCTAAGCAGAGCAATGACATATCCATAGAAACAAGCAGGTGACCAACTTTAAGGTTTGCTGGCACCTGGTTGGTTAATAGTTGGGGGGAGGGGCCTGGTAAAATGATTCACTCTGTAAACATGAGCGAGGGGAGGGCGTGAGTAACCTCCTTAAGATGAGCCATTTGGACTTGAGCCATAAAACAGCTGTAGCCCTCAGTACAGTGTGCATAAAGCAGAAAAATATTCCATTGAAGAAGCTAATGCATGCTAAGATATGCAGAAATGAGCACTGGAACAAAAAGTCATGCTGTAGTCCCTGATGCAAGACTCTAACTGTAGAATTTTGATCATGGTTTAATCCTGGTTGGAGCCTCTTTAGTCTTGATGTACTAGATTTAGTTCTGCTCTAGTCTAGTTAATCCTGGTCTAGTTTAAATAAGGTTTAGTTCCAGGATTATTCAAAGACTCTCAAAGCACTGTGCTCATTAGTCATTCACTGCACACTCGGTGGTGGTAAGATACTTCTGCGCCTTTGGGTTCACACAGTTTTTTTTTTGTTTTTTTTTCATACTAGGCAATGCGGTGTTTTGTGTCTCGCCAAAGCACACAACGACAGAACTTGGTCAGAGCGGGAATCAATCCTCAGACTTTCGGGTTGAGGGATCACTGCTCT